AAAACTTAGAAGCACACAGCAGGTAGCGTCAGAAAGCCGCGGGAAATAAATAAAGAGAAATAAATACAATAGAATAAAAGTATGAAACAAACTGTGCTTTAAGCATCTTCACTATAAAAAAAAAATTTATAATAATTATAGCTACAAAAGTCCTTCAGTCAATAGCAGTGAGGGATTTTCTCCTTTTGTTTTTTGAATGATTAAAACAGTCGGTAGCAAGAATATTGCGCGCTGTCACTTTAAGAGTAGTACAGTTCTGATTATGGTTTCTCTTTCACATGTCTTTTGATTATCAATTCATTCAACTCAAAATAATTTATTACATAAATGAGGGTTAATATAAATAATCACAAAACACTGCCTTTTGACATCTATTTGACCATGAAAACGCTCACATTAAGATGACTTTAGATGTGTGTGCTCTGCTTGTCTTTGAGGTTGAGCGCACACATACACAGCATATGGTCTCAATCGCACTTTCAAAAACATGAATGATTCGAACGTATGTCAATGAATGATGCGCATCCCGTGCTGCAAACGTTACATTACAGTACATGCTTTCAGTAATGTTCACATGAAACATTGTTGCAGAGCAACAAATGAGTGGAACTGGAAAGGCAACAAATATTGCATTGTAAGATGCAATAATTTTTTCATCTCATAAATAATAATAAAAGTCTTTGTGCTGCAGGTATTAGGAAGTTTGCTGAAGATGCAGCTATAGGGTATATGCCGAGCTAGTGCTGTTCTCATGCTGATACACTTCCGGTGACCTGTTATTGTGAACTTTTTCTCATTTTATACGGTTCCTTATACAGCATCGATGTTGTAATGTCATTAAAATACATTCAGTTAAATAAACTTTAGCATTTATTTAGTTGCTCAAGCGCAAAACGAGACAAAAAGCTGTTTTGACGCACGTGCCCGTCAGAATCGGCAGGCTAACGCAGAAGCTCCATTGAATATACTGTGGTAATATAAATGCTCATATTATAAAGATATGGCTGGAGGAAATGTTATTTAACGCAGTGCTTCTTGTACAATCTGAGACCCACTTTAAATCGGATATCACTCAGCCAGTGGAGATCGCTGATTTTTAAAGAAAACAGACCTTAAACACACCGGATTTTGCATTGGTATTCAATTCGCCGGAAGCGCTTAACCCAGGTTACTGGCAAATTAAAAGTCCTATTAGCATGCTTCGACATATACCCCATTGTGCAGTGAGGGGTTTGCATCTTTAATAATCAACGACGGTTTGCGTTAATTGAACAGTAAGACTATTAATAAAGGCATATAAAGCAGTACCTTAAAAGTGACGTCTCATCTTCAGTTTCGGGCTCAGGCACACTTTGCACTCACACAACAATTGTACTGCACCAAAGCCTAACTGAATCGCGCTCTAGCACTCCTCTTCCAACAGAGCCAGGGCCGGCCAACTGAACTGCGTCTGGGCCCGATTCAGAGCACACACACGTCTCAAACAATCTTGGGAAATGTGCCTGGGCAAGGTTTGAATAGCATAGTGTGAGTTTGCCCCGAAACAGAGCTGGAATCACCCACCTTCCTGACTTTTTTCAAACTAGAGGTGTAAAAACACCCTGCTGAGACGGGGGGCTTTCACGGCCCTCTATGGTTTAATTCTCGCTGTTAGTAAACCCTTATACATGACTTCTGCTTCAATAAACTCCTAATTTGTTCCATACTAATACATATTAAGGTAGTTTAGGTATTGGGTTAGGGATGTAGAATAGGATAATGCAGAATATGTAGATTATAAGTACTAATAAGCAGCCAATATCTCTTAAAACCATGCTTTCTAACTAGTTAACAGTGAGATCTGGTCCCTAAAGTGTTATCAAATGTATTAATTCTAATTGACTGAGAGGATTCTGTAGAGGAGTGAATCATGCATGAAATGTAATAAACAAACTACAAGCACAGATGAACACAATGAATCAAGCAAAAATAAAAGTGAGATAAACAGTGCATGCTTTATGGTTTTGTATATTTAAATGTGAAAAATATACTGCAAAGTCAACTCAAGAACATTGCATATCTTGCGATGTGACTATTGCAGATGCACACATTGTGATATCAATGATGAAAGATATATTGTGCAGCCATAATTGATAAACTGTTCCAACTACTGCCAGCTGTACCAATAACTATTCATATTAATGCACCAGGGCTGATTTGCTAATAAGTAACCCAATGGTTACTGCCACTTATTCCAGCCAATTCAATACGTATTAGGCACATATTGAGAAGACCGTCTCCAAATGTTTCTAGTGGCTTTTTTATGGCACAAGCTTCCAATAGTAAAACTACCATCTCAGATAAGTAAAGTCAGACAGTTTGTTTCATATTTTTATTCCTCTTTCCTTTGCAGGGTGGAAAATGACTGTATATATGCAGTTGAAGTCAAAATTATTAGCCCTCCTGAAAATTAGCAACCTTTTTCCTGCCCAATTTCTGTTCAATGGAAAGAAGTTTTATTTAACTTATTTCTGAACATAATAGTTTTGATATCTCATTTCTAACTGATTTCTTTTATCTTTGCCATGATGACAGTACATAATATTTTACTAGATATTTTTCAAAATACAAGCATTCAGATTAAAGTGCAATTCAAAGGCTTAATTAGAGCAATTAGGCAAGTCATTGTATAACAGTAGTTTCTTCAGCAGACAATCAAAAAAATATATTGCTTAAGGGGGCTAATAATATTGACCTTAAAATGAGTTTCAAAATATTTAAACCTGCTTTTATTCTAGTTAAAATAAACAAATTAGCCAAGAAGAAAAAATATTATAGGAAATACTGTTAAAATTCCTTACTCTGTTAAACATAATTTGGGAAATATTTATTTAAAAAAAAATTCTCAGGAGTGCTAATAATTTTGACTTCAACTGATAACCGTTTTGAATAATCGTGATTACAATTATGACCAAAATAATCGTGATTATGATTTTTCCCAAAATCGAGCAGCCCTACAATTAGGCATGAGCCGGTATAAGAGACTGATGGTATGATAAACTTGGATACAAATATCACTGTATTGTCATTACTGCTCTAAAATATGTTCTTTTTAAATGTCTGGGTAAAAAAACTAAAGCTTTTTCCCCTTTGAACACAAAATATTTTATTTTGAGAAACATTTAAAATATTTTGAAGCAGTAAACATGTCAGGCTTAATAATTCATATGAACCTTTGACTTCTGCTGTCTTTGTTTGTTTCAAAAACACAGATCCATTCATTCATTCATTTTCTTGTCGGCTTAGTCCCTTTATCCGCTTGTTAAGTGGTGACGTGTTTGTGACGTATGTATACTGTTTCCGGGTCCAAGCCGCCATTCATTTGAGTGAAGAAATCATTCGTTTATAAGTTAATTTTATATAAAGTCATAGTGTACACAACAATCTCTGGGCTTGTTGCATAACAAATACAAAAAATGTAACAATTTATAAAAAATTAATCACTTTCAGCCATTGGATATTAGGCATAGACATATATACTGCGATCATGATTTTCGAAAGCCTTAAATTGCTTTGTAAACATTCATTATTACCATTTTATGAATCTCCCCATTCAGTTGAATAGAGCGCTTGGACCCGGAAGCCGCATCGCGTGACGTCACACTTAACAAGCGGATTAATCCGGGGTCACCACAGAGGAATGAACCGCCAACTTATCCAGCAAGTTTTTACGCAGAGGATGCCCTTCCAGCCGCAACCTATCTCTGGGAAACATCCACACACACATTCACACACACACTCATACACTACGGACAATTTAGCCTACCCAACAAAAACACAGATTTCTTTACTATTTAAAACAGCATCTTTGGATATCTTTTCTGCTGGAGATGCTGTTGTACTAAAAAAAAAAAAAAAGTAAATATAAAATCTACACATACCTTACGAACGGCATTACAGAAAATATACGCGGTTTTAAAACCTTGACTTTTACAAAGCGCGTTAAAACCATGAAAATGATTATCATCCCATGCCTACTTACAATTAAGTTGATTGAACATAAAACAGTTAAATTATCCTTTAAAAAAAAACTCAAGAATTGTGTTGTTTCAGTTCATTTTAAATTAGTAGCTTAAACAAGCAGCACAAATATATAATTGAGTGTAGAGGAACCAAGAATAATAAAAACCAAACAGATGACCACAGATTCAAAAATGACTTTCCAGCCAAAATGTTTTGTTTTTACCAGAAAACGAGAGAAGCAAGTGTAACATGTAACAAATTCATATTATATACAAGTAAATAACTACATTAAAATATAGACTAGTAAGCGGAAGTTCTAGAATCCAGAACTTTCTATTGAGGTAAAGTTGGTTTTATATTCCCACATTTGGGATTTCTCCTTAATGATTAGCACTATTTATTTGACTGTAAACAATAGTGTACTTTGATATGGAAGGTAAATCCTGCCTATTTTAAATAAATCAAATAAACATTGGAAATTAAAATGAAAATCAGATTAACAGTTTCATTTTAAAACACTTCGCAAAATACCTGCCAAAATTGAAAACGAAATGAAATTATTTAATTTTCATTTTCACTATTGTTCACAGCCAAATAAATAGTGCTAATGTTGCTTTGAAGTCATACTTACATGTGAATTCAGACTGAATATTCAAAGTACCATGGTAAACAATAGAGGTAGAATGTCACAAGTTGTCACTAATCGAATGTGCGAATGTAAAACCAACTTTACCTCTGGTGGACTTGTACAGTAGTCAGTAAATAATCAGTACAGGATTACTTTAAATCACTTTCAGAGTATACTACTAACATTAACCTATGTACTATTTAGTTATAAGGAATACGTTAAATGTTAAAACTGCCTGCCATCGTGTGCCTTTTATGCCAGTACACTTCTAGTGAACGATAACAGCTTAAAATCAATCAGTCATCACTCCTATGTGTGTTGTGTACATTGGAGAACTGGCAATGGTGTCGGTCTGGAGCTGTTCTCTCACCTCCACAGCAGTCGACGAGTGTGTGAAGCATTATCCACATAAAGGCGTTTTTAACGAGACGAGAACAAACTGCATGAGCCATGTTTGTGAAAGTATCCGTGCCGATTTGCCTCCCAGAATAACGTCAAACGTTGTCCTCTCTTCCAGGCGTTGTCCTCCAAGTATTAGCAACGAGGAATCTCCACATAACCTTCCCGTGGAAACAAATACACACCGCACAGCTTCATGAGTATCATTTTGTTACACCTTATCCTTAAGTTCAAATATTAGCCTCGCTCATTCTGGTGTATCTGTGTGTGTGTGTGTATCAGAGGAAACGTCAAGTTTACAGTTCTCTGTTCGAAATCTTTGGATTAACGTTAGGTGATTCGCTCCCGTCTGTAGAGGGCGAAACCGAGCATGCGTCACCAAACATTTGAGGCTTTTAAAAACATAGGCTCGTTAAAAACAATTACTTTAGCGTGAATTGGTGAAAGAAGGTATTATGTATGCGCAGGTCGCCAGCAGGGTAGCTAATCAATTATCAAAATAAAAAGGTGACTTTAAATTAGTCTTGTCTGTTAGACTTGTTCTAATATCCACACTTGGCCACTTGGAAGACTTGGATAGACAGGAAGTACGCAAGACCCATTCACTCTTTTTGTTTTTTATTTAATTTTTTTATTAAAGCGTATTGACAAGCATGCAGGATTATATGATAACATATGTAATAGTCATACAAAATTTAGTGATGAAGAACATAGATTAAACAAACAAAAACAAAAAAAAACATTATATACAGTTGAAGTCAGAATTAGACGCCCTCGTTTATTTTTTCTGTTTAACGGAGAGATGATATTCTCAACACATTTCTAAACATAATAGTTTTAATGACTCATTTCTAATAACTGATTTTTTTTATCTTTGCCATGATGAAATAATATTTTACCAGATTTTTTTTACGTGACTTCTGTACAGCTTAAAGTAACATTTTAAGGCTTAACTAGGTTAATTAGGTTAACTAGGCAGGTTAGGGTAATTAGGCATTTATTTTATAGCGATGGTTTGTTCTGTAAACAAAAAATATTTAGCTTAAAGAGGCTATTAATTTGACCTTAAAATGGTGTTAAAAAATTAAAAGCTGCTTTTCTTCTAGCCAAAATAAAATAAATAAGACTTTCTATAGAATAAATTTTTTTTATCAGAAATACTCTGCTCTGTTAAACATCATTTGGGGAATATAATATAAAGAATTATCATATTTAAATTATTAGATCTAAATGATGTTCAGATATTTTTTTTCATTATTAGATGTCGTTATTAGATTTAGTTTTTATAGCCTTCTTGTTTCTCGTAATTGAAAGAGTTATAGACATTACTTTTGCCTTGTGGATGTGAAACTTCCCAAGAAAAATGATCAACTTCAAAACATATGGAGTGTACCATAGCCAGACCCATTTCCTCAGTATGTTAATATCCCCAAAAATATCTAAGTTCCATGTGACATTTTCAAAGGTAAAGCTTGTGTTTGCGATAGAGGTGCGTGTGATGTGGGGCCTGGTGTCACCAGTTCTTTCCCTGGCCAGTCCAACAACAGATTAAAAATAACAATTATAAATAAATAAGTAAGTAAGTAAATAAATAAATAAATAAAAAACTTCTTGCATAGACTTACATGTACTACATTGACAGGGTAAGTGTGATGTGGGCATGGCAGCCTGGGCATTGCACTGGACTGATCCATGCTACACGACACACTTTTTTAATGCATCACAAAGCAACTGACAAACACTCCACTTCAAAGCTGATCTTATAACTTCCACCTCCTCAACTATTGTTAAAGCTGTTGTTGTTTTATTATTAATAATAATATCGAAATTATAATCAGTGTGAATATATTATAGTTATCACGTTTTTCTGCCTACCTCTTGGACTTTTATTACTATTATTATTCATTAATTTTCTTTTCGCCTTAGTCCCTTTAAAAATCCAGGGCGGAATGAACCGCCAACTTATCCAGAAAAAAACTCAACCTCTTGTAAACTCAAAAATAGAAAAGTAGTTCATGTTAACGTGTAAATGAGCTAAATGTGTTAATAAAGCTCTATTGAAACTAACTTAAACCCCAAATGTGACCCTGGTGCAAGTATCATTTTGGCAAAAGCCAAAAATGCATGTAGGTCAAAAGAATTGAATTTTCTCTTATGCCAAAATCATTGTATTGAGTAAGGACCATTAGGATATTTTCTAAATATTACATTGTAAACAAAATTTGCATCGCTAAACACTAGAAAACTTTAAAGGCGAGTTTCTCTATATTTTTTATTTTATTGTAAGCTTGGTAAGCTTAGTTGGTAATAGAAAGTGTAGTTATTCCGATTTAATTCATTCATTAATTTGATTTCAGCAGTCCTTTATTCACCAGGGGTTACCACAGCGGAATGAACCCTCAACCTATTCAGTATATGTTTTACACAGCATATGCCCTTCCAGCCACAACCCAGTACTGGTAAACACCCATACACTCTTACACATACACTATATATATCTATATATATATATATATATATATATATATATATATATATATATATACTATACTATACGGTGCATGTCTTTGGACTGTGGGGGAAACCCGAGCACCCTAAGGAAACCCTCACTCAGGGAGAACATGCATCTCCAAACAGAAATGCCAACTGACCAAGTCGGGATATCATTAATGTGATGTATAAATCTTAATTACCAAAACCTGCCTTTAATAGTTTCTTGTTTTATAGTACAGGGTAACAAATATGGGACGTTTGTCATGAAAGTAGACGTAGTCGAGTGTAAAGATCGCTAGAGTTGTGTATTGGGACATGGCCATTGTAGCTTGTAGGTAAGGGATAGTCTAAAAATTGGCAGCTACATTTATCTAGTCCTCAAACGAAATTAAACTACAGCTTGTTCTCTTTGTAAAAGCTATTATTTAATTATAGGTAACTAACATTAATCTATTATTTGTCATCAAGGAAGCAAATACATTAAAAAACTAAAATAATAAAGCGAGACTGCAAAAAAAAAAAAAAAAAAAGGGAATTTGACATGACCCCTAGATGAGTGTTCTCGCGAAAGAGGTGTTATCGCGAGACAAGAAGGAGATGTTTTGAGTCTACATGCGTCTGTTTTATGACAACCTGGGTTAGTAAACATTGATGTTTTAATTTAATGTTGTTGTATTAAGTAGTTATTCGTAATAATGCTTTGTCATCTCAGACTATGTAACCTTACGTCATATTTATTTTGCTTTAGGTCATTTTGCGTACAAACACAATGTTACTTTAATGTCGTGTAATAATCAAATGTAGGGGGGGGCATTGTGCTGTACGTTACACTCATAAATAGATTAAATAATTAGATACGTCTTCTGTGGAACTTTGTCATGACATTGCCATGGTTTAATTGTAGTAAATATAATAACAATTATTTCTTGTTGCATAACCCACCATTTTTTTATTTAACTACCACAATGTTACTACAAATGTTGTGGTTAATCTATAGCATTGCATTGATTTGTTTTTACAAGGATTTAACTACAGACACACACACTCACCGGCCACTTTATTAGGTACACCTTACTAGTTGGCTACCAGGTTGGATGCCCTTGTGAACTGCTATAATCCTTCGTGGCATAGATTTATATTAGAAATATTCCTCCGAGATTTTGCTCCATATTGACATGATAGCATCATGCAGTTGCTGCAGATTTGTCAGCTGCACATCCATGATGTGAATCTCCTGTGCCACCACATCCCAAAGGTGCTCTAGTGGATTGAGATCTAATGACTGTGGAGGCCATTTGAGTACAGTGAACATATTGTCATGTTCAAGAGACCAGTCTGAGGTGATTCACGCTTTATGGCATGGTGCGTTATCCTGCCATAAGTATAGTATAGAACTCCATGCCTTCATGTTGTTGAAGCAAAATTCTGACCCTACCATCAGAATAACGCAGCAGAAATCAAGACTCATCAGACCAGGCAACATTTTTCCAATCTTCTATTGTCCCATTTTGGTGAGCCTGTGCGAATTGTAGCCTCAGTTTCCTGTTCTCAGCTGACTGGAGTGGCACCTGGTGTGGTCTTCTGCTGCTGTAGCCCATTCGCCTCAAGGTTGGACGTGTTGTGCGTTCAGAGATGCTTTTCTGCATACCTCTGTTGTAACGAGTGGTTATTTGAGTTACTTTTCAAAACTGAGCTGGTCGGGTTTGGCGATCCTATCCCTCTGCATTTATCAGGTTTTGGTGAGCTTTCCACTTATCAAAAACCTGTTGTTAGAAACCTAGGATTTCAATTCGACAATGATCTGAAATTTAACAAGCAATTAAATACAATTGTTAAATCCAGTTTTTTCCATTTACGACTTGTGGCAAAAGTAAAGTCGTTTCTTTTAATTTTTAATGACCTTGAGGAGGTGATCCATGCTTTTATTTTGGGAAGACTTGACTATTGCAATTCCCTGTATGTGGGTATTAGTCAAAATGCCCTAAATAGATTGCAATTAGTACAAAATGCGGCTGCGAGACTTCTGACAGGGACTCGCAAGTTTGCACACATATCCCCAGTTCTTTCCTTTCTGGGCTGGCTGCCTGTTAGGTCACGGATTGATCTGGCACCATCTTACTTATTAGACCTGCTACATGTATACAATCCTGGTAGGTAACTGAGGTCTTCTGATGAATTTATTCTATCTATACCAAGGTCCCGGTGTAAGCGGAGTGGGGATCGGGCTTTTGCTGTTGTCGCCCCAAAACTCTGGAACGGGCTTCCTTCCCACATCAGACATGCTCCAACTCTACCTGTTTTTAAAAAGCATTTGAAACGCCATCTTTGTTCTCTAGTATTTGAGCCTTTTTAATGTTGAGGGGTTTGCCTTATGTTTTAATTGCTATGTGTGTGATGTAGATTTTATTTTTAGTATTGATTGTGTTCAGCACTTTGGGCAACGTTGTGTTGTACAAAATGTGCTATATAAATAAATAAACTAAATAAATAAATAAACTAAACTGTTGCCTTTCTATCAGCTGGAACAAGTCTGGCCATTCTCCTCTGACTGCTGATGTAAACAAGGCATTTGCGTCCCAGAACTGCCGCTCACTGGACTTTTTCTCTTTTTCGGACCATTCTTTGTAAACTCTAGAGATGGTTGTGTGTGAAAATCCCAGTAAATCAGCAGTTTCTGAAATACTCAGACCAGCCCGTCTGGCATAAACAACCATGCCACATTCAAAGTCACTTAAATCAGCTTTCTTCCTCATTCTGATGCTCGGTTTGAGCTGCAGCAGATCGTCTTGACCATGTCTACATGCCTAAGTGCAGTGAGTTGCTGCCATGTGATCGGCTGATTAGAAATTTGCATTAACCAGCAGTTTTGACAGGTGTACTTAATAAAGTGGCCGGCTAGTGTATTTTTACTGTAATAAAACTGACTCTTCTTGGCAGCCTCTTTATTTGACGATGATATTAATTCCATTCTGTTGTCAAATTAAAGCAGCTCCGCCATGGACTCGCAGTCATCGATTCTGGAGGAGAACTTGGAGAAGATTTTGAGGGGTGAGGGTCTCGAGTTTGATTCAGTCGCTGAACAAGTGGACCCAGTCACACTGAGGAAGAACGTGTGTTATATTGTCGGCGCAGTCATTTTCAATTCAAAGGTAAAGATGGTGTTGTTGTTCTTGCATGTGAGTGTTGTCTATTTACTGGAACAAGACTGTTTGGTAGCAAGGAATGAAACTGAAGGCAGCACAGTCAATGTGGCTTAATTTACAGTATGCCAGTGTTCAAGAATTATTCTCAGTACTTTATTTACATACTGGTCATGTGACCATGATCTAAATATTGAAAGATATTTCAAACCAAGTTAGGTTTGAAAATAGATTAATAATGAACAAAAATGAACAAAAGATTAATGCAATTCTCATTCAGGAATGTTTTGGGATGCACATACAGTATTTGTGTCCTGTTCATATATAATCCACAAGAAAACCTAATATTCTTAAAATTTCAATGGGTTTTGAGGACTTCCTTTTAAAAAAATTCAGGACTTATGGAGTCTTTGTGGTAATGAACTGCAGACGAGACAGCAAAAAAAGCAATTTCTCGTAAAGTGACAGAATATTTAGTTCCTTCCTCCGATCTGAAACCTAAAGTTATTTTGTACAAATAAGAAAAATGGCAAGTGGAATCGGACAGCTGTTCAAATAACAAATTGCAAAAGATCAATCCGAGCATAGAAGACAGATGCTTTAATCATTTTAGTTTTGAAAGCAGCTGAAAGCATGACTAAACTGTATATACTAGATGTCGAATTGCTCACTCTAGGTTGGCTCATTTATTGAAGAGCGATGCACCATCAACATGTAGGCACTGTAAAGCTTTCCTTAACAGAATATAGATTTTGTTAGAATGTGAAGTTTTAAAGACTGCAAGACAAAATCTTTGATGGATGACTTTAAAAATGTCTCCCAGAAAAAAACATGAAATTATTACATATCTGACAGAAAATTTGTCCTGTTTTTAATGTAGAGTTTAATGATTTCTTTTGTGTCATCTACAGATTTCTACAAAAATTTCAGCCAACTTTCAATCTATTTATTTTCTTATGTCAATGCGTGTATTAGGTTTATAAGTTTATCTGAGTCTTTAATAGTGATTTAAGTAATATCATTGCCTAATTTGCAAATATTTAAATAATTTATGGACAAAATAATTTGTAAATATTTTTGTATTTTAGTGGATGCATTATATGACAGACCTGCTGTAGCTTTGTTTACCATACAAGTGCTTCTAATGGGCTGTATGCACAGCTAGAGTTTTAAAGCCAACGATAAACTTCCGGTGAAAGCTTAATGTGACTATTTTCAATTTCACAATGTTGTTTTTACAGCCTCAATGTTGTAATTTAATTACAATACATGAGACTTAAGCATTCATTTAGTTGTTCAAGCGTAAAATGAGAAAGACTGTTTGAAAATGGAAATGGAAATTCCTATGAAAATACTGGGGTAAAATAACTGTCATATTACAAAGACATGGTGGGGGGAAATGGAATTTAATGCAGTGCTTTTAGCCCGATATGAGACCCACTTCATATCGTTTATCTAACAGGCACTGAAGATCGCTGATTTTTAAAGAAATCAGATCTTAAACCTGACAATTTTGTAAGAGAAAAACAGTTCACAGGAAAAACAGGAAGCCCTGCCTGGCTGAAAATTATAATTCAGCATGTAAATAGCACATTTGATTTTGATTGTAAACTTTAATTAAAAATATTTAATAATTATTTAATATAATAAAAAATATAATATAAACTTTTCTTTCTTTCTTTTCTTTTTCTTTACAAAATTGTGCAAATAAATAGCCAAAAAGTCTGCAGAATCTGTCTGGCCTTGGTAATATCGGGCTTTTTTATCTTAATTGATCTTTTCACAAAATAGCCTCAAAGTTGTTGATATACAGTATGTCACAAAAGTAAGTACACGCCTCACAGTTCTGCAAATATTTATTGAAATTTTTTTCATAGGACAACACTGCAGAAATGACACGTTGACACACTAACAAGTAGTCAGTGTAGAGTTTTTATTGACCTTATTCTAAAATGCGGAAGTGCGCCTGTTATCGCGATTGTCTTAGAACTTCCGATTCAGTCACCTATGGGAGAAATGAGTCGGAAAAATAAACGGCAGAAAACGGTCAAACTACTTGCTCTACAAACAAATGTTTGCATGACTATACAGACCAAGTAGAATAATATAACAAGAAAATATCAAATTGCAACATCAAGAAGCGTAACGAGCAGTTTTTAACAGCAAAAAATGAATAGAAGTGAATAAGACCGGAGGTCGCGAGCCAAAAAGAGTCAAATGGCAGCGAATAAGTCGGCGGAGAATAAGGTGAATAGCGGTGTAAATTTATTGGCCTCTCAAAATGCCATTCAACTCTTAGTCATAACCCTAATTCATGATGCCAATTTTACCAACTGACACATATTCTCAACTCTTTCTGATTTGTTTGTTAATTGACCCTTCGCTAAACCCCACCCAAAAACCGCCACCCACCAATCGTGGCTTAGCAACCGTAGCTACGCGCAGGGAATTTTTTTTCACTTTTTAAAACCAAAAACTCTAGGGGAAAATGCCAGCGTGGATCAAGCTCTGTGAGGGGTGCTAAAGAAGTGGAGTTAAGTTGGTTTTTGTTTTGATATTCCTGACACATTCAGTGATAGACCGACGACAATCACTCACACACCTCTTACCCTAAACAGATTTAAACTGTGTTTCCAGCATAAATACAAAGCAGATTATGTTTCACAGCTGTCTTTTTTTTCCGCTCGATATTATGAGCACTCTGTTTAAGCCCTCGCCATAGTAGGCATACCAATGAGTTATATTCATGAGTTATTGATCCGGAAAATACAAATCTGATGCTAACTTTACTGAACGTCATATTTCCATCTATTTCAAGCTACGAATATTTCAAATTACAAATCAACAGAACAAAACAGATATAATCACAAACTGGGCACTTGCGATCAATATACTTCACCAGCAGCTGTTCTTCATTAATTTATAAAGAGCACACAAACACACCCTGCTGAAAAATCCAGCTTAAACCAGCCTAGGCTGGTTGGCTGGTTTTAGCTGGTTGACCAGACTGGTTTTAGAGGGGTTTTGGCCATTTCCAGGCTGGTTTCCAGCTATTTCCAGCTTGGTCTTAGCTGGTCAGGCTGGAAAATGACCAGCCAAATCCAGCTAAAACCAGCTTGACTAGCCTGGTTTAAGCTGGATATAGCTGGTTTTGGCTGGACTCCCAGCTTGGCTAGGCTGGTCAAGCTGGTTTTAGCTGGTCATCTCCCAGCTTGGCCAGCTAAGACCAGGCTGGAAATGGCTGGAAACCAGCCTGGAAATGGCCGAAACCCCTCTAAAACCAGCCTGGTCGACCAGCTAAAACCAGCCAACCAGCCTAGGCTGGTTTAAGCTGGATTTTTCAACAGGGCACTGACAGTTATAGGTAACTTACTTTACATTTTTATGGGTCAATGATGCTAATATTCTTGACAAATCCATCAATTTCCCCTTTCTGGCTGCTCTTTCTATTAATGAATTATGTAAAGCTTAGCGAAGGGTCAATTACTTGTATAAATTAAAACGCTGCCCACTTGTGTATATATAATCCATTTGTGTATTTATTTCATCTGTGTTCTTCATTTTACTAGCCGTGATGCTCATCAGCCTCTCAAGACATCATCTGTGTTTGCTTGTGTTGTACAGGAGGAAGTGTTGATGGTACAGGAGGCAAAGAGAGAGTGTTACGGCAGATGGTACCTCCCTGCGGGTCGCATGGAGGAGTGTGAAAGCATTCTAGAGGCACTGCAGAGGGAGGTCAGAGAGGAGGCGGGAATCGACTGTCAGCCAATCACACTGCTGCTGGTGCAAGAGCAAGGGCCCAGATGGGTTCGCTTCATCTTCCTTGCTGAGGAAACAGGTTAGATTGAATGGTTGATTGTGGAGTTGCACACTATTGCTGTGTCCCAAATCGAATACTTAAACTACGCCCTAAAAGTATGTACTTTTTTGTGAAGGAAAAGTATATACTTTTGAGTGTGTAACAGAAGAGTATGCAAGCTTCGGGGCATACTACTTCCTCGTTAACAGATCGTTGTGCTGCTTAGTTATGAGCCCTGTCAATCATCCACACATCATCCATATTTCTGTCATATTTAATTGCCTACCTTATTGGAGAAGCAGCAGCAGGATAATCTGCCATTCACGAGTCTTTCATGCTGAGAAATCTCCTCAGGTCTTTGGGTAATTATGCATTCAGAAGATATGTCCAAACATATCTTGATATAAGTTCACATTGTTGTTGTTGCAGATGAAATAACACAAAAAACACAATTTAAATATTTTCCAGTTGGCTAGACATTGATTACCAGTCATACAAACATCTTTACCGAAGCCTCTCTACTTGACAGTTGGTCTCGCCCGTCCCTCATGTTTGTAGTTTGTTTACACTTTTCACTCGGGTTTTGTATTTCTAAACGATTTTATATCCAACGCGCAATGTACTATAGGCAGAATCAGAGGTTAGAATATGGATGCTTCAACACTTAAATTTTTACCGGAAATAGTAAACCATCAGGGAATCTTTGGCATACTTATTTCAACATACTACAACATGGGACATACTAATTCTATTTTCAAATACTATTTAGGACGGATAGTATTCGGATTGGGAGGCAGAAATTATTTCGAAATTAAAGTTGATGTCGCAAAATGGCTTAAAAATACTTAATATTGACATTTTCCCATAGTGATTTGCAGCCCTAATTCGTTTACAATGGGTTTTATTGTTGTTTACAATTAATGTTGTTTACAATGGGTTGTTTAAATGCACAGTATGTCATTTTCGCCACTAGAGGGTGTGTATTCACAACAAACAAAATCATAGTTTGATGATGCCGTGTAGTGGCACCTCATGTAGTTAGCACATGGTGTCAAACTGCAGTCACACTTCACTTTTAGCCAGAAGACTGGAAACGCAAGCCCTTGTTACTAGTTTCACATGTCACTAGCCGCATTTCCACTGTCGGGCCAGGGCTTTTATCGAGCCAGGCCAATCGCCCGGGAGGTTGAGTAGTGAGGCCGAAATCACATGGCGTTTCCACTGTCGGGCTAGTACTAAAACAAACAAATGACACGTTACAGTACAGCATAACATTATATGTCTATACACACAGGCCTGTGTGTTCTTATTCATCATATACACGTACTCGCCGACAGACCGTTGGCTTCGAACTTCGAGCGGTCTTGCCACTAACGGAGGAACCCAGCGCAGTGAGTGCACCCATCCAAAATATAAAACCACAGAAATTCTCTGTTAATAACTCGGTATGAAGTGTATTTTATAACATCCTCGTTTTGATAGACGTCGTCAAACATTCAGCCCAAATGCTCCGGAGAGACCTAAAACATATTCATTTTTCCCTATAGGCTATATGACACTTAATAGGTGATTCCCCTTCATTTAAGGAAGTTGCACATTATTCTGTGATCTTAAATAAAGGAAAGTGTTAAGCATTTCAGCACATAAGAGCAAGTAATAAAATATAGGCTATATTTTGTTGCGCTCAACAGCTTTTCCCTAATAAAACTCTTCATGTATTTAAAATTTCATTTTTAAATTGTAGCACGATGCGTTTGTAAAGCGGTGTTGCGCAGGACTGGATGAAAGAAAAGACGGTAGCCTCGTTTCTGCTTTCATTCACCCAAAAATGCTCTGTTTGCACGATTTGATTAATATCATCGTATCCAAATACTTTTTAAATAATATTTTAAACCTCCTCCGGTGTTTATTGTTTTTAGAAAATATCTAAAATATTTTTTTCAGAGAGGCCTTTGTAAAATTAAAGTTATATATAGCTTAAAAAAGGGTTAATTTATGTATTGTATCTACCTACATTGTTCTAGCTTTTGTTTGTTTAATATTGTTTTATTTATTAAATGCGATTTTTACGTATTTGATTTTTGTAATTCTTTAAATTATTTCAATATAGCTTAGGCTATTTTATCTAGATATGACACTATTGTTTCAAGTCTACAAAAGTGGACACGTAATTTGTAAAGTTTTATGTCTTCTGTTGTATTCATATTGTGTATTATCTCCAAAATAAATAACAATAAGAAAGAAACGCAGCCGCTCGCGGCATCAACAGAGCTGTAAGCAAGCACTCTTTTGCTCGGTCTCACACTCGCCTACAGGCATAACGCACACGTATAACGCACAAACACACCTTTTAAACTTGACAAAAACTCTCGACAACCTTTACTGGCTGCTGTGTCTTTAACATGGTGTAAAGATTATTATCTTGAAACATCAATTTCACATCAATCAGATGTTAAAATGTATATGGGGGCCATGTAAGTTTGGTCTAACTTTACCCATTTTTAAAATACATTTGAACTATTTTTGAGTAAAGAAAAAATTCTATCAATCAGGTTAGTCAAGAAAAAGCACAGCCATAAAGCGAAATGCTTCAAGGGTTTAGAAAAACATTGCAGTCGCGACACATCAACATATTTGGCCCAGTTCAGGCCCAGTTATGGGTTATTAACTTGGCTGACACTTGGCCCAAATATGGTCCATGTTTGCCTCTTGTATGGAAGCCAGACTTGGTCCAGTCATGTTCACTGCGGCAAGTGGGCCAAGCAAATGCGGATGGTGTGGGCCAGAGAATGCTATGGGGGAAGTCATCAAAATATATAACAATGTTCTAGTGTTTTTCTGGATGTTTAAATAAAATAATCTTGCACACCGTGCCTTCAAAATATGTAACCTACATCAAGTTTTACGTTGTTCTCTCCAAAAATGATTAAATATTTGAAGATTCTCCAAATAACACACTGATTTAGCAAACATCTACTATATTTATAAGTATAACCATTTGTTTTTGGTCATTGTGCCACTAGGGGGCTCTCTAAAGACAACTGCAGAAGCGGACGATGAATCTCTGCAAGCTCATTGGTGGGATCGCAAGTCTCCACTTCCCCTTCGTGCACATGACATACTGTCCCTCATCGACGCTGGACTCAAATATCGCCGAAATCCCTGGTTCCCAGTCACACAACCTGTTGACTTCCCCTGCCATGTTGTCTGCCAAAGACTTTTCCTCACATTCATCTCCAGCAGAGCTGATGCTCATGACCGCCTGTGGCTGCTTATGAGCAATAATAACACCAGTCATCATCCTCGTCTTCCTATTGTTGTATCTTTCAGAACATACATCTCGAAGGCTGTAAGCAAACTGATTGAGGACTGCATGCCTTCGTCGTACATAAGCGTTCATATACGTGGCATTTTGGGAGTGCAGCACAATGGGAGAATTCCAGGCAAAACTGATGGGATCTGCTTCAACACGCTTGTGCTACTGGAAAACACAGAGGAAGGCGCTGAAATTGGCAGCCCGCCATCATTAGAAAGTGACTGTTACAGATGGCAAGAAGTGACCAATCAGGGTCTAAAAGCAAAGATAATAGAGAGGATTAAAGATAGGTCTGTTCTGCCGTTTCAAAGTCTATAGTTTAACGCGCTGCAGATCTGCGTGGAACCTGGATCTTCTCCATGAGCACTGCTGCTTTGACTCCATATGGATTGTTAAATGCATTATACAGGGTGGGCCATTATGTGGAAACACCTTAATAAAATGGGAATAGTAGGTGATATTAACATCCTGTTTGTGTCTTATTAGGATATGTGGGGGGGGGGCAAACTTTTCAAGATGGGTGGTGACCATTTTGAAGTCGGCCATCTTGGATTCAACTTTTGTTTTTTTTCAATAGGAAGAGGGTCATTTGACACATTAAACTTATTGGGAATTTCACAAGAAAAACAATGGTGTGCTTAGTTTTAACGTAACTTAATTCTTTCATGAGTTATTTACAAGTTTCTGACCACTTATAAAAATGTGTTCAATGTGCTGCCCATTGTGTCGGATTGTCAAAGCAACCCTCTTCACTTACTCTTCACACACTGATAGCAACACTGCAGGAGAAATGCCAGCACAGGCTTCCAGTAGCCGTAGTTTCAGGTGCTGCACATCTTGTATCTTCACACCATAGACCAGGGCTATTCAATTAGTTTGTCATGGGGGCCGGTTCATGAAAAGCATCCCAAGCGAAGGGCCGGAGAGATATGTCTTGCTAGATGCGTGATAGACACAATTGCATATGAGCCCATATGCTGTATTTGTGCTCGTAAAAACACTTACGTTGGCTGTTTCTACATTAAAATGGGAATATATTGTATTTTAAAACAACAAAATATCACTGCATTGTCCAACTGACTTTTTATTTTTATTTTCAAGCTTTATATTAGGTAAGTACCTTTTAAGATTAACTATTGTTGGCATCATGCATACATAATCATGTTAATAATAAATCGTCTAACATATATTTTGTTTACACTGCACTGAAAGGCACGCACAACTCTCACCGTGAGATGTTTTCTACTGCGTGCGCCCAGACAGCCGCAAGCGCGTTGCTCCGCTTGTGCGCGCATAATGTCATACTGTAGCAATAATAAACTTGCAAGCGGAAAAGAGGTGATATGGGAACGGCCGCTGCTATAGCTAGTTAATCCGGTTTGCGTGCGTATTAGCCTCGTGTACATAGCCTACTTGGAACTTTAAACTAGCGCACAGGTGACAACTTGTCAGAACTTTTCCGTGCACGGAAATGTGGCTTAGAGAAGCTTCATTAACTGTGACGAATTAAAGCGCAGTTAATAGTGAAACCAGCTAATCGTTGCATCCCTATTAATGATACCAGTGCATTGTACAATAGGCATTTCTACAAAACATATCTGAATGTTTTCGGCTGTCCGCAACACTCGCGTATGGTGACTCACGCTCTGCGCAGCCTGCAGCTCGTGCTGTATTGAACAGACAGACGCACTTCACTTCAGAACTATAGCGGCCGTTTTTCGACTGAACAATTTATTTTTATGTCTTGGTAACACTATTTGAAGGGCCAGAACAAACTGCCTCGGGGGCCGGGTTTGGCCTGCGGGCCGCCAATTAAATAGCCCTGCCATAGACCAGTGGTTCCCAAAGTGGGGGTCGGGACCCCCCAAGGGGTCGCGGGGCAATGAAGGGGGGGTCGCCTGGTGATTTCCAAAAATCGATTTATTTTTATTAAACCATAAGAATTAACATATTTTATCCATAACTATACTGAAAATAAAAATAGTCGTTTATAGTTACTATATACTATATAGTTACTATAGTAGCTTATAGTTACTAGTTCTATTGGATTGCGACCCCTGGGGTAATTACATTATATTAAAGGCAGCAATAGCGTCAGATGCATTTTGATTTTATAACATCAGGTTATACTTTCTGGCACATTTAAAGCACTGACACAAATTTAATTGGTGTGTCTGCGTCATTGCATGCAAGGTTTCTGTATTTATAACCACCTTAGAGGATATTGGGGGTCGCGAGTCACTGGCATTGTTATTTTGGGGGTCGCGGGCTGAAAAGTTTGGGAACCCCTGCCATAGACAATAGCCTTCAGATGACCCCAAAGATAAAAGTCTAAAAGGGTCAGATCAGGAGACCTTGAGGGCCATTCAACTGGCCCACGACGACCAATCCACATTTCAGGAAACTGTTAATCTAGGAATCTCAGGGAACGTGCCAGCTTCAGTGCATAAAGAGGGAAACACATCCTCATGTAGCAATTTCAAATAACCAGTGACCTTGAGGTTTCCACTGATGAAGAATGGCCCCACTATCTTTGTTGTCTATGGTGTGAAGATACAAGATGTGCAGCACCTGAAACTACGGATACTGGAAGCCTGTGCTGGCATTTCTCCTGCGGTGTTGCTATCAGTGTGTGAAGAGTGGGAGAAGAGGGTTGCATTGACAATCCAACACAATGGGCAGCACATTGAACACATTTTATAAGTAGTCAGAAACTTGTAAATAACTCATGAAAGAATAAAAATTTTGGTAGAACTCTGCAGAATTATTTTGGGAGTATCATAACTAAAAGCCAGGGCCAGATGGAATCTGCTGACGTTTTTTGCCATATCTGCGGAGAATTTTGGTAAAAATCAGCGGATTTCTGTGGAATGATTTTGGGAGTATCCAGCGGAGTACCATAACTAAAACCTTAATATATTACATAAAAGTAATAAATTACTGAATAAAAACTGAATAAATTCAGATTTACACATTTACTCAAGTAAATAAACAGAATTAATAATGCGCTAAAAATCTGCGGAATTCTGTGCGCGCAGATTTCGTGTGGGCCTACTAAAAGCTTAACAAAGCAAGTCTCTCAAATAATATATCTACTAAAAGACAGAAAGTATTACTGTACAAACTGCATTGTACATAAATAAGATGAACATTTTCATATTAGTCACTAATTAATTTAAAAACTGATTAAATATAGATTTACACACATTTACTCAAGTAAATGAACAGAATTAATGAATGGCTAAAAATCTGCGTAACTCTGCACGCGCAGATTCCAAGTGGATCTAGCCATAGGTTCCCTACAACTGATATAGACAAAAGGACCTGCTTAATAATGACACTGGACTGAACTGACACTGTTTCAATTTACCAGAACGTCTATATTAAGCTGCTTTGACATATCTACATTGTAAAAAGCGCTATAGAAATAAAGATGAATTGAACTGAATGGGCCGTGGTTTGCATCTCTTGATTTTAATGTAGGTTGTCTTTCATTGAAAACAATGAACAATTGCATATATTCAGAAACAGTGCCTACTAATACAATAATAATAATACTTGATAAATAAGAACGTTTGGAGTGGAGATTGTGATATAACTTAAAAATGATTAAAAATTCTGCCATCATATTGACCTTATTTTAAAATCCGACTGATTTTTGCAATTGTTTTAGACCTTTCGATTCAGTTTCCTATGGGAATGACTAGGAATAATGAACGGCAATAAACGGTCAAACTACTTGCTCTACAAACAAGTGTGTTCATGACTATACATAAAAATAATGTAATAAGAAAATATCAGTTTGTAACATCAAGCAGCAGAACGAGCTGTTTTTAACGCCTAAAAATGAATGGAAGTGAATGAGACCGGATGTCTTGAGACAAAGAGATTCAAATGGTTGAACCTGCTCGTACGCAAACAATAAGGTCAATACTCACCCTTTGCTTGTCACAAAAAAGCCAGAGCCATATCACCCTGAGGCCCAAGACCAGTTACTCACTGAAGCTAAGCAGGGCTGAGCCTGGTCAGTACCTGGATGGGAGACCACTAGGGAACACTAGGTTGCTGTTGGAAGTGGTGTTAGTGAGGCCAGCAGGGGGCGCTCAACCTGTGGTCTGTGTGAGTCCTAATGCCCCAGTAAAAATGAAGGGGACACTATACTGTCAGTAGGCGCTGTCTTTCGGATGAGACGTTAAACCGAGGTCCTGACTCTCTGTGGTCATTAAAAATCCCATGGCACTTCTCGTGAAAGAGCAGGGGTGTAACCCCGGTGTCCTGGCCAAAGTCCCTCTATCGGCCCTTATGATCATGGCCTCCCAATCATCCCCTTCCACCGAATTGGCTCTATCACTGTTTCTCCTCTCCACCAATAGCTGGTGTGTGGTGAGCGCACTGGTGCCGTTGTCCTGTGGCTGCCGTCGCATCATCCAAGTGGATGCTGCACACTGGTGGTGGTGTGGAGAGACCCCCCCTCATGATTGTGAAGCGCTTTGGGTGTATGGCCATACACAATAAATGCGCTATATAAATACATTACATTTACAATTGATGGGAAATTCATTGTGGCTTGATGAAATTCTGATGAATGTATTACTCTCATTTATATGCTTATTTGAGTGATTTCAGTATTATATTTATCTATTGTATTATTACCCATACCTGTGGCATTATTATCAGGTATGTGTGCTTTGGTAAATAAAATAGTCACTTCGTGCAAATGCAGTCAGAGATGGGAAGAGAAATTAGAAGAGCAGCATTAATGTCACAATGAGGGTAGATTTATGGAAGCAAGGCCATAAGGACACCTGCGTTCTGTTCTGAAAGTCATGATAAGGCACACCTGCACATGCGCCCAAACTTCAATTCAATTCAATTCAGCTTTATTTGTATAGCGCTTTTACAATGTAGATTGTGTCAAAGCAGCTTCACATAAATGGTCATAGTAACTGGAACAGTGTGGTTCAGGTTTTAGTGTTTAAGTTCAGTTCAGTTCAGTTCAGCTCAGTTCAGTGTGATTTAATCATTACTGAGAGTTCAAACACTGAAGAGCAAATTCATCGATGCGTAGCTCTACCAATCCTGAACCATGCGAGGCAGTGGCGACAGCGGAGAGGGAAAAAAAACTTCACCTGATGGGAGTGAAGAAAAAAAACCTTGAGAGAACCAGACTCAGTTGGGCACGACCATTTTAATTTCTCCGCTGGCCAAAAGTCTTGTGCAGAACTTCATTCGCCGTGGTTTATGCTGGAAGATGGCCTCAATGAAGACTCGTCTGTCCCTGGAGCGTCGCTGGAATCAGACACATGTTCTCCACTCCCCACGACCATCAGCAGGGCTGATAGTGGAAAAAATTCCTGAGCCTGAACTTTTTTTCCTTGCCCCTGAGGTGAGTAGGGGTGGGGGTACTATGTATGCAACGCACTTTTAACACATAACTTGTGGGCCCCTGGGCCCAAATATATTAACAGCCGATGTGTAACCCTGATCATCATTATTGTCAAGTGGCTCTTTTTAGACACATGCCAGTGTCAGTGATCTTGTGACATGTGCCAGTAGGTGTCAGTATAAGCACGTTATAAGCACATTAATCTTATAAGTCTCTTTGCTTTAATATTTAAAAATCATTAGGCAAATGACACCTGTTATCTTACATGCATATATGTTATGACTTTTCAACATGCATTTTATTATAACTTTTTAAAGGATATTATTTAAAATACCTTAAAATGAAAATAAGTTAAATAATAAAATAAATGAATGAATTAAAAACATACAGAAGTCCATATTGTAGGGAACAAAGGAACTGCCAGGATGCAATAATATACAGTACAACAGATAAGTGTAACCCCACCCATACATAAGCATGCCACAATAAATTTGACTGACATGTGCTGTCAAATGACTATATTACGTACGGAAGTATGACTACGAATACATAACATAAATGCGTTTAAATTAAAACATCGTGGAGTAGCTCAGCAAATAAACTAACTTGCGACGCGATAAATTAGGTTAAAAGTCGCGTAATGATTAAATATGGTTTTGCTCGTGTTAATTAATGTCATAAGCTTCGCCGGGTGTCGATGTCACTGCAGTGACATGCAGCGCGACACTCTGAGTGACACAGGTCACTACACATGCCACTAGCGAGTGACACATGACAGTGGAAAACCGGACGTTAGGCTTGCCATGATAGACGGTGTTGACGGTGATACCGGTGTTAAGACGCAACACCGGTGACATCACTTTTTCACCGTGACACCGTCCCCACATTTGTTTTTTTTTTTTAAGTATTGTTTTTTTTTAATTATTTAAATATTTATTTGAATTAAATGGTAAACATAATTCTAAATAATTTACCTAAGATAAGAGCATGCACTATAATTATCATCTGATCATAACTACAATGCGTCATATTTCATTTATCACATCAAGAGAACAAGAGGAGTCGAATTTACAGAAAGAGAATGGCGGACGGATAAGTGTCAAAACGCAATGCAAAAGCGCCTGTTTGGCTATATTTTGCAAAAAGAGAACCTGAAGACGTAGGTAAATGAGGCAATCTGCAAACTTTGCCTGACAATGGTGGCAGCAGTTGGAGGAAACACAACTAGTTTATACACTCATTTTCAACATTTGATGTTCAACTATGTGTGGGTCCCGGGTAGATAAGATCAATAGCCATAAATGCGCAACGCATACTCTGATTTTTAAAATCACGCAACCATCATCTCACAGTTTAATAATAAATTCTTTTTTTTGCAATTGATTATTATGCGTTTAATGTAAAAAAAAATCAATGAAGAATAGGCCGACAAAAGAGTGGGCTAACCAGTGTGTGCGCGCGTCTTTTATCACTGAGGACGCTCTCTTCAAAAACCGAAAGTTGCTTCGTCTGTCTGGCAATATTTCGGCTTTTAATAAATGAAAAGTTAATTTAGATGAGTCAATATTAAAAATTGCAATAAAGTAACTGAGACGTGCGGCCACACATCAAATCTGAGGTCTGATCTCATCTCTCTCTCTCGCTGTCATCCAGACACAGACGCCTAACGAGTCAAGTCGCAAAACTGAGGCTGGTACCAGCTGACAGGTAGAATTGCTGAACCCTTGCGAAATCTGTCAGAATACAGCAATGAAATAAACATGCATAAATGTCTTTGAGCCAGAAAGTCTATCTAGGATATCTCAAAACGCAATTGGAGCCGTGGAGGAGTTGTGTATTTCTGTCGATTTGTTTTATTTCGTTAAGTAATAATTTAAAGCTTTCTATAAATATATTTATTATGTCTGTGAGGCATATACATTTTGCTTCATTTTGTTAAGCGCTCCTGTTCAAAAACCAGACGACAGAAAGCGCATCATTTTGGTTTTCTTTATTTTATAAAAACGCTGTAACGTTTTTTGATGTATTACTCGTACTTTGTGAGCAAAAATGACGGATAACTTTAAATTGCTCCCACTGAAAAAATGCAAGTGATTGCTCTGGCGCCTCGATGTCCTGCAAGCTTTTTATAAGCAAACTATGCGCCTAATAGCACACATTCTTTAACGTTTAAGCTACCATTGTTTTATACTTTAACTGTTTTATATCTTTTATTTTAGGCAAGTCGTGATGATCTGAGAAGGCAAACTGATCAAACAGACAATGATGGTCTTCCGCTGGGCGCTGTTCGTTAAAAAAAAACTTATTTTTAACGAATAAAAAATGCTCCAAACGTTTTTCTAAATAAGCTGAATAAAAAACGAAACTAAATATAAACACTTTGCCATTAGGCTACATACAAAACTGAACTATTTCATAGCTGAAACACTAAGTTGTTTAAGGAGAAGGGGGAAATATATTTTTGTCCCGTCTATTGCTTCACCGTTATTTCGAGAATAAACCCAGCGTAAATATGCAGATGTCATTCCCAAAACATATCAGCGTATATGTGCCGAAAACGAAAGTTTCATACAAATTCTGAATGGATTATAGCCTGGAAAGTGCAAAGCACGCTCCTCTTATTATCACTAAAAAGCGTCACTAATCTTAGTACATAGAGATCTCACAAAGATCCGTTTTATATATAAAGCTCTCTAAATTACACAATTAATCTTTTATTTACATGGCGTCTACACTCAAAAGATGATTCACGAGCACACAAAATGGCACTTAATAAAAACCAATCCGGCGCTTTCAGCAGTGAGTGAATTCTGCGAATCTAGAGAAATGACAGATCAATATCCGTGAACCTGATTTTTTTTTTTTCCCCGCAGCCACAGTACGCCGGAAATCCGGCGTGGTGCCGGAACGCTATCACCCCTGCATCAGCGCTGCAGCAGCTCAGGATATGGCCTGGTCCCGGATATGGAATCCTTGGGATCATCACGTCGCTGGTCTTGGATCCAAACAGTGACTCCGCCTAATCTAAACTCATTTGTAATGACTTCAAAAAACATGAGTACCCGAGAACTTCAGCTGAACTTACAGTTGGCAGCTCAGTGGACAGTGAACAAGATATATTGTTGAGCATTATTTTTTAGCATCACATTTGAAACAGGAAGGAAAGACCTTAACTGGACATGGGTAGGTACCCTGAAAGACCCTGAGACTTTATTGGTGGCGGGCACCTGAGAGATTTGAAATCCCATTAGCGGAGAAGCTGAGGTGTGTAATGTGAAAAATTATGTGGAGTATTAAGACAAAGAAGTGTATTTAAACTGTGTGCTAGCCTATGTTCACAGACACTTAAACGACCTGTTTCTGTTGTTACTGATGCTGTAACAATAGGGTATATGCCGAGCTAGTGCTGTTCCCATGCTGATACACTTCCGGTGAGCTGTTATTGTGAACTTTTTTCCATTTTATACGGTTCCTTATACAGCATCCATGTTGTAATGTCATTAAAATACATTCAGTTAAATAAACTTTAGCATTTATTTAGTTGCCCAAGCGTAAAACGAGACAAAAAGCTGTTTACTCGCACGCGCCCGTCAGAATCGGCAGGCTAACGCAGAAGCTCCATTGAACATACTGGGGTAAAAATAAATGCTCATATTATAAAGATATGGCGGGGGAAATGTAATTTAATGCAGGGCTTCTTGTACAATCTGAGACCCACTTTAAATCGGATATCACTCAGCCAGTGGAGATCGCTGATTTTTAAAGAAAACAGACCTTAAACGCACCGGATTTTGCATTGGCATTCAATTCACCGGAAGCGCTTAACCCAGGTTACTGGCAAATTAAAAGTCCTATTAGCATGCTTCGGCATATACCCCATAAACTGCTTTGCCTAAAGACTTCGGAGATCTCAGACTTTTGAAAAGTTTGACTTAGAAAATATTTTGTAGACCAGAATCGTTTTTTTTCACAACATTAACATGTTTGAATTTAGTTTTTCTGTATATACTGATTAAATTGTGATCTATCCATTTAATCCCCACATCACTCACACATTTAAGGACATTGAAATTGTGAAACGCATAATAGGACACAGTTTGATAGAATGATATGTGCATGAATATTTTAGGACTTTATTTCTGTGGCAACAGAGAACACTCAACACATAAGACTGCTATAGAAAATAATGATCAGTAAAAGCCACTGGCAAATCAGAACCCCCACCAACTCACACACACACACACATACACACGCACACGTACCTTTGGTAGGTTAAAGATAAATAAATTGACTTTCCATGCCATTATGATTGATTCACTTAAATCCAGTTAACAAATAAAAGTTTGGATGTGCCGTGGCTTAAAGTCTATAGTGCAAGAATTCTGATCTCAGGTTTTGTTTATCATATGTGAAAAAAAAAACTGACCCTAAATCAGATCTCTTCACCGCTATTAATCAAAAGAAATGTTCACACACACAAAAAAAAAAATTCAGTTGATGACTGAGGAGTTGATCTGAGCCTAAAACTATAAAACACAGTACACAGTTTAAAAATATATATATATGTATGTATATATAAATGTGCAATTATTGCGCAAGAGATAACATTATTGCTGCTTTTCTATTGCTGTACTTTAAGATATGCATACAGACAGGTAAATCCTATAGAATCTTTCTGAATGTTTTAAAAATAACAATATTGGGCATACATTAAACTGCCTTCAGACATCAGTCCTCCCTGAAAAAGTTCTTTAAAAGTGACTTAAGCAAATATCGCCACTTAACTCTGTGCAAGTGTTCTGCGTGAAAACGTATGTGAAAGTACGCATTTCTCCCATCAGTTGTTGGGATGTTTTTTTTATTGTCTTTGGTTTTGTTACCGTGGCTTCATTGCTCTTCTGTTGGTAGTTTGACAAAAGCTACAGCGGCAAGTTCCTTGCAGAATTCCTCCAGAACTATCACACCCTTCAGCAGGGTCATGTGATCCACCCTATCAGAGAGAACAGAGCAGCATCAAATATACGCTCAACTAAAACAGAAACCAGCATTTCCAGTGTTATGGATGTGTCATTTGCAGTCAAATCTCAAAACATAAATTTGCACAAAAAATATAAGCACTCACCGGCCACTTTATTAGGTACACGTCCAACTGCTGGTTAATGCAAATTTTTTAATCAGCCAATCACAACAGCAACTCAATGCATTTAGGCATGTAGAAATGATCAAGACCATCTGCTGCAGTTCCAACCGAGCATCAGAATGGGGATTTAACTGACTTTGAATGTGGCATGGTTGTTGGTGCCAGACGGGCTGGTCTGAGTATTTCAGAAACTGCTGATCTACTGCGATTTTCACGCACAACCATCTCTAGAGTTTACAGAGAATGGTCTGAAAAAGAGAAAATATCCAGTGAACGGCAGTTCTGTGGGCACAAATGCCTTCTTGACATCAGTGGTCAGAGGAGAATGGCTAGACTGGTTCCAGCTGATAGAAAGGCAACAGTAAATCAAACAACCAAACGTTACAACCGAGGTATGCAGAAGAGCATCTCTGAACTCACAACACGTCCAACCTTGAGCCGGTCGGACTACAGCAGAAGAAGACCACACCGGTTGCCACTCCTGTTAGCTAACAACAGAAAACTGAGGCTGCAACTCACACAGGATCACCAAAATTGGACAATACAATATTGGAAAAATGTTGCCTGGTCTGATGAGTCATTATTTCTGCTGCGACATTTGGATGGTCGGGTCTGATTTTGGTGTCAACAACATGAAAGCATGGATCCATCCTGCCTTGTATTACCAGTTCAGGCTGGTGGTGGTTTAATGGTGTGGAGGATATTTTCTTGGCACACTTTGGGCCCATTAGTTCCAACTGAGCATCGTGTCTGCCGCAGCCTACCCAAGTATAGTTGCTGACCATGCTCATCCCTTTATGACCACAGTGTACTCATCTTCTGATGGCTCCTTCCAGCAGCATAACACTCCATGTCATAAAGCGTGAATCATCTCAGACTGGTTTCTTGAACATGACAATAAGTTCACTGTACTCAAATGGCCTCCACAGTCCCCAGAACTCAATCCAATAGAGCATATTTGAGATGTGGTGGAATGGGAGATTAACATCAGGGATGTGCAGCCGACAAATCTGCAGCAACTGCATGATGCTATCATGTCAATATGGACCAAAATCTCCGAGGAATATTTCCAGAACATTGTTGAATCTATGCCACGAAGGATTAAGGCAGTTCTAAAGGCAAAAGTGGTTCCAACCAGGTACTAGTAAGGTGTACCTAATAAAGTGGCCAGTGAGTGTACGTTAACGTCATATTGAAACAAAATAAAATAAATAATGCTCTTCAAAAGAATAAAAGTGGGCTCACTATAGAACAAAAATGATTGATTTAGAAATGTTTGCATATATGAAGAAAAAAGCTTTGTTATGGATGTGACAGATGAGAAATTGCCACTTGTGAGACTTTGGTAAATCAAATAAAATAGTTTGAAAACATTGACAAAGAAATTCTTGAGTATTTGTACAGTACTGTAAAATACAAGCCTGAGGAAAAACTGCAGAAAAGTGAATTTTTTAAGTTGAAGTAGTCATTTATTATGAGATAAAATTAAAAACCTTAAAATTGTCGATGTACACATAAGGCCTGTTTCCCTCAAATATTGATGACATCTTATGACGTCATGTTGAACTACATGCAACTGAGGCGAATTCCACATGTTTGTGGCCAACCCACTGCACATTCCTCATCAATCGCACCACCTAGTGGATATTGGCCTATGTTTGCACATTTGCATTGTATATAATCTACTCACGCCGATACTTAATTTCAAATTGGGTGTGAACCCAACATTACATTCCCATTTGGTGTGAACCAATAAAACACAGCTTAAAGACGCTTCTTATATGCAGATTGAAGTGTAAAAATCTTGACGGTTCTGTGGGTCTCGTCTATCAATTCTGAGCTTTATTTTGTATTTTCTATTAGATTCAATTCAGGTGATTGACTGGGCCATTCTACGGCTTAATTGTCTTTCTCTGAAAGCATTTAAGAGTTTCCTTGGCTATGTTTTGGATCATTGTCTTGCTGAGATGTCCACCCTGGTTTCATCTTCACCATCCTGCTAACGTAGATGTTGGACTAAAGCAGCTGATATTCATTTACAATGATGAAAGGCAGAGGGTTGCTGAATGACATTGCTGAATTTCAGCTGCTGTCTGGGCCTTCACTACTTTCCACAACTTCCTTTCTTCATGCGTTCAATACTTTTCCCTGCGTCTTTTATTTTATAACACAGCTTAATTTGTAAACTAATTAGTTTTGTTTTCTTTTCATATATGGACTTCTTTGGTTTTGACTAACATCTGGCGAAAATTTCAAGTCAACGGCACCTTTAGAAAGATGTATTCAGAGAAAAATGGTGACGTGTTCATTCATTTATTTTATTTTCAGCTTAGTCCTTTTTTTAATCTGGGGTCGCCACAGCGTACTGAACTGCCAACTTATCTAGCATTTGTTTTTACACAGCGGATTCCAGCTGCAACCCATGTCTGGGAAACATCCACACACACTCGTTCACACTCAAACACTACAGACAATTTAGCCTACCCAATTCACCTGTACCACATGTCTTTGGACTGTGGGGGAAACCGGAGCAATGGTGACGTGTTCAATACTTATTTCCCCCACTGTATAGTCCTGTGTGCAGCGTATCAGTGTGTGATTTGTTCTGATCGGCTTGTTTTTCATCAAGGTTTTACACTCACAGGATTTATATGAGAAAAAGAAAACAATGGTGCTTGAGGCTCACCGTATGGCCATTTCAATTTACAGAACTCCTATTATTCAGAGTTATTCAGTATATATTACTATTATATTGCACCTTTAAGTTTGAACAGTCTTATTAAGAAATGAAGTGATGTTCTTACATGCTCTCCTCGTCCAGTCCCATCAGCTGCCTCCTGATCACCACCAGTCTGTCCGTTACATTGGTGATGTTTTGAATCCTTTGCATTAAATCTCCTATTACCTACAAAAAAAAGAAAATAGTGTCACATTTTCCAAATTTATTACATCACGCAACACGCCTTCACGTACAGTAGCATATATTGTACTGTATTTTTTCTTTTAAAATGGTTCTCACCCTGACTAGAGTGGAGAAGAGGGATCGTGCTCCAGGGCTCAGGCTGATGTAAGGGTCTAGCAGGTACTCGTGCAGGTTGGGGTGAGGAAACACAGCTAACCTGGACAGAACTGACGTCACCTGCAGATTCAGCTCATACGGCTGGCAAGGGGAAACAGGAAACAAATCAGGAATGCAGAAACAGTTACATTAAATGTCTGAATACTCAATTCCGATTGGCTGGAATGTGTGCAATAAAACAGTTTAATGCAGATGAAGCAGGCAGTTTCAGTCGATTCATCAACATTCTATATTAAGGGTATCGGTGGAAGAAAAAAGTTTGATTCTTTCACTAGTGATTCTGAATCACTTTTTCGAAAGTTCAGAATTGATTCTGTATTCAAATTGTGGCCCGTTTCCACTGAGTAGTATGGTACAGTACAGTTCGGTACAGTTTCACAGTACAGTTAGTTTATTAGTTTGCTGGAAATTAGAACTGAATTTAAAAATAGTTTTGAAACAAATTTTTGCGCTTAACAAACAAAATTAATTATTTATAGGCTAATGGATGTCTGTGCGTACAAGAAGTTTCCCTATCCCCGAGAGTCGAGGAGGCTCATCTCTCATTCTCGCGCTGTAGATGCTGTTTAACTGTTTTCTTGTTATTGAAAAGCTCAGTTTTTCCACTTACAAAGTCTGTCATGTAAATAGCAAATGCGCTATGGCACAACTGACTCTTAAAGGGAATGGGAGATGAGACTCTGATTGGTTTAATCTCAAAACACACCTATAACTCATTAAGAAAATAAGCTCAACCCTTTTAGACCATGCGCCACGGCGCAAAGCGAGTTGTCCGTCCTTAAAATAGTAAAAACAGATTCTGACACGCCCTTAATGCTTTTGCGTTCTGCACCAAGATCGTTAAAAAAGAGGCCTAATTGTCTGTATGTGTTCATAGCATGTTTTATTTATTTTGTTTCTTTATATATGCAAGATGAGGGTGTAACATGTAGTAAATTAAAAAAGCGTAATTTACAGTTATCAATATCCCATTGAACCATGCAAGATGTCACAATGAGATGTTGGCAAGATTGCGGAAATACTTAACGGAGAACATATTTAGCAAATGTTTTCATGAGTTTTCTCCAAATATATTCACAACCAATTTATTTGATATATTAATATATTAAGCAACTCTCCCATGCAACTCCACTCGCTGACTTTTTCATCCTTTTTGTCATGGCAGTTAGCCTACTTTGCGTTGCCCCATGTGGTTACAAATGACAGTACAATGGTGAGAATGAAAACCTCCACAACTCACATCTGTACATTAAATAATGTAATGGTTGAGTTTAGGGTTCTGGAAGGTGTAGACGTTAATAACTATGATGGTTGGGTTTAGGATTGTGGAAGGTGTAGATGTTAATAACGATAGTTGGGTTTAGAGTTGTGGTAGGTATACGTAAACATTAATAACTGATAGTTGGGTTAAGTGTTGGGGAAGGTGTAGACGTTAATAACTGTGATGGTTGGGTTTAGGGTTGGGGAAGGTGTAGACGATAATAACGATAGTTGGGTTAAGAGTTGTGGTAGGTATACGTAAACATTAATAACTGATGGTTGGGTTAAGGGTTGGGGAAGGTGTAGACGTTAATAACTGTGATGGTTGGGTTACAAGTTGAGGAAGACGTAGACCAGGGGTCACCTATCTCGGTCCTGGAGGGCCGGTGTCCCTGCAGGGTTTAGCTCCAACTTGCCTCAACACAACTACCTGGGTGTTTCAAGTATACCTAGTAAGACCGTGATAAGCTTGTTCAGGTGTGTTTATTTACGGTTGGAGCAAAAATCAGCAAGACACCGGCCCTCCAGGAACAAGTTTGGTGACCTCTGACGTAGACGTTAATAACTGATGGTTGGGTTTAGGATTGTGGAAGGTGTAGACATTAATTACTGTGACGGTTGGCTTCAGGGTTAGGGAAGGTGTAGACGATAATGACGATAGTTGGGGTTAGGGTTGTGGTAGGTATACGTAAACGTTAATAACTGATGGTCAGATTAAGGGTTGGGGAAGGTGAAGACGTTAATAACTGTGACGGTTGGGTTACAAGTTGAGGAAGACGTAGACGTTAATACCTGCCGGTTGGGTTTATGGTTGGGGAAGGTGTAGACGTTAATAGCTATGATGGTTGGGTTTAGGATTGTGGAAGGTGTAAACGTTAATAACTGTGATGGATGAGTTTAGGGTTGGGGAAGGTGTAAACGTTAATAACTGTGATGATTGGGTTTAGTTTTGTTGTAGGTATAGATGTTAATAACTGTGATGGCTGGGTTTGGTGTGGAGTAGGTGTAGACAATAATAACTGATGTACAGCGCCATCTTGCTGACAACATAGTACTGAACCATACTGAATTGAACCATACCACTCAGTGGAAACAAAGCATTACATCACGACAGTGTGGGCATCCATGGATGCAAGCTAGAAAAAGCTGTGGTAAAGCATTTCTTGTAGAAAGACTGAAAATTCTTGTAGAAATGCAGAAAGAATGACATTAATGTGATGCATGGACACTGATTACAACACAATTGTATGTCACCAATGGCTTATCTTCTGCAAACACAAACTGTGAATGAATGTTGCAAATGAATGAAACATTGTGTACGACTGTAAAGCGAAGTGAAGCTGTACGGTTTTAAAACTAGTTCTCTGTGGCTCTGAACTAAAAGGAATTGCAATAAAATATTCAAATATATTTTAAGCAAATAATTGGGTCAGCATTATTATTATTATATTATCAGCATTATTTTTCTAATAATTCCATGACCTGTTCATTAATTAATCCTCACATTAATTAATTTACACACACACACACACACACACACACACACACACACACACACATTCACACACACATCCTGATAATACTACTCTACCTGTTCTAGTATGCGTGCGATCCTGTCAAACAGGATATGTAGAAAGTGACCTTCATAGAAGTCTGTAGAAGGGTTGTTTACAGTGGCTTTAGCAGAATCTGGCCACTTCCAGTCCCGTACGAGAGCAGTACACTCTTTAAACTAAAAGAGAGAAAGAAATAACAGGAGATTCAGTGTTAGATTGTTACAGACACAACAGCTTAATTATATAACTGAAACAGATTATGTGTATAAAATAAAAACTCAGTGTATAAACTCACCACTTTGTGTGCATCATGAACGTATGTGTCATATCCTGCTCCCTGCACAAGATGGGATGTTTTTGCCTCTTGAGGCACTAAACATAAGAAGCTAATGAAAACAAATGAGAAATTATTTGAAAGTTTGCAATAGATTAAAAGCATTAATTTATTCATTAAAATCATTAATACATTGAATGATTCAGTTGTGTGTGTGTGTGTGTGTGTGTGTGTGTGTGTGTATATATATATATGGCTTGACATTAACTTTTTTGATCACAAGCCACTGTGGCTAGTGGATTTCCAACATTACTAGTCACTCACCATTTTCACTAGCCACACATTTGATGTTGGGAATTTTTTTATATATATAAACTTGACTTTGACATGTAAAAATACTTGATTTATATTTTGTAATATGTCCACATGCCTTCTCATTCACTTCGCTTTTTTGTGTGTGTTGTGTATGAGCTTGCTCAATGTGCATGAGCAAATGGGTTGTGTCGCATTGCAATTAGTTTTTATTTCACATGACTTTTTAGGGCTTAATATTTAGGATTTACCAAATTTATCCAAAAATACCACACCAAAAATAAATGAACTTTTATTTCTTAGCCACAAATTTTAATTAATGTGTTAAAACAAGCACAATATAGCTGTATAGAAGCAATTTTTTTATTTCAACAAAGCTTTTCTTTAAAAAAATATTAAACATTTTAAAAATAATTATTGTCATGTATCAAAAATATGCACAGTAATCTGACCTGGCTTAAGGTCCCAGATCAGCAGTTTACTACACATAAATGGGAAGTTAACCTCATATTAAAGCAATGTTTTTGTAAAAAAAAAAAAAAAAAAAGATAATTAAACCACATTAACAAAAATAACTGTCAAAGAGAACCCATCGCACCAGTTGTGTTTTCACTAGGCACGGTTGCTTCACGCAAGTGATTCTGTGTGCGCGAGTGATCATCCTCTAATTCGGTATTCACCTGCTTTTTTTACTTGCGTGAACACAATTACTTTTGTCAGTCATGCTGCTTCTCAATTCTAATCTCACATTTTCACAGACATTGGGCCATCCTTACTGTCGAACCCTCCGTTTAAAAAAACAACAATTAAAATTTAAATTATTAAAATTGCTTAAATAATTTTCAACCAGCCAAAGTGGCTAGTGGGAGCAGATGTCAATTTGCCAAAACTAAAATCTACACGCATTTGGCGGGTGTTAATATCAAGCCCTGTATGTGTGTGTGTGTGTGTGTGCGTATGTGTGTGTATATATATATATATATATATATATATATATATATATATATATATATATATATATATATATATGCAGTTGAAGTCAGAATTATTGGCCCTTTTTTTTCTTTTTTAAGTATTTCCCAAATTATGTTTAACAGAGCAAGGAAATGTTCACGGTATGTCTGATAATATTTTCTCTTCTGGAGAAAGTCTTTTTTGTTTTATTTCGGCTAGAATAAAAGCAGTTATCAAAATTTTAAACACCATTTTAAGGACAAAATTATTAGCCCCTTTAAGCTAATTTTTGTTTGGATAGTCTACAGAACAAACCATCGTTATACAATAACTTGCCTAATTACCCTAACCTGCCTAGTTCACCTTATTTATCTAGTTAAGCCTTTAAATGTCACTTTAAGCTGTATAATAGTGTCTTGAAAAATATCTAGTCAAATATTATTTACTGTCATCATGACAAAGATAAAATAAATCAGTTATTAGAGATGAGTTATTAAAACTATTATGTTTAGTAATGTGCTGAAAAAATTCTTCTCTCCGTTAAACAGAAATTGGGGAAAAAATAAACAGAGGGTCTAATAATTCAGGGGGGCTAATAATTCTGACTTCAACTGTATATATATACATATATATATATATATATATATATATATATATATATATATACACACACACACACACACACACACACACACACACACACACACCTCTCATACACCTGTTCCGGTTCACCAATGATTACACACGCAGCTGGGAGCAGTTAAAAGACTAATTACACAGCTACTTTGCTTTGGCTGTTTCTCAACTCTAAGAACGCAGAGGAATGGACTTGCGTTCTTGTGGAGACCAGTCTTGCCATGTTTCCTCGGAAGAACAAACTCGGGAGACCGCGAAGACAGAGAATGCGTCCTGTGAGAAATGAGATGCTGCTTTCTTCCTAATGGTCACATGACCTTCACGTGTTTTTAATGGAATTAAACATTACAGCATTCATACAATAATTTATTGCTTTTTTCCCCTTTGCAAAACATATACTACGCATAAAAACATCAATAGATGTTGCGCAATACAAATAAAATAGATTTTAATAAGAATTTCAGCAAATAAACACCTTTAATGTGTTTATTTCTTTATTAAGATGTCCATGGTAATGTTTATATTCACCGTTTCATTTAGGGAAACTCCTGAGGTAAATAAGTGATATCGCTGAACTTTAAAAATAAATCTAAATAAAATGCTGCGCTTCCCACCTCCAGTCGTGATGACTTCTGGGACTTCTAGAGCGAGATCGGTGCCAAGTCTGCATCGGTGTGTCCTCGATATTAAGAACACATCCAGGAAGTTTTACGCGTCCTCTGTTCTTGCAGTCTTGAGTATTGGAACTGAACTTTGGCAGATGATGATGAAGTTACACGAGTACACGAGGATGTAAGACCACTGAAGAACGCATATTGAGAAACAGCCTTAGTCTTTTTCACCTTTAGCATTACAAAGCTTTTTCCTTGTTTTGTCTTTCTAAGCTGTTTCCTGACGCTCACTTTGTGTATTGTTTATGCAGTTAGCCACCAGAACCAATCTCTTTGCCTGTGACCAGAGTTTAATAATTCCATATTGAGTAACGTAAGAATATTTATTTAAATGTTGGTACCTTACTGGAACAATTAATCCACCCATAGATATATACATTAGATGTCACCTACCCTGTTGTTGTCTATTAGGAGGAATGTGTCAATAGAGCAGCCATTATAGTACAGGGTAGCGCTCCTTTGAAATGAATGCGGGACCAAGGTGCAGTGGAGGACTGTGGTCATCCAGAGCCAGATAATTACACATATATACACATATATCTATGATCGGGAGTTTTCCTGGAGGTCAGAATGCACTTTTTTTTTAATTAGGAAAATTATAATTTTACATCAATTTTCTGTATTGATGGATAGGTGATCGCACGGGCATAACTGACCAAAAGCTTGTGTTTGTGTGTATGGAAATGTACTATCCACCCCTTCTGTTAAATTTGATCTAATCCGTGTCCTGAAACACACCTCCTGCTTTCACTTCTCATACTGATGAAGGGAGCGATTTGTTTGTGAATGAATCTCCGTTATGAACGACTTGTTCACTAGCCGACAAGAATACAAGTTTCTGGCACCGCAGCATCTCGTTGTTAAATTTCTTTTGCATTGTTTGCTGATTTTATTCAACAAAACTAGCATAAGCCGAGTGTTTAGTGCGAATTGGAGCTGCTTTGCCTTATGGTGAATGCAGTAAGTGACAGTATTATCATCAATAATGTTACCTGCTTAGCACAAAAGTTCAGAACATACAAAATTGTAAAAAACTCAATCTTACCTACGAAATGTTCAGCCTTTGTGCTTTGTTTTCTTTGTTTGCTAGTTACTACACACGAAAACATCGCTAAAGTCCAGCATCTTCACGTAATAACAATGTCTTGACCAGTGCGGTTGAATGAGCACTTTACAAATATGGTGGCGCTATTGACGCATGCTCAGGGTCCCAATGCGATATCTAGTGTAAATATCTATGAAGTCCACCCTACACCTTTTAAAAAGTACAACTTTTTTTTATTCAATAGCTATTAGAAAATATAATTAAAACTTTGGAAAAACACTAATTTTTTTATCAAACAAATTCCTTTGCAATCTTCTATATAATGAAAAGAAGGGGAAAAAACTTACAATTTATTCACTTACAATCCTTAATAATATTTTACTCCCTATGCCACAGCTGCTGTTGTCATTGACGCTTTATTTAAATACATGAGGCATATAGTATCGTATTTTCACTGCTACAAATATGCTGTTTATGACGATATTACAGCTTTTTTCCATCCGAATGTTCTGTATTTATTACATTTAAACTATTTATACGAAATTCTAAGAATGTTTTAATCTTACCTGTTGACTGTGTCAACAACTTGCGTGTGCAGATTGGGATTAAGTCTTTCTCTGACATTGGGCAGAGACAGAAGAGGCTCATGGTTGCTGTCTCCACTGTCATCATACATGTCTGGGAAAAAGGGATCCTCTTCCAGCTCCCTAAGAGATAAAGACAGGGGAAATCAATTATAAATCATTAGGAATAGTAACAATGTAAAAAAAAAAAATCGCAAAAACAAAATAAAAAGTGCTTCGGGGGTAATTAATCTTTTAGTGCTCTTTGGAAAAGACATTCTTATTGAGTCCAAGGTTCTAGAAAATTAAGTGAAAAAGTTAAAAAGCCTTTTATTGACATGGCTATAATAAAAAAAACAAAACAGCACTCGTAGACCTATGCGTTTCAACAAATGTGCCTTCATCAGGGTGACAAGAATTACATGCGGCTTAAGTTTGTTTAAATACTCAGAGCCCTATTCTACACTTGGCGCACATGTTTTTTGTTAGTTTAGTAAACCCGACGCATGTTTCCTATTCTTGTTTTGCACCACGTTGTTTATATAGCAAATACATATGTCACACCTGTTGCAGTGCCCTAGTTTGGACACTTGAGGGCACTTGTTTGTTTTGTAATTTCCCATAATCCTTTGTATCACTGATTGTGTTATGTTACAGCTGTTTCATGTTTTTAATTTAGTCCTGTCTTTATAAACCCTCTTGTTCTCTGTTTTAGTTGCCTTAGGATTTTGTTAGCTCCTTACGTCTGGTATGTTTGTCTGGTCATCTAGTTTTTGTATTTTGATAATACCTGGATTCCTGTTTTGTGTTTGTTTTCGTTAGCACTCTTTAGCACTCCTACCCTGTTTTTTGTATTTACTCGTTTTTTGATTTTTTGCTTGTTCTCTCGTTTGGACTAGATTTGCATCCTGCTTATAGTTCTGTGCAAGTTTTGGAAACCTTAGTCTTTGTTATAATAAATTGCTGCACTTGGATTTTTTGCGTTGTGTGATTCTCCCCCACTTGTGACACATATGCGCCCATTTGTGCTCACATATGCGTGTTGGTCGGAAAAGAGCTGTGTTCAGGCACATTGCTTGTGCATTGCTATTTTAAGGGCACCTCAAACAGACCATGCCATACCCACTAAAAGCATAGGAATAGGATGTGTGTTTGGATATAACTTTTAAATAAGTTTTTGGATTACACTTCATTGTTATTGTTCATTTATTTGTTTGCTGGAAATTGCAAGGTGTCCTCACTGCAGTCTGTAGCACGATGACGTACTGGATCAGGTAGAATACATGGTAGACGTTGTAACGCACATGCCACTGTGATGACTGGGTTAAGGGTTGGGGAAGACATGCCACAGCTATTTCAACCTGCAGCCCAAGACCAGTTACTCACTGAAGCTAAGCAGGGCTGGTCAGTACATGGATGGGAGACCACATGCAAAAACTAGGTTGCTGTCGTAAGTGGTGTTAGTGAGGCCGGCAGGGGGTGCTCAACCTACGGTCTGTGTCAGTTCTAATGCCCCAGTAAAAATGAAGGCGGCAATATACTTTAACTGAGTGCTGTCTTTTGTTTGAGACGTTAAACTGAGGTCCTGACTCTCTGTGGTCATTAAAAATTCCATGGCAATTCACCTAAAAGAGCAGAGTTTCCAGGCCAAATTCCCTCTATCGTCCCTTACCCATGGCCTCCCAATCCTCCTCATCCACCTAATTGGCTCTTTCTCCATTCCCCCTATAGCTGATGTGTGGTGAGTGCCGTTGTCCTGTGGCTGCCGTTACATCATCCAAATGGATGCTGCACACTGGTGGTGATGTGGAGAGACCCCCCTCATGACTGGAAAATGCTTTGCGTGTATGGCCATACTATATAAATACAAACTACATTGACATTACATTACAAGATGCCAATATCACACAATGTAATGGGCAATTTAATAACTAATATAAATAATTATTGCTCCAAGCAACAACCGCTTGCGCATTCACATCTACTACGAATGGCACCTGATCCAGTATGTCATCACACCACAGGTTGCACCGAGGACACACTTGAAATTACAACTGAATTTAAAAATAGATTTGAAGCAAATCTTTATGCTAAAACAAGCAAAATTACAAAATTAAATATATAATTAAAATATATAATTAAAATTAATTAAAATTATAATTAAATATGTAATAGAAAGCGGCACGTTGGCGCAGTAGGTAGCGCTGTCATGAATGAATGAATATGTAATGGGTGTCTTTAGGGGAGTGTGTCCACCACTGCTTCCTGAATCCAAGGTCGAAAGGAAGAGATCAAACGGAAGAGGCAAATTCTGTAGGTGGATTTAAGCTTAACCAGATGGTTCCGTTTACAAAATCCACTATGTTAATAGCAAATGCGCCATGGCATGATGCAACAGACTCTTAAAGAGAATGGGAGGTGAAACTAAAATGCATGTTATGCCCAAAACAACTCATTAAAAGAATAAGGACAACACTTTTAGACCATGCGCCGGGGCGCAGAGAATTTTTTTTTTCTCCTTAAAATAGCAAAAGTGGATTCAGATATGCCCTTAGAGCTTTTTCACCATCCGCTTCAGATAATTAAAAAATAGAGCCCTTAATGTCACATGACACGTTTGAATAACTAAAAAAGTACAGAAAATTCTATAAATAATAATGTCAAATCAACAGTTATTCCCAACACAGCAAAGCAGAAAAAAAGTTCTGTTTGAATGAACTTCAGATGCATCAGAAGTTTGTCACCTTGATTAAGGTAAGATTGCCAAAATGCATAGGTGCATGAATGAGTGCTGTTTTTTTTTAATAATAGCCAATAGCCAAGGCTTTTTCACTTTTCCACTTATTTTTCGAGTGCCCAGTCCTGTTTCTAAAGGCACACCAAAAGTACACATTTTCAAGCTCTTTCTGATTAAACACACCTGAATCAACTCATCAGAACACTAGAAGTGACTTCAAAACCTGAAACGAATGGTTCAGATAAGGGAGACCATATCCATCCATCCAAAATATGTACTTCTGGTGTGCCTTCAGGAACATGGTTGAGAAACACTGGTTTATTGTACAACATAGGTCAGTCCAATGCTCACTCAGACTCATCCAAAAGATCACTCTCGACTCTGAGTCTTTCATCCGAGGCTCCTGTTCCAGGTAGTTTGTAGCTGCGGTTCTCAAGATTACGAAGCACCAGATTGCTCAAGATCCTCCTGTTAGGCTTCTGTAGAAGCTCCTCAAAGAGACGCAATGTTGTGATGCTGATCTAACAGGACAAAAGTTACTCTATAACACATGCATTGATGCTTTCAAAAGTAAAAAAGTGTTAGGCTGCGTCCGAAACCGCATACTTCCATACTATATAGTACGCCAAAATCAGTATGCGAGCCGAGTAGTGTGTCCGAATTCATAGAATTTGAAAATCAGTATGCGAGAAGTACCCGGATGACTTACTACTTCCGGCAAGATTCCGGAGTGCGCATCCCATGCATGCTGCGCTATCCCATGATGCCACGCGAGCGAATTCATGAATGGAAGTAAAGCAACGCAACTGACGCACGTATGTCACGTGACCATGACAAAATGGCGGATGTAGTACGTCCGAATTCCATTCATACTTTTCACATTCATACTGTATAGAACGTACTTTTCTAACGGCTGAGTAGTACGTTTAAATTCAAATGCAGTATCTACTGAGTAGTAGGCGGTTTCGGACGCAGCCTTAGTCTTTTAGCCCATTTACCTCATCTGAGATATGGTTGCAGTGTTCAATAAGGCGGTAACGCAGAAGGTGTGTGTGCAAGTGCTGGCGCGTTTCGCTATCTGTGTCACTGCCCAACATAAACTGAACCAGTTCCTCCAGGAGTGCAGGAGAGTGTATGTGACGTACAGAACATGACAGCAGAGTGGTGTGTACCAGGATCCCAACCTCTGACCTAGACAACCAGAATGAAAGAAAAAATTACACATATCAGCCTGCAAAATAACAATTCTAAAACTAACACCTTTTTCATGCATACTCTATCTGCAGTTAATTTGCGCTTTATTTAAATTTCCATGCCAATGTAACACATTGCAGCTTCCATACTTCAAACAGTTGTGGTCAGAAACCAGCATTTGCCTCACAAAATGCAACACATCTCCGTCTCATCATAGGCGTTGATCAGGTTGTTGATTGAGGCCTCTGAAAGGTTGGTCATCAATGGCTGTGTGAAGTTGCTGGATATTGGCAGGAACTAAAACATGCTGTCATATTCGCAGTTTCCTCTACTGTCATAGGTTATTTTATCTTTTTTTTTTTGATGTATGTATATTTATTTACATTTTAATTAGGATATTAAATATATAAATTATTTTACATAAAAAAAAACACTTGATCAAACAGTGTCAGTGAATGCACTGCAAACATGAAAGCACAATAGCCAATTCCTGCCTCCACACTGCATACATGGACATACATTGCATACATTGGTTATGGACGGCAAATGCACTGTAGATGAGTTAAACAGGGGGGGGTGTTTTGCCAAGTAGATCCTGGAATAACATTAATGTTGATCTTGGAACATCACTATTGACTTAAAAAATTATAATCCATACCGAGACCATACTCTAAACCAGGGGTCACCAATCTCGGTCCTGAAGGGCCGGTGTCTCTGCAGGGTTTATCTCCAACTTGCCTCAACACACCTGCCTGGATAATTCAAGTATACTTAGTAAGACCTTGATTAGCTTGTTCAGGTGTGTTTGATTAGGGTTGGAGCTAAAATCTGCAGGACACCGGCCCTCCAGGAACAAGTTTGGTGACCACTGCTCTAAACCTAACCTTACCTGTAAATTATACTCAAAATCAGACGGGAATCATAGTTGAATAACAATAAGATCAAAGCACATAACTCTGATTGGATGTAGGGCTGGGCGATAAAATCGGTATCGATATTTATTGACCGAGCACTACTATCAATATTGATAAAAAAAGATTTGTTATGTACTTTCGATATAAAGCGCTACAGTTTTATTAAAATGTGGCTGCTGAGCGTATGCCTTGGAAGCAGTGCCAATAAGCTTAGGGTGTAAGTTTGTCATTTCCAATGGAGGCAAATTACATGACGCGCGTATGCGAGTGAAGCGCACATGTTGTGCGTGCATTTTCCAGGCACTTCTAGTTGAAAACATCTTAACTTTTCTGAATGCGGCAAGCACACCACGATTCATGTAAGTTGAACTACCCAATCTGCTTCACACTTTGTAAAAAAATACACATAAAAATGGTAGACTAATTACCTCAGTCAAACACAGCACACCCAAACACTGCAGTGCTTTTTACTTTTTTCTATAAACCTGTCATCCATACTGTCTACTGGGACACTCTATAGGCTTAATGTATTTTATACTGTAGGAATGGCCGTACGCTTAAACTCAGCCCCCTCATAGGACACCTGTGGCAAAAGTTAATTTCAAAACACCCCGTTAACTATGATTTATATTAGGGTTGGGCATCTAAGCTATAATGCTGATCCGATACGCATCTCGATACAAAGAATACGATCCGATATATTAGCGATACATTTATGACATATTGCGATGCGACACGATACGATTCACACCCATATCACGATACAATGCGATAATTCAGCACTAACTAATTAGATCAAGTTTATGAGATTATGTGAAAGAGGATGCTGTGCCATTGAATGAGTTTGATTATTTATTAACCAAGCAAAACCAAGACTTTTTTTTACAAACTGGCTTTTCTCTCAGAGCCAGAGTGTCAGTTTACAGTAGAGAGCCATTTTAGAACATATAGCACATATTATTTAAGTATTTTCAAGATAAACAGAATGTATAAGTGCAATATATATTAAAATATATATATTTGCACTCTTTCAACATAAAGGTTGAGCATTGCACAACAAGAATTGTGATTTAACTTTACAACTATGAAAACAAGTTTTACAAAGATATATTTTGCCACTGATTATTCAAAACTTAAGGTCGTGAACTAGCAGTGTTATGCTGCGTTGAAACATCACTGTCACTGTAAACAACAGGCTAATAAAAATATAACAAACCAGCAATCTTCTTGCTGTGAGGTGGTCAAACTACCCACTGTGCCACCGTGACACCCATTATTTTTATCATTATTATTATTAATATTATTATTATAATTAAATAAAAATTAACAGGAGGAGGTGTTTAAAACCGCCTAGGGCGGCAGTATAGAGAGGGCGGCGTCCGCAACACCCAGTTATATCCGCGCATAGGGTGGCAGAATAGAGGTCCGCGACACCCGCGCGTCCTCAGTTATATCCGCGCATAGGGCGGAAGAATAGAGGTCCGCGACACCCGCGCGTCCTCAGTTATATCCGCGCATAGGGCGGAAGAATAGAGGTCCGCGACACCTGCGCGTCCTCAGTTATATCCGCGCATAGGGCGGAAGAATAGAGGTCCGCGACACCCGCGCGTCCTCAGTTATATCCGCGCATAGGGCGGAAGAATAGAGGTCCGCGACACCCGCGCGTCCTCAGTTATATCTGCGCATAGGGCGGCAGAATAGAGGTCCGCGACACCCGCGCGTCCTCAGTTATATCCGCGCATAGGGCGGAAGAATAGAGGTCCGCGACACCCGCGCGTCCTCAGTTATATCTGCGCATAGGGCGGCAGAATAGAGGTCCGCGACACCCGCGCGTCCTCAGTTATATCCGCGCATAAGGCGGCAGAATAGAGGTCCGCGACACCCGCGCGTCCTCAGTTATATCCGCGCATAAGGCGGCAGAATAGAGGTCCGCGACACCCGCGCGTCCTCAGTTATATCCGCGCATAAGGCGGAAGAATAGAGGTCCGCGACACCCGCGCGTCCTCAGTTATATCCGCGCATAGGGCGGCAGAATAGAGGTCCGCGACACGTCACTTCATTTTCATAACCGGTCACTTTCGTTTTCACATTGGGGTTGAGGGCGGCGTGATCGTCCTCTGCCTAGAGCAGCAGTTCAGCTTGCTCCGGCCCTGCAGATGAACAATGCAATAACATCCGTTATTGGCATAGAGCGCACAAAACTTTTGCGCATGGAAAAAAAAACTTGCAATGCTTTTCTCACCACTTTTGGAGCTGGTAGCTACAGTTGAAGCAGTGCGAAAGCCGGGGATGTAGGAACACTGGAAGATGCTTCCACAACAACACCGTGGCGCCGCTTCAAGTGAGATTTCAGATTAGTCGTACTGCCCGCGTATTTTATGGATGCGCGGCACATTTTGCAAATTGCATCTGTCCTGTCAAGTTGTCCATCCTTAAATCCATAATGTTGCCATACTTTAGATTTAAAACTCAGTGGGAAATAAAATGTTTGTTTTGCTTCTCGCGCTTTCTGAGGGCGCACCACTAGCTTCATCCGCACACCTGATACACTGAGTTGTAGTGTAAGTGTACACATCCGCAAATCCGTTGCTAAGGCTTACTTTATGTAGGTCCATTAAATTATGCGCCAAAAACAGGTTGACAACACTTGTTAATAAATAAAAAATACATTCTATATTAAAAAAAATAAGCTGTATCTCGGAAAAACCGATGCATCTCGATTTGCTTCCAAAATTTCATTCATCCTCTGCTGCTCAACCGATACACTCGCATCGTGCACGCGCATGACCGTGTATCGATACATATCGATTAATCTTCCCATCCCTAATTTATATGCATTATAAATTGCAGGGACATACGGTGTGTCCATGTTAACCACCTTAAGAGTATTACTAGGTCATAATACAACTTTGTGTCCCTGTAAACCACATAAATCTGTACACACACACACACACGGTCAAGGTGATTTAAAGTTATATCTTTCTACAAGCTTTGTGTTTATGAAGAGTAGGGATGCTACTCTTTTAAAAACGATCCAATCTCGATGCCAATATTCTGAGTATCGATCAATTCAGATCCGATCCCGATACTGTTTTTTTTTTTCTAAGCATAATACAGTTTCTATAGCTCTGGTGCTAAACTCAAATAATATATCTTCTTTGGTAAAAATAACAGACATAGGTCTTCTGTATATGACAGACATGATGCTTGCTGTAAACTAGGCTACATCATTTGAGCATTCGGTATGACATTAATTTGTTATGGTCCAGCTTATGGGCTCTATTTTGATGATCCATGCGCAAAGTGCAAATCGCAGGGCGCAAATGCATTAAGGGCGTGTCAGAATCCACTTTTGCTAATATAAGGACGGAAAAATCCGCTTTGCGCCGTGGCGCATGGTCTAAAAGTGTTGAGTTTATTTTCTTAATGAGTTAAAGGTGTGTTTTGAGAATAAACCAATCAGAGTCTCATCTCCTATTCCCTTTAAAAGTCAGTTGCGTCACGCCATGGCAGATTTGCTATTTACATGACGTAAAGTAAGTTTAAGTGAAAAAACTGAGCATTACACTAGCAGGAAAACAGAGCATCTACAGCGTGAGAATGAGAGATGAGCCTCCTCATTATTTACTTTCACTTTCGCTCTCGTGGATAGGGAAACTTCTTGTACGCACAGACATCAATTAGCCTATAAATAATTAATTTCGTTTGTTAAGCACAAATATTTGTTTCAAAACTGTTTCTAAATTCAGTTTTAATTTCCAGCAAATGAATAAATGAACAATAATATCCAAGTGTGCTCAAAAAACTGAGTTACATCCTAATACACATGCTGTGCCCCATATGGTCTGAAACCTGACAGGTGGACAAATCTAAGCTTGTTTTTAATAAAACAAATATAAATATGCATATAATAAATAATACTGCGAATAATAATAACATTATACAAAGGCAAATTGTCATGAATAAACGGAAAAGCCCTCCGAGATGAAGAATGCATGGAAGTATGGTTTTTACATTTATGTAGGCTAGAAAATAATATGTTTTGTAATATTTTAATCCTTTATATTTATGTCCTATATATATCCTTATTATATTCTATAAATATCCTTAATATTTTAATTCTTTTTCATATGTAAAGTTTGTGTATTGCTCTACATCTTGTGTGTATTAAGCAATGTGTAAGCGAGGCGCACAACTTACATGCTCTGCGCTAGACAATAGACCGCCTTTGTTCTGGTCTAATGAAAAATCTATTTTAGTTTCTCAACATAGCAACGTGCCAGCAATGCGCCTCAACACGCCTTCCTTTTTAAATCAGAACTCCTATGGATGCACATATAACCGCAAATGCATTTGCGATTAAAACAGAACAAAACGTCAAAACGACTCTTGCGCCAACAACAATTGCGTCGCATCTGCCCCACATTGTGTCGGGTGTATGATAGGGCCCTTAGTTTCCTTTTTTTAATATTAAGATTTTTCTTTGAAACCTGTAATAAACTACCACCATTACCACTAATCATTGGTAAAATAATTAGCCTTTTAGCAAAGCCTGATATTTTCCTGCAGGTTTGACGCAGACTATTTGTGTAAACTTGTAGAGCGGCGCACAGTGCGAAGAAAAAGGTCAAGTAAACAAAACATAGCTGCCGTTTAGGCTGAAGTAGCACCCTTTTTGTTATATGTAAAAGCTATAATGTCTTATTATTACTTTCTGTATCTAGGCCTATTTGAAAATGAAGAAAATGTCTAAAGACAAACTTTTGTTTTTAGAAATAAATGTTCATTTAAAAACTTAACGTATTATTTTACTATCAGAGATGCTCAGATTAAAGCTCTGTGAATCTGCTTTTAATATCTACGGTAACCAGAGCCGGCGCTTCCATAGAGGCGACCCAGGCGGCCGCCTAGGGCAGCAGAATAGCCCTGGTCCTTGCTGTCATACGCGCAATCACACCGCCGTCTCTCGTTTTCGGTATGAGGACGGCATGATCACTGCATGATCATCTTTTGCCTAGAGCTCTAGTTTAGTTTGCTCCGGCCCTGACGGTGACCTATCATGCCTAAAACAAAGAATTAAATTATTAAAGTGACGATCGGGTGCAGATACATATATCAGATAAAACTATATGTGCAGGCGGGTGGCGGGTGGATGATTAATATGAAGCCGCGGATTCGGGTGTCATTTCAGCTGATCCGCGCATCTCTTGTATACTGTTATTACTGTGAATGACAATTTTGCAGTTTGGAACATTCTTTAGCCAATACTTGTAAAAAAAATTTCACAGAAGGTATTTTAAATGGTCCTCCTTTAAATTTAATATGTACTCGGTTAAAAAAAAAAAAAAAGGATTGTTAGGTTTAATGTACTTATTGTGTACTTCTTGTACTTCAAAACACTGCTGTGATTAAGGTGGACTGCAGTTAAGGATATGGTGTTGTTCTGTGGTATGGTTAGGATTTTAGGTGGTTCACAGGGTAGGGTTAGCCTCGATTAAAGACAGAATTATAGAAATAAATTACAGATAATGGTGCTCCAATCAGGGTTTTTAGGGCCGATCACTGGTCCTCAATCACATTAGACATATAAAAATTTTTGTAATTTAATGAAAACAATTAGATGTTTCATCTTTTACTCATTTAATATTTTATAATTTATCTGTTTTTTTTTTTATTCAGAGGAACCTGCTCTAATTAGACCATTGAACTCTGAATTGTCGCTGCACTATGTTTTCCAAAAAAGGCCAATAAAACATTAAAAAAGCTCACACTGATACTGATGCCAGAAAGGTAACATTTAAAAAGGTATATTGCTCTCACATCTGAAGCAGATGAGGCTGGATGACTCCTTTAAGCCACTGAGAGTGAAGTGCTCTGGCCATTTTAACACCAAGTACCTTGAGAAAACAAACAGACAAACAAACAAACAAATAAACAAATAATTCCATACATGAAGTACTGTGAAATGGTTTAGGAGGTCACAGCAATGGTGTAATGACCATATACAGTTGAAGTCAGAGTTATTAGCCCCACTTTGATTTTTTTTTTCTTTTTAAAATATTTGATGTTTAACAGAGCAAGGACATTTTCACAGTTTGTCTGATAATATCTTTCTTCTGAAGAATGTCTTATTTGTTTTATTGCGGCTAGAGAAATAGCAGTTTTTAATTTTTAAACAACATTTTAAGATCAAAATTATTAATCCCTTTAAGCTATACATTTTTTCGAGTTTACAGAACAAACCGTCGTTATACAATAACTTGTCTAATGACCCTAACCTGTCTAGTTATTCTAAATAACCTAGTTAAGCCTTTAAATGTCACTTTACACTGTATAGAAGTGTCTTGAAAAATATCTAGTCAAATGTTATTTACTGTCATCATGGCAAAAATAAAATAAATCAGTTATTAGAAATGAGTTATTACAACTATTATGTTTAGAAATGTGTTTAAAAAAAATCTGCTCTCTGTAAAACAGAAATCCAGGGACCAGGGGAGCTAATAATTCAGAGGGGCTAACAATTCTGACTTCAACTGTATATATATATATTTCCATCTTGACAGTGAAATCATATTTGGAGTGAAATCAACTGATAAAACACTGACAGTCATGAAAAAGCCTCCACAGAGTCCTTTATATATCGACAATTTGGGCTTACCAGGACAAAAGGGGGGAAAAATTAAAAGTGCTGGGGTCAGAAAGTCCCAGTATCCCATAATAGCTTCCCCCAAAAGAGTTCAAGTGGTTGCATTTTGTTCTTCTTAATATTTATTGTGTGTATATATTTGTCATTCCTTCTGTTTGTAACCTATTAAAGAGGCTAATCATAAATATGACTAATTAAAAAAGTCATGAAGACATTGATACATAAAGGCTTTAAAATGCTGCCTTTGGAAGGAAAGGACATTGAATTACTTTACTAAGTAAATATTACACACCAGATCTATCAATCCAGCATTTAATCTATCAGATTAGGAACTGATACATAAAGGTTGTAAAATGCTGCTTTTGAATTGCTTAAAAATATTACACACTAGAGCTACACAGTTAATCGAAAAAAGATTGCGATCTCGATTCGATCCCCTAGAGCAGAGGTCACCAATCTCGGTCCTGGAGGGCCGGTGTCCCTGCAGGATTTAGCTCCAACTTGCCTCAACACACCTGCCTGGATGTTTCAAGTAAACTTAGTAAGACCTTGATTAGCTTGTTCAGGTGTGTTTAATTAGGGTCGGAGCTAAAATCTGCAGGACACCGGCCCTCCAGAAAAGTTTGGTGTCCCCTGCCCTAGAGGATCTTAATTCAGCATTTCTTCGATTCTGCCAATCATATGTTCAAGTTCAGGAGAGAAGCAAAGGCGGCTGTACAAGCCATGTTGTTTTACATACATTCCTCAGCAACGTGGACACCTCTAAATGGTGTTAAAAGTTTCACATACTGTATTTATAAGCAGGGCTTTACATTAACACCCGCCAACCCGCCAAATGCGGGTAGATTTCCAATCTGGTGGGTAGGACAGCCGCTCCCACTAGCCACTTTGGCTGGTTGGTAATAATTTTTACAATGTAGTTTTCTTAAACCAGGGTTCGACAATAAGGATGGCCCAAATTTTGATGGTAGAATCAAGAAGAAGCACGACTGACAAAAATAACTGTTTGCGCGAGCAAAAGCAGGTGAATACCTTATGAGAGGATGATTACTCGCGCGAAATGCAGTGCACCCACAGTCCTGCTGCTTTCAAGAGCTCAAGATTAAAAAATATATATACATACATCCTTTTGTAAGCAGCAGCAGTACCCTAACTGCTTTCATTTTAATAATTATTTGAAAAAATGAACAGGCCTAACATTAACTGGGTGCATGTGATCATCCTTTCATTATCACACACAGTATGTTTTTATCTGCTTTCTTTTGCTTACTGTTATTTTTGTTAATATAGTTTAATAATCATCCTTTACAATAACTTTGCTTTAATAGGAGATTAACTCTCTATTTATGTTAACTGCTGATCTGGGTCCTTTAGCCAGGACAGATGTGCATATTTTAGATACATGACAGTAGATCTTTTTAAACGTCAATAAAAAAAAAAAAAAAAAAATTTAAAAAAACGTTTTGTTTGGACACCCCTGTTATAGTTTGTGAACGTTGTTTTTTATTTGCGAATTTACTGCTTTAATTTTACATTAGGAAGATAAGGATTCCTTTAAATGTTAATATATATATATGTTAATATATATATGTTAATATATATATATATATATATATATGTTAATATATATATATATATATATATATATATATATATATATATATATATATATGTTAATATATATGTTAATATATATATATATATATATATATATATATATATATATATATATATATATATAACTGCCTTTCACAAGAGAAAGATTACTTTTCTCCTGAAGAAAAAATATTATAGGAAATACTGTGAAAATGTTCTTGGTCTGTTAAACATCATTTAAATATTTTGATAAAATAAAAAATAAAAATCACAATAGGGCTAATAATTCTGACTGCAACTTCAACTTTTGCCCTTAAACATCAATATATTTTTGTTACATGTAATGTGAACCAGGATATAAACCATCATAAAGCAGCTTAATCAATTGTACAGTAAAGAAACACACACAAAAAATATTGTCTAACCTTTGGTGCTTGCTTGATGAGTTCATTGCAGAGGTCCAAAAAGCAGAAAAACCTGTAGACGTTCTCGCTGCCAGGAAACGACTGGCTCTCCGCTGTACTGTCCTGTGTAAAGCGAGTCCTACAAAACCGACAACGCATCTTCAGAATGACATTAAAAACACCTCTATAAATAAATCAATTAGTTACTTCATAGCAAACATACCTCCACTGTACAACGGAGAAGCTGTGGATGTCTGCAGGGTCGATAGTTGAAGGGATGAGTAAGTAAAGTTCAGTCAGCCTCTGGGCGAGAAGGTCACACAGTGGAGTTCTTTCAGCCAGCAGATGTCCAGTGTCTTCCTGTGTTGAGCTGACCAGAAGCAGCAAACTCTCCAAAGACCTATGTGCAACCCGACGTTTCTAAGAGAGATGGAGAGCAAGTTTTGTTAAAAACAATGGGGCTCATTTACTAAACAAAAATGTGTGTGTGAAATCTGCAAACAAACATATTCACAAAGCAATGATCATTACAACACACCGGCCTTACTGAAGTTAATTGCAGATTTATGATGTAGATACACACGTACACAGCTGAGCGGTCTGTAATCTCTGTTTGTATAACAGGCGTATGCTGTAACGTGAAACAGCTTCCGGGTCCACGTGCTCTTTTGCCCCATTCACACGGGGCTTCAGCGCCATCGCTTGACTGAAGGCGTGTCTGAAGTTGGGGCTTAGGCGATCGTCATAGCAGCGTCAGCCAATAAAATTCAGTCAATAGGCTACTGTTTAGCTGGTGTATTTGCATACAGCGATCTGATTGGCTGATGCTTCCGTCTGCGCTTGAAAAGTTGAGCTAGGCCCAACTTCTGCAGCGAGCAACACCTCTGAAGCAGCGCCGACGGATCCACAATGCAGTTCGGCAACACCTGACGTCACCCATTCAAAGTGAATGGAAAGCGTTGACGCTGATGCTCCGTGCGAATGTGGCGTTTCAAACTGTACAGGGAGGCTCAGCAAATGGTGCTAATAAAAGTTTACAAAGTGATGTAACACTTTCAAAAATCATGATTGCAATATATATACATATATATGCGTGACGGTGGCGCAGACTGTATCGCTGTCGCCTCACAGAGAGAAGCTCATTGGTTCGAGTCCCGGCTGGGTCAGTTGGCATTTCTCTACACTCCCAATATTATTCTGCATAAATCAAAAGAGTTTCTACAAAATTCTGCATAGAAGTAGCAAAAAAATTCTGCAGATTCTGTCTAACCCTTTTTAATCCGGGACACGTGGGTAACATGAACTAGGAATAAATAATACTTATACAGTAATTGTTAATAAAACATTCCTACTAATGCATTCTTAAAATCAAAACGCAAATCAAAAGTACTCAGATACAATCTAAAGGAGGTCATTGAAGTACGCTGTCAATGTTCATTTAAATATAAAAACTTAAAAGTGAGGCGGCGCAGTGGCGCAGTAGGTAGTGCTGTTGCCTCACAGCAAGAAGGTCACTGGTTCGAGCCTCGGCTGGGTCAGTTGGCATTTCAGTGTGGAGTTTGCATGTTCTCTCTGCATTCGTGTGAGTTTCCTTCGAGTGCTCCGGTTTCCCCCACAGTCCAAAGACATGCGGTACAGGTGAATTGGGTAGGCTAAATTGTTCGTAGTGTATGAGTGTGAATGAGTGTGTGGATGTTTCCCAGAGATGGGTTGTGGCTGGAAGGGCATCTGTTGCGTAAAACAAATGCTGGATAAGTTGGCGGTTCATTCCGCTGTGGCGACCGCAGATTAATAAAGGGACTAAGCCAAAAAGAAAATGAATGAATGAACTTAAAAGTGAAGTATGTAAGTTTGACATCCAGTGGTGGAACTAGGTATTGCACTCTTGGATCAAAACACATTTTCACTGGGCTCCTTCTCTGATGAGTTAATGCAAGCACAGGTTGCCAGATTGACGTGAGTGTGCACTGCCTTTCCTTAAAGGGGGATTTAAGGTTTATTTGAACCGTTTTCTAACTAAAAGTAACGGGACGCGATAGAATATTGGTCACACTTTATATTAAGTGTCTTTAACTACTATGTACTTACATCAAAAAAATAAATACATGTATAAATATGTACTTACTGTGTTTATAATGTATTTGAGATCCTAAAAGCACTTGTGGTGCTTTTGAGTTGGGATAGAGGTTGGGTTATGGACAGGTTTGGTGGTATGGGTAGGTTTAAGGGTGGGTTAAGGTGTAAGGGATGGTCAACAGTGTATTTACAAATGTAATTACAAAAGTTAATTACAGATGTAATTACATACATGTATTTAATCAAGCATAAGTACACAGTAAATAGATGTATTTACACAATAAGTACATGGTAACAAACTATTAATTCCTGTGTAAATACATATTAGTTAAGGCCATTTAATATAAAGTGGGATCGGAATATTTACCATACTCAAAGGAGAACTACAGGATCACCTCAGGTACACCTCATGCGCTTAATTAAGTGGTTAATGCTTATAATGTGAGTTTGAATGCCGTTTTACCAGACGTTTATTGCAACACTACTGAAAGCAGCAGCAGATAGATCTCAGCCAAGACATATCAGTGTTCAAATGTGCCAAGACATATCAGTGTGTCAGCATGTACACTTAATAATGTTAAGATTGTAAACCTTACCATTTGGCTGGAGTGCAGTGAGTGCACTTTTCTGTGCTTCTGAATGACTGTATTTAATTTCTGTCGTGTTTCTTCTGGTGCAAACAGCCAAATTACTTATCACTGCAAATCTCGTCACATAGCGTGTTGTTAGGACACAAGGTTACAATGCAATCTGCTCATCTAAAGTTTACGTTTGTAATATTTATATTATTTGCTCCTTAATAACCACTTCATGTGGAACTCCGAATCTGCGTCTCATTTTAGAGTCTGCTACTGCCCACTGGAGGTTGCATTCCGGTCGCTGACGCATATTTTAAGAGCCTTCTTGACTGAAGGAATCAAATAGGCTGTTTCCATGAATGCAACCTGGGGTGCTGAAATACAATTGGCTAAACTGATATTGGGTGGGTTAAAAAAACAAAAACAAAGACATCTGTTTTGGTTTGAGACGCACATTTTTAAAGCAGAATATCTGACTTCATCATTGTTTTTCAGATACACAAGAATTTTCACTTGGCATGATTCTTAAAATATCCGCAAGCATATTATGGTATTTTTATGCTTTAGAATAGTCCAAACCTTACATACAGCACCTTTAAGTCAAAATTGGTGTGAATAAAATACTTCTATTGTAGTCCTGCATTTTTAGCTACACCTTTAACCCTTGTTCTGTTTTTTTCCCCCAGAATGAATTACCTCACTTTTTTCCAGGTGAAGGAGTACAGGGATCATGCCTGTGGCTTCCTGAGGAGAGCTAACAGGATGAGCTCCACTACGGGATAAAAGGGAGCAGGCAGAACTGGATGAGGAGGGTGAGGATGCCCTCTCTGGACTGGAGGATCCACTGCAGTCCTTCTCCGCAGCCTCGTCTGAGGTAGAACTAGATCTCTTCAGAGAGTCGTTTTTAATCTTTGATAAAGATGGAGGTGTGTTTGTCATCATTTTTAAGATTTCAAATTCAGCAGAGTGTAAATGTTAATGAGAGTCAACATAGCAATGACAAGAAGACAAAATTAAATACCTCAAGGATATAGTTAAGGACATAGGGATCTTTGTTAACTTGTGTGCAAACAGCAAAGAGAAACTGGGACTCTTCTTTTTCTGTCTGTGAATGGGGGAGTCCGCACAGATTGATCAGCTTCTATAAAAGAGTGACAATCTGGTTTTTAGAAGACATTTTCCACCTCACAAAGTGTAGTCCAAACTCATTTTTCCATAGAAAATTTGTTACATTCCATACCACAATTTAGTGACTTTATATGCTCTACAAATGTAAATAATCAACAGGGTGGCGTAAATTTAAAACTATTGTGCTGAAATAAGCAAAAAAATGTACAAATTGGCACAAAGTTGCTAAAATGTGGAAATAATTAACTGCACATAATACAAATAAAAAAAATTTAAATATATTTTTATTGTTTCAATCAATTCAAAAAGTTAAAGGAATCTTTTTACACCACCTGACAAAAGTCACCAATCCAAGCTTTAGGCACAATAAATAATAACTTCACTTCTAGTTGATCATTTGTTATCAGAAGTGGCTTATATGAAAAGCAAAAGCCTCTAGATTACGCGTATTTTACCAAAATAAAATATGATTATGCCTTGATTTTTCACTTAACAGAAATAATGTACATTATAAAATATAAAGTCATGGTGCAGAGGAGAAAGAATTAATATTGTGTATGACTCTCATGAGCTTGGAGGACTGCATCCATTCATCTCTGCAATGACTCCCAGAGTTCATCAACATTCTTTGGATTCATCTTCAATGCCTCCCCCTTCATCTTACCCCAGACATGCTCAATAATGCTATCTGCTAAGGAATTTGCCCTCTTCTGAGGTTTGTAATGTAATGGGCAGCACAAATGTCTTGATACCTCAGGATGCTGATGTTGTCATCAACTCTTGCACACCCCCATACTGAATGTAAGCCCAAACCATAATTTTTCCTTCACCAAACTTGACTGATTCCTTTAAGAATCTTGGGGCCATGCGATTTCCAATAGGTCTTCTGCAGTATTTGTGATGATTAGTATGCAGTTCAACAGATTCATCAGAAAAATCTACCTTCTGTCACTTTCAAAATAATCAACCAGAAGTCAAGATATTATTTGTTACTCTTACAACTGGGATTGACGACAAGACTTTTGTCAGGTAGTGTAAAATTGAATTTTCCCATTGTGTCTTTTTGCACAAACCATCAGCAAGGTGGATATTCGACGACCGTAAATGCGCACCACTTTCTTCGACAAGCAGATCAGCCATACTAACCAGACATAGTAGAGTAACATTGATAATTAACAGAAAAAATTATGAAAATGTACTTGTGTAGGATTTACAACCCAGACAGCAGTTACCCAGAAAAGCTATGCTTAAATTTCATCTTTTGCTGAAACCATTGTGTATGAAGATGTGTATGAAGTGGATATGTTTGTATGGATGGCAAGAGTCAATATCTTAAATTTTGTAGTTCCAAATAAATCGTCTTTGTACTGTACAGTAGTCAACATTTGAAGTGGAACAAAAATGCTAATTAAAATCGTGCAAAGGCAAGAATAGGTGTTGTTCAATAGTTTAAGAGATAACTTTGATGAAAGGTTTTGATCCACTTCAAATGTTGACTACTGTATACAGTTGAAGTCAGAATTATTAGCCCCCCTGAATTATTAGCGCCCCTGTTTACTTTTTTCACTAATTTTTGTTTAATGGAGGGAAGATTGTTTTAGCACATTTCTAAGCATAATAGTTTTAAAAACTTATTTCTAATAACAGATTTATTTTATCTTTGATATGATGACAGTAAATAATATTTTACTTGACATTTTTCAAGACACTTTGATACAGCTTAAAGTGACATTTAAAGGCTTTACTAGGTTAATAAGGTGAACTAGGCAGGTTAGGGTAATTAGGCAAGTTATTGTATAACGATGGTTTGTTCTGTAGATTATCAAAAAAAAAAATTTAGCTTAAAGGGGCTGATAATTTTTTTCCAAAAATGGTTTTTAAAAAATTAATAACTGCTTTTATTCTAGCTGAAATAAAACAAATAAGACTTTCTCCAGAAGAAAAAAATATTATCAGACATACTGTGAAAATTTCCTTGCTCTGTTAAACATCATTTAGGAAATATTTAAAAAAATAAAATAAAATCAAAAGGGGGCTAATAATTCTGACTTCAACTGTATATTATTGACTATTTTGTATACGCTTTGAAAGTTTTGTTTAATGTTGAGTACTAAGATATCTTTTGGGTTAGGATTTTGCTGAAAATAGTCATGGGTTCTGTCCATTTACTCTGAAGATCTGGATTTGTGTTTATGGTTTTGTTCAAATGAAAGGTGCTTCCAAGATATGCGTTATAGCAATTGAGAAAAACTGTCAAATTTCAATTGATCAAAATGCCACAATATTTTACCTCGCCTCACAGCAAGAAGGTAAATTGGCCATATTTTATGTGTGTAAAAGAGTTTGTATGGGTGTTTCCCAGTGTTGACAGATGGAAAACATAAGCTGGATTAGTTGGCGGTTCATTCCACTGTGGTAACCCCTGATTAATAAAGGGACTAAGCTGAAAAAGAAAATGAATGAATAAATGCTGCCTTCAGGAGTGTAAGAAGCTTCATTTTCAAAAGTATAATGTCCTGAAAATAATCTCGGAGCTCTTTGTCATTCAGTGACAGTTGTTACTTAGCATGTCTTACCTGTACAGGCCGATAAACATTAATTAAATGCAGCACAGGCTTCTGGATATGGCTCAGGACTTTAGAGAAGAACACCATCACTTGTTGGCTCATGCCAGGGGGATACTGTAGAATGAAGAAATAATACAATTCACACTTTCATGTACAGCAGATTCAACACTTTTTAATGCACCATTTATTTTAAATGAAGCACCGTTGTAATTCACATCCCCAGCATATGCCTCGCTAACACTTAATATTTACATTAAAACTCTGGGAGTATTGATGATGTTTGAATGTGGCATTATCAAAAAATTCAGGAATTAAACTAACATTTCATCAAATTTAGTCATGTTCACAGAACTTTAATACAAATTTGTTGAATTCAATACTAGGAAATTCAAACGTGGATTCTGAAATATTCAGATCAAATGTGCATTATTTGTCATAGTTCTTGTACAAGATTTAAATGTAAGATTTTTAAATTAAGAATTTCTCTTTTTTCCATTCTGTTTTTGACAGGAGAACAGTGCAACTGTTGAAAAACAACAACATAAAATTCATTTCAAATAAAATTCAAGCACTTTTAAGTTTCTTTTTAAAGGGTCACGAAACACCAAAACACATTTTTTGAGCTGTTGACAGTCGTATATGTGTCCCACACTGCTAAAAACACTAATAGGACACCTATATTTCACAAAAAAGTGTAAATTGGTTGTTTTTGCGTTATTTCAAGCAAATTCGTACTTCCTGTTTGAAACGAATTTTTGAAGCTGCGTCACGGCCATGACATAATAGCCTGTATTCCAGCGTGCAGACTGGGCGTCTGTGCCAGAGTGAGTCTTACTAGTCTTAGTCTTACAGTGTGTTGCATTAATGCATGAGTAAGGCTTGGTTCAAACCAATCAGCGCGCTCTATTGTGCAACTTCATAAATATTCATTACTGTGTTTACACGACATAGACGCCACGTTGTGTTGGCAAAACAAGCGTGAAGTGTTGCTTTTATAGTTTGCTGGCGTTAAGTTTCGTTTTCATTTTCTCTCTGTGAGAGCTCAGACTCACGTGTGGATTAACAGTGTACGCGACGCTCGACAACAATAACTTACGTGTCTAAGGAGGATTATTGTTTACCTGAGAGCTGTTCTCATCTGCAAACGATGAGATCGGATTGCTTGTAGTATTCTCTTCATAAAGACGCGGCTCTTGTTGCTGTGGATTGTCCTGTCTCTACAGATTTGGTAAGTGAGCGACCAGTGCTCTTTGTTTATTCAGTTTGTTCGTATCGAACTAACTTTTGCACCGTAACATGTTAGGACCACAACCAAACTTTAACCTCGTGTAGGGTTTTTAACCGCATTTTGTGACCGGAATAACACACGCGGCTTTCTGACTAAGTTCTAAGTTGGTTTGGACTATTCTAAAGCATCTAAGTTTCCGGGAAATGCAGAGTTTTTTTTCTCTCATTCGCCGTGCGGTATCAAACATTGCATGAAAAATACAGGCTTAGAGCAGTTCCTCGAATCAAATATCTCGTTTGTCGCGAGGGACATGAATGAATACCCTGAATGAAAGAGCCAAACTGCAGTTAAAGTCCACCATTTAATAATTTGGCAAATAATTCGACTACAGATGTCCATGTAGGTTAAACACCATCACTTTCTACTGTGTGTTAGTGTTTTGACTGAAACTCGCGCGTGCCCAAATAGACACTCCCACACCCTCCCACTTTAGTTCCTCCGACACTCCCCCCTAAACAGAGCTGGAAACGCCCACTTTTCTGACTTTTTCCAAAGTAGATGTGTGAAAACACCCTGCTGAAACAAGGGGGTTTCATGGCCCTTTAAGTACTTTCCATGCCTTGAATATGTCTGAAATTCAAATAGTTTCAAGTAAACGTGTGGTAATCATGATAATTAATTTCCAGTTTTGCCTTGAAGCTGTGTCCTCATACTGTACCTGTGCTTTTCCTAGTGTGCAAAGTGTTTCTAGTATTTTGTGCTGGAGCAGGTACTCCATGCAGGGACCTGCTTCCTCTCCTTGCTGTTTCTCCTCATACACCAGAATATCCAGCATCTGCCGGAGCCTCCATGGGATGTCTGTATTCTTCACCGCACGAGACTCATCTTTGTAGAAAAAAAGATCAATGTGAGATAGGGCTGCACGATTAATCAAAAAAAAAGATCACGATCTGGATTCAACCCTACACATGCTATTAATTCAGCTTTTCTACGATTCGGCCAATTCTATTTTTAAGGTCAGAAGAGAAGAGTGAGAGTGGACACACAAGTCTTCACAGCAACATCGACACCATTAGACGGTGTTAAAAGTGTCACATACTGTATTTATAAGGTATAATTCACCCAAAAATGTCATTTTTGTCTTCATGTTATGATGTATTCGTGGCCACGAAATCACACGTGAGTTGACCGCTAGTTTCTTTACTTCCGAGAACGCGCGCGTGCACGCATGACGCCTACTTTATTGAACAGAACCTGCATAGGCTGTGAATAACAGGTAATGAAGTTGTAAACAACGTTCAGTTTGTTGCACAGAGTGATCGTTTGAGGGCTGTACAGGAGGTTTGATTAGCATGTGTGTATTTTTTCTCACAGTGAGCGCAACCATGAGCCGCATTCGGAAGTGAAACCTGTGCGCACATCATTTAAATGATCATAACGCATTTTACAGTTATGATTACGACAAGCATTTGATATGTTTTTTCTTTCATACTGAACACATAAGTGTTGTGGATGAAACTGTTTACTGTGTCAGTATAACAACCCTAGCCTATATATAATTTTAAATATAATGCAAGAAGGAATCTGATAATGACAAAATTCTAATTTTACCAGTGAAAACAAATGGTCTTATAATGCTGTCAATGCCAGATGACAAGTACATGTCTTAGGATGCTTTCACACCTGCATTAATTAGTTCGATTGAATCGCACTAGAGCTCGTTTTCCCTTTTGGTGCGGTTCGTTTGGGCAGGTGAGAATGCAGCAATTGTACTTAAGTCCGCACCAAAAGCGGACCAAGTAAGTGTACCGAGAGCTGCTTGAAGAGGTGGTCTCGGTACGCTTTCAAACGAACCCTGGAGCGGTTTGTTTGTGGTGAGAATTTGATCCGTACTAAAACAGGTCCAACTGCAAAAAGTACTGCGCCTTTTGGACTAATCCAGCTGCCGTAGGCCGATGCGCTGTGCATTATGGGATATGGAGGAAAAATATTTGTTGACAGCGCTTTACCAACAGAGAGAGAGAGAGGGGGGAAAACATTACCTGATGGATCGTTGGTAATATTTCCACAAGATGACTATGTCGCAGTTTAGCTAAATTAATTCACGCCTCCTCCTGAAGTGACGAGCGATCCATTAAAACAGTGTTTCTCAACTGGTGGGTCGCGACCCAAAAGTGTGCCATGGGAACATTTTCAGTGGGTCGCGGAGTGTGTGGTCAAAAAAAACAAAAAAACAACCAAAGTAAATTTTTTACTTATTTTGCTTATACCGGACTTTTATTTTAAAATGTGTGCACGACAACCCTACCGTTTGACATGTGAAATTTCATTTAATTATTGCAACACGTAAATATGTAAAGTATGGATATATATATATATATATATATAGATAGATAGATAGATAGATAGATAGATAGATAGATAGATAGATAGATAGATAGATAGATAGATAGATAGATAGATAGATAGATAGATAGATAGATAGATAGATAGATGAAATAAAGACTTAAAGCCTCAGTGTCATATGTAGTGAGGTGCTCTCAAAAGAGAGCATGAAACCTTCTAAATTAAAAAAAACATTTAGAAACTATAAAACATGTTTTATTAAGTTTATTATTAACAGTATTTGTCATTTTTATTTTGTAAAATTTCTGCAATTTCATCCAGCAATGACAGCAATAAAATATTTTTTATTTGTAAGTCTTGGTGAATGTCTTATGATGTATCTGTTACTAGCTTACATTAACAAATAAATACAAATTAATTATAAATCCTAAAATTGTATTATAGTTCCTAAAAGATTTGGGTCGCGGCTTGCTGACCATGTAAAAATGTGGGTCCCATGGCCAAACCAGATGAGAACCCCTGCATTAAAACACTGTTTTCCAGCCTGGGCCATGCTTCACTCTCGAAATGTATAGTTTGTCTAAAGCAGGGATACAATCAGTTATCGCAGTCGTCCCTCCAGAGTAAAAACGACATTTTGTGTCTGCCGGTTTTGTTTACTTTTGGGAATTCGTTGGCATTTTCCCGCACGTGAATTCTGACCAATCAATAAGCAGTTTAGGAAATATGTTTAACAACGTCTGGCCAATGAGAGATGTGGATTTTGTCAGATGACTGCACTTTGGTTCGTTTCAACTGGTTCGGACCAAAGCCAGCAGTGTGGTGTGAAAACGACCCAAAGACGGCAGAAAATGCAACAATGTATCATTTATTGCCCTTGGACCGGACCAAATGAAGCGAACTACAGATGTGAAAGCACCCTTAAACATAATAATTCAACTTTAGAATTATGAATAGTTGTAATCTGATGTCATTATTTTATTGTGAATTAACAAACAGGAAATATTGAAAGTCTGTTCAAGTCCACGACAATGACTATGCAAAATTTAGCATTTAAAGCAACAGTAGATATACACATAGACCTAATATTGTTATTGTTGTTTTACCATATGTTTGAGAATTAACAATAATAGGCTAATCATATTAACCTTTATTCTACATTTACAGAATCGCGAGAAAATCGTGATCTCGATTTTAAGCAAAAAAGTTCAAAAATCGGTCACACTTTACAATAAGGTTCATTAGTTAATGTTAATTAAAGCATTTACAAACATGAACAAACAATGAACAATACATCTACTACTGTATTTGTTCATGTAAGTTAACGTTAGTTAATGAAAATACAGTTGTTCATTGTTAGTTCATGTTAACTCATGGTGCATTAACTAATGTTAACAAGCATGGACTTGGATGTTAATAATGCATTAGTAAATGTTATTTTATGATTAATATATGCTGTACATGTGTTGTTCATGATTAGTTCATGTTAGTAAATGCATTAACTAATGAACCTTATTGTAAAGTGTTACCAAAAAATCATGATTCACATTTTTGCCAGAATCGTGCAGCCCTAATGAGAGACAAACATTAGTTTCACTGCATTTCTGCTTAATGTTTTTCTCTTCTTCACGTGATCAAAGATTGAAGCATGTCATTATTAACTGTTTAACACACTGTATATTATACATAAATACATTTATAAAAGTACTGCTCAAAGTGCATTTCCATTTATAGTTTTACCTGTAGTTTCAATGTAATAGTTGGTTATTGCTTTCCAGTGATCCACAAAAGACTCCAGCAGGTTTATTGAAGGCTCCCTCTGTTAAAATAAGAACAGAAATAAAGTATTTTACTGCAATTACTCCAACTGTTATTAAATCACATATAATCATTTTTATGATTATGAGTTTGTTTGTTTATTCACCAATGTAACAAATGGGTTATTTTTGGTTTTTCTCCTGTTGCCCTAAATGAACAACCAAATGAACAGAGAAGGGTCTCATGACCTTTAGGTTACCTTCACACCTTTCCCCAAATTTCAGGAGGTAAAATATTGACCCTTAATCATGACCAAATAACCAGAGATGGGTCTCGGACCTTATGGTTAACTTTCTCTAAATTTCAGGAGGTAAAATATTGACCCTTAATCGTGACCAAATAACCAGAGATGGGTCTCTGGACCTTAAGGTTAACTTCACACCTTTCTCCAAATTTCAGGAGGTAAAATACTGACTCTAGATAATCATGCTGACATTACTAACCGGCGACGCAGTGGGTAGCACGTTCGCCCCACGGCAAGAGGGTCGCTGGTTCGAGCCTCGGCTCAGTTGGCGTTTCTTTGTGGAGTTTGCATGTTTTCCCTGGGTTCGCGTGGGTTGCCTACGGGTGCTCCGGTTTCCCCCACAGTCCAAAGACATGCGGTACAGGTGAATTGGGTAGGCTAAATTGTCCGTAGTGTATGAGAGTGTATGTGAACGTTTCCCAGAGATGGGTTGTGGCTGGAAGGGCATCCGCTGTGTAAAAACTTGCTGGATAAGTTGGCGGTTCATTCCGCTGTGGCGACCCCAGATTAATAAAGGGACTAAGCCGACAAGAAAATGAATGAATGAATGAACATTACTAACCTTGAATTTGTGCTTTTCAATCAAAAATAATGTACACCAAGCTGAGAGAGAAGGTGGGCCTGATCAACTCTTATCTAATAGGCAGACCTTTGGCCAGCACCCAAATGTTGACTATAAAGGTGAGGGTTTCTTGCTGAAACATTGGAAGCTCAGCCATGGGATAAGTGCACATCGCCAGGCATTCTCGGACACACGTGTTGTTTTTATAATGTGACTGCAACGGGCTTCTCAGTCTTTAAAGTTGTAAATGATGGCACGTCTCTGAGGTTGAACATACTTATATCAAATTGCTTGGGGTTTTATTATCTGTCTTTTATTCATGCATAATCTCATCGTTATTTCGCATTATAAGCCTTCTATGCAATTTTGTTGTATTTCGATGATTATTGACTATTATTGTGATAATTGATATCAGCTGTGTGTACCAGCAATAAACAGTTGTATTGCTTGATTAGTATTGTGTATGGACTTTATTGGTGTCTTCTCTTGTCGATTAGCACCACACTTGTCTCACTTGCATAAACACAATCCATACTAAAATCGTTTTGGTATATGCTGAAACTATTTACATACTAATATTTGGGGCATACTAAAACAACCAGACAACTTTTTGTGTGTAAAAAAAAATTATAGTCTGTGTAAAAAAATTAATTATATATTAGGGATGCACAAATATAACAATTTATATATACACAGTTAAAGTCAGAATTATTAGCCCCCCTGAATTGTTAGCCCTGCTGTTTATTTATTTTTTACCCAATTTCTGTTTAACGGAGAGAATTTTTTTAAAACACATTTTTAAACATAATAGTTTTAATAACTCATTTTTAATAATTGATCTATTTTATATTTGCCATGATGACAGTAAATAATATTTGACTAGATATTTTTCAAGACACTTCTATACAGCGTAAAGTGATATTTAATGGCTTAACTAGGTTAATTAGGTTAACTAGGCAGGTTAGGATAATTAGACAAGTTAATGTGTAATGATGGTTTGTTCTGAAGACTATCGAGATACAGCTTAAAGGGGCTGATAATTTTGACCTTAAAATTGTAAAGGGTTTGTAAAAAATTAAAAACTGATTTTATTCTAGTCGATATAAGACTTTATCCAGAAGAAACAAATATTATCAGAAATACTGTGAAAATTTCATTGCTCTGTTGAACACCATTTGGGAAATATTTAAAACAGAAACAAAATTCAAAGGGGGGCTAATAATTCTGACTTCAACTGTATATTTTTTGGTAATTTTTAACAATTTTTAACAAAAAAATTTTGGACTGTTCATATTTCTAATATTCTGCATTAGACAACTGCACATGATAGGTATTTTGGGGTTGAATTAGATCAATTTAACATTTAATCATCCAACAGTTTTGAACATTTCTTGTAAATTTCCATGGGAACTTTGTCTCAGGAATTTTGGAAACATTGCATGTTGAAAACTTTATATAAACTGTATACAGAAACTAAACTACAAACATTTTGATGATAAGCTGACACAAACTAATAGATATTAAAATGGGATTAATTTACAATTAAATTTTGACTGATTTAATTGTAAGTGGAACTTTTATTCTTTCACTGAGCAACACAAAAGCATAAGTGTTGAATGGAAGAAAACACATCCCCTTACGTTTGCTATAAAATGAACAAATTCCCCACCTTTCCCTAAATACACTAAAGCGACTGTCAGCGCATTCCAGAGTGCATTTGTGGTCATGTGATGTGTGTTTCAGGAGAACTTTTCAGGAATGCAAGATGAAATGCCAGTGTGGATCTTTTTTGTTTTAAAATGGGAGTAGAAATGGGGCATAAGAACATTTAAATATTTAACTTTCTGGAACACAATAATAATAGTGCTACGATTGTATTGTCCTTTGTTGGGAACCCCTAAAAATTATGTTTGTTTTTTCATTACAACTGTATGTTAAATAATCATGGAGAATTATCCAAATATGTCTTGCAAAAAACTAATGACTGGTTAGCTAGAAATAGGAGTATTATCTAACACAGGGGTGCCCAAACTCGGTCCTGGAGGGCCGGTGTCCTGCATATTTTAGTTTCAACCCCAATTAAACACACCTGAAGCATCTAATCAAGATCTTTCTTGGTGTACAAAAACTTTCAGGCAGGTGTGTTGAAGAAAGTTGGAGCTAAACTATGCAGGACACCGGCTTTTCAGGAACGAGTTTGGACACCCCTGATCAAACACAAAAGGCTGAAACATGTTTTAATGAGACAGATAATGTCCACTGCTGTTACACCTGTACTTCTTTTTCTACCATCTTCAGTGTTTTTGAATGTAATTTTCTGATGTTTTTGCAGAAAATATTATTGTTTTGTTTAAAACATGCTGATACTGATTTTATCAAAAGTGAACTTTTTTTTGCATGTTCAAATAAAATATCGTTATGCAATACTCCCGACTTTTTCCGTAAAGGAATAGTTTACTCAAGAATGAAAAGTCTGTTATCATTTAATCTCTGTTCACTTCCAAACCTGTTTGATTATGTTTCTTCTATTGAACTCAAAAGAAAACAGTTTGAACTACTGACTACCATAGTTGATTTTCCTAATATAGAAATAAATTGAGCAAACTGAAAAGCTGAAGATAAAACTAATATTCAAAAAGGAAAAACGCCCATTAACTACAACGGAAACCCTTTTACCAATTAAATTCCAGTATAAAAAATACATTTAATTCGCATTTTTGGATGGAAACAGCTAATGTTTAGGTGTTTTCACGTAGATTAAAACAGAGTTTTCACCAGATTAATGAAATTTATAAAGGTTTGGAACCACCTGAGGGCGAGTAAAATAGTAAGTTACTAATTTTGTGTGAACTATCTCTTTAAATTCATAACTACTATTTCTGACCTTTACTGTGACGTAAGTGTCACAGTGTCGTATGAAGTGTCGTATGATGTGACGTTTGTTTCAAATATTTGAAAGAAAAGTTGAGCACTCAAGTCCTAAAAGATTACATTTTAAAAGGATGACAGCAATGTCTGTCTTGTATACGTTACTGAAAATGTTTAACAAGGTATATAAACAACATAAAAAAATAATAATTACCGTATATATAACAATATAAAAGTGATGAACAATTTAACTTACTGAAAAAAAACAGCTTAAACCAGCATAGACTGGTTGGCAGGCTTTAGCTGGTCAACCAGGCTGGTTTTAGAAGGGTTTTGGCCATTTGCAGCCTGGTTTTCAGCCATTTCTAGGCTGGTCTTAGCTGGCCAGGCTGGGAGATGACCAGGTAAGCAAGCTTGACCCCCCTAGCCAGCCTGGGAGCTCAGCCAAAACCAGCTATATCCAGCTTAAACCAGGCTTGTCAAGCTGGTTTTTACTGGTCATATTTCAGCCTGACCAGGTAAGACCAGCCTAGAAATGGCTGGAAACCAGCCTGGAAATGGCCAAACCCCTCTAAAACTAGGCTGGTCAACCAGCTAAAACCAGCCTAGGCATATATATATATTTAACATTTTATTGAAATATTTGTTTATATTTTCCAGAACAACTGACCACAAAGTTAAGGAACCAGAAATTTTAGGCTGGGAGATAACCAGCTAAAACCAGCTTGACCAGCCTAGCCAAGCTGGGAGTCCAGCCAAAACCAGCTATATCCAGCTTAAACCAGGCTGGTCAAGCTGGTTTTAGCTGGATTTGGCTGGTAATTTTCCAGCCTGACCAGCTAAGACCAGGCTGGAAATGGCTGGAAACCAGCCTGGAAATGGCCAAAACCCCTCTAAAACCAGCCTGGTCAACCAGCTAAAACCAGCCAACCAGCCTAGGCTGGTTTAAGCTGGATTTTTCAGCAGGGAAACATGTTTTATACTTTAAATGAGGCGTTATGGATGTGACCAAATAACGTATGCAGATTTACAGTATATAACATGCTTTGTAGAAATTCTATCATTTAAACTGCACAAACCAAAAGAAACTAAGCTAATCTAAAGGAGAAGAGTAGGCTCACTATAAAACAAAAACGATTGATTTTAGTTTATTTTATATTTTCACATTTATGAGAAAAAAAAAAAGTGTCGCTATGGATGTGACATCTCTTCGTTATGGATGGGACAGATGTGAAATTGCCACTTGAGTGACTTTACTACATGAAATAGATTAGATTAAAAACGCTGACAGATGCATTTTTAAGTATTTCTAAAGTACTGTAAAATACTTGGTTTCCGTATTTTGATGAAAACTTAATTTTCTTCATTGCAAGGTTGACATTTGTAAGGAACCCCAGAAGGGACGTAGTGGGGGAGAAAAAAAATGGGTGGGTGAAAAAAAATGGGTGGGAGGAAAATATATATTTCTTAGTTTTTTGCGTTCTCTCGCAGAGTTTTGCGTTCCCTCGCAAAGATGTTTTGCGTTATCTCGCAAAGATGTTTTGCGTTCCCTCGCAAAGATGTTTTGCGTTATCTCGCAAAGATGTTTTGCGTTCTCTCGCAAAACTGTTTCTCCACAAACACTTCCTGTTCACTGCACTCACGTAAACCCTCCCGTTTTTGCCGAAATTCTCCCGTATTTTACCATTCTACCCCACTTTCTTTACATTACTGTGCGTATGCTACCTATGAACCAATGAATGCATGTATAAGCGCTGACTGACAGACGCGCTTCGTACAATAAACTGATCCCAGATCAGCGTCTGTACACGCCATTTACAGAGGAGCGGGTGTATGTTTAAACAGACAAATACACTGAATAATATGAAACATCTCCGTCCTGCATGTTTTATTTTTAACAGCTTATTTTCTCTTAAATGAGCACAAACAGTTTCTAAAGTAATGGACTGCTTTCATTATAGATCTGTGCATTCTTACAGAGACACCTCTGTTATCAAACTAAACAAAACATGAGATTCATTTGCTGCGTACTTGTTTGATAACAGAAGTGTCCCTTTAAATGGCGCGTACAGACGCTGATCTGGGATCAGTTTTTATTGTATGGAGCGCGTCTGTCAGTCAGCGCTTAAACATGCATTCACTGGTTCAAAGGTTGCAAAGTGAAAGGCGACAATCAGCGCACAGTAATGTAAAGAAAGTGGGATAGAATGGTAAAATATGGGAGAATTTCAGCAAAAACGGGAGGGTTTACGTGAGTGAAGTGAACAGGAAGTGTTTGTGGAGAAACAGTTTTGCGAGAGAACGCAAAACATCTTTGCAAGGGAACGCAAAATATCTTTGCGAGGGAACGCAAAACATCTTTGCGAGATAACGCAAAACATCTTTGCGAGGGAACGCAAAACATCTTTGCGAGGGAACGCAAAAACTTAGAAATATATATTTTCCTCCCACCCATTTTTTTCTTTCACCCATTTTTTTTTTTTCACCTAGCCAATTTTTTTCTCCTCCACTACGTCCCTTCCGGGGTTCCGTAAATTTGCACAGAATTGCTCATATATATATATATATATATATATATATATATATATATATATATATATATATATATATATATATATATATATGATGTTTTTTATTATATTATTAAGATATATTTTGTCACACCATTGCAAAAATGTTATTTAAAAAACACATAAAAAAACTTTAAATAAATTAATTGTCAATCACTCATGAACACTGTGTTTCTATAAATGCACAATCCCTCATTGGAAAACATAAAAAAGGTTATTCCTGAGTAACAAACAGGCTTTTTTGTTGATATTTCGTCCCAGAAACTTGACAAAAACTCGAGTCCAAATATCTCAACTTCCACGACCTGGACAAACTACTGACTATGACAACCCCAACAGTGTTTGAAAATAATAAAACTCACAAATCTCCCTTAAAATGACAAATATCACACAAGTCTTTGTGTATAAAAAGACAATCTAACGTTACAGATAAGTGTAAATGTGCTCAGCTTAGCAAACAATCTAAAGACAACATATACTAACATGTAGAGCTATAAACGACGTGACAGCATGTTTAAAGTCTGGAAAATAGTCTATGCGGTTCATATACACCTGATAATACCGTATATAGCACTTTTATTAAGTTTTGCTGTATCGTGCAACTCGTGTCTCGAGTTGTTTACTACATTAGCCAGGCTAAGCTAATAGGCTAGTTAGTCTGAAGACGTTCAAAACTCTGCGTCTACTCACTGTTTCCAAAGCCTGCTGCAGAAAAGCTGTCACTTTATTAAACATGTCCATGCCTGGATTCCAGTAGAGGTTATAAAATCTTATATGAAGTTTTAGACATTTTGATTTGGCTACGCTAGTGTTCTATTTGATAAACATTGTGGTTATACGTGTCTACTTTACTTTAGCCTCAGCACTGCGTTGCGAACACTGACCCCCACAGACATGAAGGTAACAGTGTACCTGCTTACTGTCAGACTGAAAATACAAATGTCACATTTGGGACACTGATTACGTTAGGTTAATAATAGAGCAAGAAGTGAAACAACACAAACGCAAATAGTTTAGAAAAAAATGAAGTACTTCTCTGTCCAGTGGGAGCTTAAACAAAAACTAAAGTAACTGTTAAACGTTTTTTTCCATTTGTATAAAATTCTGTAAAACGAGTAAGCTGTCAAAATTACATGTGTATTGTTATGTTTTATTTTTGTTCCGCAGTGCTGTTTGGCTTACTAAATTATTGAATTAACGCATGACCACCTTGCTGAAAAATCCAGCTTAAACCAGCCAAGGCTGGTTGGCTGGTTTTAGCTGGTCAGAAGGCTGGTTTTAGAGGGGTTTTGGCCACTTCCAGGCTGGTTTCCAGCCATTTCTAGCCTGGTCTTAGCTGGTTAGGCTGGGAGATGACCAGCTAAAACCAGCTTGACCAGCCTAGCAGGCTGGGAGCCCAGCCAAAACCAGCTATGTCCAGCTTAAACCAGGCTGGTCAAGCTGGTTTTAGCTGGATTTAGCTGGTCATTCTTTCTGTTAAAAAAATTTCAGGTACATTTTAAAGTACATCTTGGAAATGTCAGTTCAGGCCCATAGCCAGTGGTGATGGTTCTTTGTTTCTCAAAAAGTGGACCTTTTATACGCCCCAGTGTCTATTTAACATTTAAATACTGCATTTAAGTGATTTTATTTTTATTAACTAGTCAGATGTCATCATAGCCAAAGTTTTTGATATACGAAAAATATTTCCTAAAAAAATTTCAATAAAAAAAATAAAGACATATTTTTAAAATAAAAATCTATTACATCATATATCATTAGGAAAAAATAGCAATCTGTTAAAGTTTTAAAGTAAAAACAAATGTAGCCTACTATCATTTATTCGACAAAAACAAACTGGCCAACACATGCAACTGTCCTCAGTCACAATTTGGCCATTTAAAAAAAAAACATTAATAATAATAATAAATAATAATACAATAATAATGAATTCTTCTGAATTTTTTTAGCCTCTTTGGTATAAAAAATACATTTGTAAATTCCTGGATATCAACAATAGCCTAAATATATTCAAATTAATTTATGGTCCGCTTCTGGCGCTTCACACCTTTTTATTGCTCATTTTTATTTCAGAAATAAAGTTACCTGTAAAGTGTTTTCTCTGTTTAAAAACAATACAGCAGTGAAAGAAGACTTCTCTTCCATCAGATTATACAGCCGACAGAGGATTCCGTTTGGTCTTAAAGCCTTTTTTTGATGGATTATTTTTCATTATTTATGATGGCATAGCAGTCAAAAAATGACAAATGAGCTCATGAATGGGACAAATTGTGGACCTTTGTCAGTGAGGGGTGGGTTTTCCGAACCCCCCTGGCTACAGGCCTTAAAAGTTAGAACATGTTTTATGCTTATAGCAAACATATTTTAATAGAATTTTGGTTGTAAAATCGCACATACAGGTGTTTCAGGCGCTGGTCAGATTTTCTCCAGGTCATAATTTATTTTATTTATATTAATTAATGAATGATTAGACCTGGTCCAGTTTCATCTGGAATGCATCACAGGTCACTTTCTAAAGTGGTTTGAGCGATCGGATTTCTGATCGAAATAAAACGAATGACATGAGCAAACAGCCTCATAAACACATATAAAGACATTTATATTGAATATAAATATATTATGTTAATTATATTACAAATATATTATATAATATATTATATAATATTAAATTACATAAAATAATGAAAAGGACAAATGCTGGACCTTTTGGCAGTGGGGGGTGTTTAGTAGCAAGTGACATGCTATAGGCCTTTTTCACGGACGGTAGCACGCACATCCGGTTGAGCGGTAGTTGTGTATCCTGACTTCCGGCCGGAGCAATAGACCAATTATGTTTGTAAACATTCAGGATGCGCGCGCAGGGAGGTGGCAGAAAGCAACCGGGAGCCCTAGCATTTACAGCGAGGGAATGACATCAGATGCGTTGCAGAGTTTGTTGTTGTCTTAGAAATGAGATATATTACTTACATATTATATATATTATTTACATAATGCTTACAGCATATTATAACAGCTCGTCACCCAGTGACAAGCACAGTGATTCAGCAAAATTAACGTTAAAGTGAGCGGCGTTCATCTGACAGCTCCATTTGCTATAGCACTCTCCCAATGAATATTGGATAAGACGAAATGACCAAGCATCCAGCCCGAAATATACAATCTCAATGAAGCTCCGAGTGATTTTACAAGAGAGAAGTTAAAGGTCTACAAGTCTTTTAATGCCAACAATGTTGTTCTTTGAGGTCATGTGCAATAAATATTGCTCCATGATGACCAGATTCAAGAGCTAAACACAGAGATTCCGCCTAGCCAAAGACAAGGAAACAAGACGGAGCTAACGTTATACAAGGCCTGGGTAATTAATCACCAACACGCAAAACGACTGCATTCTGACAGTGAACTGCACCTGTACAGCAGGGTATGTAAACCTACACATAAAGGTAAAGTTGGTTTTATATTTGCACATTCAGACTTTCTCCTTAATAATATAATTTCATAAAAATATTATTTGCAAACTCTAAATAGCGAAATCATATTAGCAGCAGCAATGACTATTAAAGTACAACAATGTTCACAGTCAAATAAACAGTGTTAATGTTGTTTTTAAGTCACACTTGCAGGTTATTTCAGACCGAATATTCAAAGTGCAGTGGTAAACAATATAGGGAGTTTGTCACAAGTTGTCACTGAATGAATGTGTGAATATAAAACTAAGTTTACCTTAAACGTAACTTTCACGTTTCCTTCTTAGCATTTAGTGTCAGCAGTTTAATTAACCAAATGTAACTGTTTTTGCTGAAATCATTTCAGCAATTATAAACGAGTAATGAGTATGATTCAGCATAGCGTGAACTGACCTGATATGACATGAGAACTGCAGAGTCCAGCATTTCTAATTAGCTCCTCACTTCATTCAGCTCCCATTTAGCCAAAGACGTCTGCAGTCGGTATTAAAGCAGTGTGTGGTGTATGGTAAAAGTTAAGTTTTCAATTTTTGGACTCAAATTCGGCATCCTACTGCAAAACACGACATCTTTCCCATTGTAGCCTGTCTGTTTTTTGCAACCGGGGACCCGTGTGACGTCATGTGTGACGTAGGTTGGTAATTGGTCTATAGCGTCAGATACGCTATAGTCTTCACTACCTCTTTGAAAACTTTGCCAACATTTACCATTTACAGCAGCTGTTTATTGTGCATTATGGGATATGGAGGAAAAATATTTGTTGACAGCACTTTACCAACAGAGAGAGAGAGGGAAAACATTACCTGATGGATCGTTGGTAATATTTCCGCAAGATGACCATGTCGCACTTTAGCTAAATTAATTCACGCCTCCTCCTGAAGTTACGAGCGATGCATTAAAACACTATTTTCCAGCCGCGCTTCATTCTCGAAATGTATAGTTTGTCTAAAGCAGGAATACAATCAGTCAGTGCAGTCGTCCCTCCGTAGCAAAAAGCAACATTTTGTGTCTGCCGGTTTGTTTACCTGCGGGAGTTCATAGGCATTTTCCCGCACATGAATTCTACCAAGGACTCAGGGCAATAAATGATACATTGTTGCATTTTCTGCCGTTTTAGGGTCATTTTCACACCACACTGCTGGCTTTGGTCTGAACCAGTTGAAACTAACCAAAATGCAGTCATTTGACAAAATAGACATCTCTTATTGGCTAGATGTTGTTGAACATATTTCCTAAACTGCTTATTGATTGGTCAGAATTCACATGTGGGAAAATGCCAATAAACTCCCCAAGTGCTCAACAGTAATGACTGGGATTGCCCGTGAAGGTCATCAGTTCACTGCTCCTCACAGAGTACAAACACAGATACTCGGACACTGGAGCGTTTAAAGCTGCAAAGATTTAAAGATTGCTCATCTGGGTTTGCACTTGGTAAACAGCGAAGTGCACTGAACTGATGACCTTCACGGCCAATCACAGTCATTCCTGTTGAGCACTGGTGAATAATACTATGACAAATCAGTGGTGTTGCGATCAACAGTGCTTAAATGTTAGCGGGAAATTGGCGTTTTTTTTTTCAGTACTAAACTTTAGTATCATGAATTGATGAGCTGAAAAGATAATTTTAGCTAATTAGTGCCATTTCCCTGAACTTAGCTGAAAATGAGGTCTGATATCCTTTTTTATTTTCACCTACCAATCAGAACGCACTTTCGGGTCACTTGTAAGGCGGTGAAATGACAAATTGGCGTCACTTTCTCTTCGCCGATAAGATATACAGCCAGGTACTCAACATTCCTGTGTGACTCAGGTGATATCTCCGGGTTTCTTCCCACCGCAGCCTTGATTTCGCTTTTGAAATTGCGGCAGCTTGAAATCAGTCTAACACCACTTATGCAAAAATATAAACAAAAAAATGTTTTAAAATTAATTTCTACTATAAAAAAATTAATGCTATTATACAAACAACTCCCACTTCAAATCTGTCCAAAACAAAGTGCAAAATGAGTGCAACCAATACAAACAAACAAATCAGGAAAATTAGCATTCACATTTGAAGTCATTGTTGAATTCACCAAGCCTGTCACTTCTTGAGCAGGTCAAGATTAATTTCACGTCGACACCAATGGTGTAGTGGTTAGTGCGTCGGCACATGCACTCCGGAGCTCACGGCGACGATAGTTCGTATCCTGCCTCAAGGTTCTATGCCGATCGTTCCCCTCTCTTTGCTTTCCTGTCAATACTCTCTACAGTCTTATCTATTAACAAGGTATGTGCAGGAGTCCTAAAGATAATTTCAATACCTTTTTAAGACTTCTTAAAGACCTTCTCAGAACATTTTAAGACCTCATCGCCACTTTAAGTTCTAATCAGTATCAAACCTTTAACTTAATAAACATTTGTAGTTAAATAAATGAATGGAGCACAACCATGCAACAAAACATAGATAAGCTCAGAAGAAACAAAGCTTGAAACAATAAATTTAGTGGTTGTTTTCAGCAACAGGCTTTAAGCACGTCTTTCACCAACCAGGAGTACACAAACTTACATTTTGCCATCTGTTTCACTCTATGGTTTCGCTACATAGAAGAGCATCACATCACCTTCCTGCGTTTGTTGTAAATGACTTGACATCACCTGGATAGAGGACCTTAGCTGGACGTGCCAATTGCATGGATCAAGCATGCCGATGTTAATATTAGGAGGAAAATAAATATATTTATGCTTTTTTGGAGTCAAACTATATTTAAGACCTTGTAAAAACATGATTAAGACTTTTTAAATACCTTTTAAGGGCTTTTATCAACTTTTAATACTTTTTAAGACCCCACGGACACCATGACCCCCCCCCCCCCCCCAAAAATTATATATAAAAAAAAGAGAATGATTTTACAACATTGTAATGCAGTGTGCGTATTTACATAGCACATTTATTGTGTATGGTCATATACCCAAAGCGCTTCACAATCATGAAGGGATGCTGCACACCACCACCACCATTGGATGATTTGACGGCAACCACAGGACAATTCAGTGGATGAGGATGATTGGGAGGCCAGGATGGGTAAGGGCCAATGGAGTGAATTTGGCCAGGACACTGTGGTTACACCCCTACCCTTTACGAAAAATGCCTTGGGATTTTTTAATGAGCACAGAGAGTCAGCACGCCAGTTCAATGTCCCATCCAAAAGACGGCGCCCACTGACAGTAAAGTGTCCCCTTCACAACGCTGTTTCAGAAGGCCCAGTCAAGCTTTAAAACAGAAAAGAGAAAATACACGTTAATGGATAGTATTTCTTATTACATGCACATGTGCCATTTCGACATTTAATTTATACACTTCCTTTAGTATGAGAATGAAAAGGATCTGCAAAGTAACTCCAGCAGGAAAGAGTCTTGGTTCATATTCACAGTCATTATGTAAACTTGTGTGTTTTTTTGTGTTCTTTTAAGAATATCAATGAACGAGACTGGTGTTTTACTTTAAGGGCACCTATTTTATTCCATTTTCAAGATTTAATATTATTATTATTATTATTATTATATATTATTATTAATATATAAGTTTTTTATGTCTCCAAAGTGTGTCTGTAAAGTTTCAAAACTCCTATCGGATGATTTAATATACCTTTCAGAATGTTAAAATTTTCTGCTCTGAACACACTGTAGCTGTTTCTGTTGCCTGTGCCTTTAATGCTAGTTCTCCCCGCCCACCATTTCCCCATGCCTGTCAGAGTGTGCCTCAATCTCTACCTTGACTGTGTCAGGTAAACAGCACAGTGACAAGCATGAAGAAAGCTTTCAATCAATTCAGTGGGCGGGAAAACCGCACTCCTACGTCACGTCACGGTGGGCCTCAAAATTGGAGGGATTTGGATCTTATTTTAACGTCAGGAAATAAAAAAATTGTGTTTCTATCACTACAACATAACTGTGGACACACTATACTCAATGGCTCCCTAAAAAAATCTAAGATCTAAGATTTTACCAGATCCAAGATCTGGTAAAAATGACAAAACCCCTTTAGTGATTTGCCACTGGTGGATTTTAAGGTATTATTCAGATTGATTCAGAGTGGAGAACCATTTAATTTCCTAAATGTTTTGAAACAGTAATAATGCAACAAGGTTGTTTACTGAAATTATGTGACAATCTGATACATGCTTCTAACCACAGACTGTAAACAACAGAAGCAGTGCTTTTATCACTAGTAAAAGCTATGCACTCAGTAATTGAACAGGCCTTTTAACCTGCATCAGAATTTATGATAACTTGCTAAAAGCACTTACGGCTGCTCAGTTCCTCCAAAGATGTCAGGATTGAGTCCTCAATCACATCTGTATTCTTGGTTTCTCCTGGATTTTCTATGACAAACAAAATTTAAGCTGAGTACATTTTTTTCAAGTCTGTAATTAATTTCTTATATGGATGTAAGCCCGTTCCTGCCACTGAATATTCATTCATTCATTTTCTTGTCGGCTTAGTCCCTTTATTAATCCGGGGTCGCCACAGCGGAATGAACCACCAACTTATCCAGCAAGTTTTTTTACGCAGTGGATGCCCTTCTAGCCCCAACCCATCTCTAGGAAACATCCTCACACAAATTCACACACACACTCATACACTGCGGACAATTTAGCTTACCCTATTCACCTGTACCATATGTCTTTGGACTGTGGGGGAAACCGGAGCACCCGGAAGAAACCCACGCGAACGCAGGGAGAACATGCAAACTCCACACAGAAACGCCAACTGAGCCGAGGCTCGAACCAGCGACCTTCTTGCTGTGAGGCGACAGCACTACCTACTGCGCCACTGCTTCGCCTGCCACTGAATAATAAAAAATTAATAAATTCATAAAACAATTTATAATAAAGTCAGAATTGTGAGTTCTAAAGTCGCAATTCCGGGTTATAAAGTCAGAATTCTGAGTAATAAAGTGCAATTCCAAGTTATAAAGTCAGAATTGTGAGTTATAAACTCACAAGTCCGGGTTATTAAGTCGCAATTCTGAGTTATAAAGTCGCAATTTTGAGTTATAAAGTCGCAATTCTGGGTTATTAAGTCAGAATTGTGAGTTATAAAGTCACAACTCTGGGTTATTAAGTCAGAATTGTGAGTTATAAAGTCGCAATTGTCAGTTATTAAGTCGCAACTCTGGGTTATTAAGTCAGAATTGTGAGTTATAAAGTCGCAATCCTAAGTTATAAAGTTGCAGTTCTGAGTTACAAAGTCGCAATTTCGGGTTATTAAGTCAGAATTGTTAGTTATAAAGTGGCAATTCTGAGTTATAAAATCGCAATTTTGAGTTATAAAAATCGCAATTCCTGGTTATAAAATCGCAATTCCTTCATTTATGGTCAGTAGCTATAACAGGAAACTCCTTTATAACTCAGAGTTCTAACTTAATTTTTTATTTATTTTTTATTATTCAGTGGCGGGAACTGGCTTCCATAAATAGGTTAGTTCACTTAAAATATAAATAAAAAATAACTTTTTAAAAATAAAAATAATGTTGCTTCTCCTCAGTGTCAGTATAAGGCACACATTTACAAGAGTAAATCTCCTCCATGACTTCTGAAACAAAGCACATGTAATATCATCAAAGCATCTGAGGCAATCGGTCATGGGTGCGACCGAGTGCAACACAAACAGTGTACTTGTGAACGTGTGCCCTGCCTGACTGACACTGGGGAGAAGAATCATTGAAACTGTTTTTTTTTTTTAATACACACAAAAGTATAATCATAGCTTGATAATATTCATACTAAACCACTGAATGCATATGATCTGTTTTGAGGATGTTTTGGTATTTTTTTAGACAAAGTCGTCCATGGAGGATGAGGAAGCTCTCAGACTTCACCTAACATATCTTAATTTGTGATCCAAAGATAAACAAAAGTTTTAGGGAACTGAAATGACATGAGTGTGAGGTATTAACCAACGCTTTAATTGTATTATTCTTTCCACCCCTAATGTCTATTATCATTTGAATGCAAATTTACCTGACACAGCCTGCTCGAACACATCAGTCTGCATCAAGCTAGATTCACAACCCTGCGCCAATCTGGTGCTCACTTTCTGGGCCTTGTTTTCATTATAGTGGTGAATGAAGTTCCTCATTTGAAACAGATGAATCGATGGCAGAGACATGTTCAAGAAACAGCAGTTTTCCCTGAGTTTAGCCAACAGTTGTTCTGCAGTTTCACCACTAACTTTGCCATCCAGCTGAGGCACGAGTGTGAGTTTTCTCAGAGAATCTTCTTCACTGTCTTTTCTGATGCTATCCTGATAAAGTATATAATGGTCAGCTGAACCAGTCACTGGGTGACCGTGAGGATCTGCCATTGGCATTTTTTCCTCCAGCCAAGGAAGTGATACTTTAAGCTGTCCACGCTTCGCCAGCTCTATGTTATCCTGAGTGGGCTCCATTAAGCGTCCTTCAAATGGAGAGATCAGCATCTTTTCTGATGCCTTCGGATTCATGTGAGTGGCGAGACCCTGTGCAAAATCATAAACGATGACGTTAGGCATGTGCTGCCATGATAAGAGCAAATCAGCGAAGTCTCGAGGGCTTTCAGCTCGAAGATTGCATTTGAGACTGTAAACGATTCCACAGGGGCACATGATGAATCCCCAGCCACCTGATAAAGAAAAACACAGGAGAGGGAAAAAACCTTAGTAATAATACAAAGTGGCACAATAACAAATTTTACAAATGTAATAGTTTTCTATTTACATTTTCTGTACACTATTATTAGTATTAGTAGAGTATTAGTTTAAAGCGGTGATCCACTATGATATCCTATTTTAAACTTTAGTTCATGTGTCAAGCAAATGTGTGAACTCTAGCCAGAGGTGCTATAAAGCAGCAGTGAAAGCTAAAATGCTGCTATTTCCACAGAGCTCATTCTGTATTTAGGCTTCCAAAGGACAGGACACAAAAAGAGAAGCACTAACAGTTTTATTTTAACTATGTTCCAGAGAATTATAACAAATATATAGCTAGCATTTGACAAGGGACAGCCTCCAGAATCTCTCCCAGTTCAATGCTGGATTCAGCTAAAAACTCCTCGAAGAAAGATCAGCTCCAACCTTAACAGAATAAGGTGCGCGTTATGAGCTACAACCTGTGGGTATTTTAATTTGGTAAAATTGATCAATTACATGCATAGTTTCTAGCGTTAATGGTATGCTGTAGCAAAGACGTAAACAAGGATGTAAACAACAGGAAATGCCGTTTTGCATAGTTAACAATTTAGCGACAAGTTTATATTTATCCATCAAACCCCTGTAAACACCCTAAATCTTCACCAGCGCATGGAGTGTGTCTCTATGCGAACACTTTCCCTGCATTCTACATCTTAAATACCAAACTCGCAAAAAAAAAAAGTTAACTTTTATATTGCTTAGACATGTTTATTCTGAATATTTGCGGAAGACACTTGTTAGATTTTATTGTAGAGAGCAAGCGTGAGGTTGTGTCCTCTTCATTTTCTGTGCTTCAGGCGCAAACTCATACAGCTAACAGCTACTCTATCTGACTGCTAGCACGCGCTGTTTCACTGTGTAAACAGAGGTGTGACACTTCCTGGTGACTTGGAGCCAATCCATGATTCACAGCACATTATGTTAGTTGACCAATCAGAGCCTCTTGAGGGCGGGCCTTTCAGAGGAACTAGGAAATTTGACAGCTGTTTTCATTTTAGCCGAGTAGCTGTAATTGATCAATGTAAGATACATGAAAAAATAACGTAATTTTCTCCAAATGAATCATGAGCACACACTGCTTTGCATCTTATGAACCCAACCAAGCCTTAAAAATACACTCTGTACCACTGCTTTAATATACTTTGTTTTCACATATTTTTGCTTAAGTAAATACTTTTATAAACATCAAATACCTCACAAGCCCAAACTTTTGGAAGAAATGCACATTTTTCAAGGTAACAACATTTTTATTACAAATATCCTGAATTATTAATTCATAACATTTGATTGCCCATAAAGAAATTCAACTGACCTTGCCTTGCCATGAAAATGTCATATTATTTTAATTAAAAATATTCTTGTTAAAAAAGGGGGTCTTGTTGACCAAGACAAAGAATCTATTAGGAGAATTTTTTTTCAAAAACAAAGCAGTAATATTCATACCTGCAATAACTCTACAATACGTAGACCTTATAAATTACCTTCTTAAAAAGTACACTTTATTTTACAACTGCATTTAATCAGTGTATCCGGAAAGTATTCATAGCGCTTATTGCAAAATGGACTAAATTCATTTATTTCCTCAACATTCTACACACAATACCCCATAATGACAATGTGGAAAAAAGAGTTTTTGAAATTGTTCCAAGTTTATGAAAAAAAAAAAAACCTGAAAAATCACATGTACAGAAGTATTCACAGCCTTTGCACAATACCTTGTTGATGCACCTTTGGCAACAATTACAGCCTTAAGTCTTTTAGAATATGAAGCCACAAGCTTGGGACACCTGTCTTTGGGAATTCTTGCCCATTCCTCTTTGCAGTACCTCTCAAGTTCTATCAGGTTGGATGGAAAGCCACGGTGTACAGCCATTTTCAGATATCTCCAGAAATGTTCAACAGGATTTAGTTCTGGGCTCTTGCCGGGCCACTCAAGGACATTCAACGAGTTGTTGTGAAGCCAGTCCACTGATATTTTGGAGGTCTACAGACAATTTCTTTGTCTTCATGCTTGGTTTTTGATTTGACATGCACTGTCAACCCTGGGACCTCATATAGACAGGAGTACGCCTTTTCAAATCATGTCCAATCAACTGAATTTACCACAGGTGAACTCCATTTAAGTTGCTGAAACATTTCAAGAATGATCAGTGGAAACAGAAGGTACCTGAGCTCAATTTAGAGCTTCGCGGCAAAGGCTGTGAATCCTTCTGTACATGTGATTTTTCAGGTTTTTTATTTTTAATAAATTTGCAACAACTTCAAAAGCTCTTTTTTTCCCACATTGTCATTATGGGGTATTGTGTGTAAAATATTGAGGAAATAAATGAATTTAATCCATTTTGGAATAAGGCTGTAACAAAGAAATGTGGAAAAAGTGAAGCGCTATGAATACTTTGCAGATGCACTGTATGTATATATACAGTCCAACCTATACACCATGTAGTTTTGATTGTAATGCAATAACATGCACATTTTTTAAAGCTGCTTTGGAATGATACTAATTGTGATGAGCACTATACTACGGTGGCAGAGAGAACTTAACGTGCTGCAATTTAAGAAAATGCATACAATTACAAAAAAGAAAAAACTGCAAACTGAGAAAAGATCTTCATCAGTTTGACAGCACGTGCTGCAAATCGTCACAACACAAACACGTTTTAAAAAAAACACACTGCATTTTCACACAACACAAACAATAAATAAAACGTGCTGCATTTTCTTATAACCCAAACAGAATGGAAAACAACAGAAATGTTTCAAGGGGACCCAAAAACGTAACACTGGCGTCACTGTGCTGTGACTATTGCTCAGTGAAGTTGTAGGAGATCTTTGAAAGGTGAGTTTTTTGTCTGTTTATGCGTGTCTTTAGTAGGGCTGCACGATTCTGGCAAAAATGTGAATCAAAATTTTTTTTTGCTTAAAATCAAGGTCACGATTCTTTCCCACAATTCTGTAAATGTAGAATAAAGGTTAATATGATTAGCCTATTATTATTGTTAATTCTCAAACATATGGTAAAACAACAGTAATAATATTCGGCCTATGTTTAGGTCGTTGTTTACAACATTATTACCTGTTATTCACAGCATATGGTTGTGTTCACTAAAGTAGGCGTCAGCTCACGTGCGATTTCGCGACCGTGAATACATCATTACATAATACCTTAATTATACCTTATAAATACAGTAAGTGACACTTTTAACGCCATTTGAAGGTGTCAATGTTGCTGCGAAGACTTCTGAGGCCGCCTTTTCTTCTCTCCTGGCCATGATAATATAATTGGCTGAATCGTAGAAAAAGCTGAATTAGGATCGCGTGTGGGGTCAAATTGAGATTGTGATCTTTTTTCGATTAATCGTGCAGCCCTAGTCTTTAGTATTTAGTATTTCAGCCTTGATAACAATAACCTAAATAGCCAAGTCCATCACATTTTAGGGTCTCCTTGAAACATTTTCATTGTGTTGTGAGAAAATGCAAAGTTTTCATAAAATGAGTGTGTAGTTCGTTTTTTTTTTTTTGTAAATATGTTTGCATTGTGAGCATTTGCAGCACATGTGCTGTCAAACTGATGAAGATCTTTACTCAATTTGCTGGTGTTTTTTTGTAATTGCACGTGTTTTCTTAAATTGCAGCACGTCAAGCTAACTCAGCCCCCGTACTACACAAATAAACTTGAAGTGAATAAAATCAAACACCACACAATTACAACAATGCAGTTAAAGAGCAGAGAAAAAATGAAGCTCACCAGAGGCACTCCAGAATTTTGCACAGATTTTGCCAAAGTTCTCCCTGGATTTCACATCATTGGCCAATCTTAGAAGCAGATCAGTGCGTGATCCAGTCGAATCCACACCGCAGTCATTGCATAAACTTCTAATCACATCAGCCTTTTAGGGAAAAAAAAATTGATTTTAAAAAATGCTAAATGTTGACTTTAATAAATACGTTTATATAAAAGAACAAAGAAAGTGATGTTGTGTAAAACCTTCTGTCTGAAAAGTTCTTCTGCAAGTCTCTCCTCTGTAACTGCCACTTCTGAAATCTCCATTGCAGACTTCGAGGGACAAACTTTCTCAAATTCTGTGTTTAACACCGTGTCTGAATGTCGTGTTTTTTTACCTATCCAAGGAGCCCAAAAGTGATAATTTGGTGGTACTGTAAATGGATTTTGACTGTCATCTAAAACAGCAGAGAAGAAAAAAAAAAGTTAAATATGGATTTTTTTCAACAGTCAATGGCCACTTTATTAGATACATTTTCCTAGGATTGGGTTATATCCACTTTTTGTCTTTAGAGCAGACCAGTGATGCGCGGATGGCTGTTATATCTGTGGGTTCTGCGTATAGTTCACAGGTCGGGTAATAAAAAAAATTAATTATGATTAATTGTGGGTTAGTCGCGGATGGATGAGAATAATTATTAATGATTTTTGCTTTGTATTTAAAAAAAAAAAATCAGCAATAATGATATATAATTAATGTATAATTAATGCATTTTTCATCAGGCAAACGGGCCCTAATTTGAAAAAAATAAATAAATCTGCACATGGTGTTAAAGCGGAAATGGAGGTGTAACAGATCCAAAAAAAACGTAAAAAGGGAGAATTAAAACAAAACAAAAGGAAGGAAAGAAGAGTGCCGTGTGGGGGAGTTTTAGTGAAGTGATTAACGAGGATGAGTCAAGTGCTGGGTATGTAATATGCAACAACCGTGAAACGCTGCATGTATATTAAAAGCCACGGGAAAGACCGGTACCTCAAATATGAAACATTATGTGTGTGCTAAATCAAAAGGCCGGTCAAAGTAAAAATCTAGAAAACCAGGCTTCGTACTCGACGCGTCCGCTAGTTCGATTGAGTGCGCGCGGCGAATGTGAACTCATCATGAAGTTTGCTATGGCTATCTTTGGGTGCGCGCGACATGATTTCAGCTGGCGGAGTGCACTACATTTTTTGAGACTCAATCGAACAGTTGCACGGCGCCAAGTTTCATTTGACTTGAATATGAATCACTTTGACGAGGTTCGCCTGTACAGACATCTTTATGATACGTCTATGCATGGTCATAGGCATAACAAAATGACCAATAAATCCTTGCTAAAAATAGTAGGAAATGAGGAATGTTTTAAAAAGTTTTGAAAAACTTGAAGGATAGGTTTGTAAAAACCAAAAAGAGAGGCCATGGCAAAAGTGACTTTAATAAACAATTGGAAAATTAGACATTCTCCGATACCTTTCCTTCTTTTCTTTCTGTCGAGAGTCTATTTAAGTTTAGTGTGCTGTGAAACCAGAAGTCAACACAACTACAGTTTTTGCCATCTCAACTAAAAATTCAGACTCTACCCTCCTCTAACCCCCGTGAGGACAAAGAACCGACCACCAGCTAACTACGTGGGAATCCAGCTCAACAGAGGGAGCTCCTTAAATTACAAAAGGAATGCAAGTAAGCCCTCCATATTACCACTGAACTGATATAAACTAAATGTAACCCTAAAGAAACCATAAAAGAGTTGAATTGATTATTTTTGGTTCACTTTGTTTGGCTTAACAAAAAAAAAAAATATATATATATATATTTTTTTTACATCGTTTCACTCTCTCAAACTTATTTGTCTTTGGTACTCTTCTGTATGCATGTGTTTGTGTTGGGTGTTAGTTTCTGTTAGATTAGTCAAAGTTTCATTTTGTATAAAGAAAGGTGCCTGTGCATGTTCTAATGCCTTAAACATTGATATTGTTACCCCCTGCTTCAACATCAATGGGTTTTTATTTTTGATAGTAATAGCCGTAGTTGAAGTCAACTGGACGATTCGTTTGTTCGGGTTTAAAGAGTCTATTCTTTTGAAGCCTCCCTTCAAATTAAACTTCAATTTGTCATCTATATCATTTATATATACCTGTAACAAGTCCTTGACAAATGATCTCTTTGGACAGCGTCTCCCAGAACGTCTCCAGATTAACCTCTCCTTTAAAATTCTCTGGAGGTTCTTCAATGTCATTTTCTGTAAAAATAAGACGAAATTTACACTGTGACAAAGAAGGATTTTCTGTGAAGCAAACTAGCAAATGAACTGCTTTACAGCTGCCATACCTGATAACAGAGAATCGCTGTGTTTGTGAAAACCCATGATCACCACTGGAGGATGATCACCACAGCTGGGGCATGAATACTTGTACTCATGATCTGTGAGGGCTTCAAACTGTAAATATGCCTGCAGGACTGTGTCTGGAGGTGGAAACTCCACACCGGTCACTAACTGTAAATACTCCACTGCTCGGCTTACCGAAGTGTAGACCTAAGAGAAACACGCATTGTTATGTACTTTTCATTTATTTATTAAAACAATTGAGTTAGTTTACTAAAGACGTTAGTTTTCTTTGTGTTGTTGTATACAGAGCATCCGGAAAGTAATCATAGCACTTCATTTTTTCCACATTTTTATATGTTACAGCCTCATTCCAAAAGGGATTCAGTTAATTTATTTCCCCAAAATTCTACACACAATACCCCATAATGACCATGTGGAAAAAGTCTTTTTGAAATTATTGCAAATTTATTAAAAATAAAAAACTTGAAAAAAATCACACGTACAGAAGTATTCACAGCTCAATACTTTGTTGATACACCTTTGGCAGCAATTACAGCCTTAAGTCTGTATGAATATGATGCCATAAGCTTAGCACACCTGTCTTTAGAAATTTTTGCCTACTCCTATTTGCAGTACCTCTCAAGCTCTATCAGGTTGGATGGGAAGCAACAGTTTATAGCCATTTTCAGATCTCTCCAGAGATGTTAAATAAGATTTAGGTCTGGGTTCTGGATGGGCCACTCAAGGACATTCACCGAGTTGTTGTGAAGCCACTCCACTGACATTTTGGTGGTGTGCTTTGGGTCATTGTCCTGTTGGAAGATGAACCATCACCCCAGTCTGAGGTCAAGAGTACTCTGAAGCAGGTTTTCATTCAGGATGTCTCTGTGCATTGCTATTTGCAATTTGTGTTCTGTCTTTCTGCAGTCTGATGTTTCCCATCAGACTCAAATCAATGTGACCTGCTTTGATCACTACAGTGAACTTTGGGTCAGTTCTCTGTCCACACACCATGTTGCTTGGCAAATGTTAAGCGAACTGATCATGTCAAACAAGACTCAAAAGTAGGGGTGTAACAAATCACGGTTGATTGGTGATTTGGACTGATCACAACCCGCAGGTTAATCATTTTTTTTTTTACTGGTAGATTAATCCTAAATTTGTAACGATCACAGAGAGATCACCTCTGACGTCATTCAAATATCATGTATAAAAGCATTTAGGCTTTTCTGTAAAATATAATGATGACAGAAGAAGTTGTGGTAGGTTATTCGGGATGTGGTGGGTTTCTTAGGTTACTAAAGGTGTTTTCTTGTCACTACTTGTTTAGCCCGCATCAATGCAATCAGTATAAGCTGCATGCATACCCCAAAATCCCCAAATCAATATCGTAATAAATATTATATTACAATAACTAAATATGTTCATCTGGAGCTGTATCATTGAACATAAACAGTTAAACAGTCAGTAATATATTTTATTATTATTATTAGGTCACACTTGATGGCTTTTATTTTGATGGTCTGTTTGTTGAACTATGTTACATTGCATCTACATGCCAACGAATACTCATTAGATTATAAGTAGACTGTTAGGTTGAGGTTAAGGTTAGTGTAAGTTAACATGCACTTGCAAAGTTTCTTATCGCATTTATCTTTCCCTCTATCCGGACTAGTCTTCTACATCCCCACAGCATGATGCTGCCTCCTCATGCTTCACTGTAGGGATGTTATTAGCCAGTGCCAAACGTAACGCCTGGCATTCACTCCAAAGAGTTCAGTTTTAGTCTCATCTGAGAGTCCTTTAGATGCCTTTTGGCAAAATCCAGACGGGGAGTGGCTTCCGTCTGGCCACTCTACCATACAAGCCTGATTGGTGTATTGCTGCACAGATGGTTGCCTTTCCTTAAGGTTCTCCTCTCTCCACAAAAGAATGCTGGAGCTCAGACAGAGCGACCATCGGGTTATTGATCACCTCCCTGACTAAGGCCCTTCTCCCTCGATCAATCGGCTTAGATGGGCGACCAGCTCTGGGAAGGGTCCTAGGGGTTCCAAACATCTTCCACTTACGGATGATGGAGACCACTGTGCTCATTGGAGCTTTCAGAGCAGCAGATTTTTTCTGTAACCTTCCCCAGCCTTGTGCAATTCTGACTTGGAGGTCTACAGACAATTCCTTTGTCTTCATGCTTGGTTTGTGCTTTGACATCACTGTCAACCCTGGGACCTTATATAGACAGGTGTATGCCTTTTCAAATCATGTCCAATCATATGAATTTACCACAGTTGAACTACAATAAAGCTGCTGAAACATTTCAAAAATGATCAGTGGAAATGTACCTGATCAGAATGTACCTGAGCTCAATTTAGAGCTTCACGGCAAAGGCTGTGAATCCTTCTGTACACGTGATTTTTCAGATTTTTGTATCTTTAATAAATATGCAACAATTTCAAAAACTCTTAATTTCACATTGTCATTATGGGGTAATGTGTGTAGAATGTTGAGGAAACAAATTAATTTAATCCATTTTGGAATGAGGCTGAAACAAAGAAATGTGGAAAAAGCGCAATAAATACTTTCCGTATGCACAATATATTTACTTTATCATAAAGAGATCAGATATTTTGTTTAAATATTTTTGTTTTTGACTATTAAAACTATTTGCCTTAGTAATGTTAGTAACAAACCTAAATGGATTGTTAAAAAATATACAATATTTATCAATATCGAATGATAAGAAACATGATATTGTGATTATTTTTTTTTTCAATATCACCCAGCCCTACTTCTAACTATCCCCAAATCATAATTGGCTTTATTACTCTGTCTCGTCTACACCAATCAGCTGGTGTGCAGTCTGGTGCAATATGGCTGCCGTCGCATCATCCAGGTGGATGCTGCACAATCATAGTGGATAAGGAGATTCCCCCCAAAAATGTGTAAAACGCTTTGAGTTCAAAAAGAGTATTATTGCAGTATCGATATCGCAATGTGATCATTCACAATAATCACAACGCAAAAATGTGTAAAATGCTTTGAGTGGCTAGAAAAGTGCTATATAAATGTAAGGAATATTATTATTATTACCTGTAGAAGATGCCTTAAGGTTATGCATAAAGGAAAGTCAAGGATGACGTGATCATTGAAGTTATGCAGACGGTCTTTCCACTCCTGGTATCGATAAAATATCCCACACTGAGGGCACTGCTTGCAGAAGGTGCTGACATCTGACAATTAGAACAAGTGTAATATGAGAAGACAATGCAGCTGAGTACTGCACAAGCAAACAGGCAATATATCCTACCTTCAACAATGCACCAATTGGTCAGTATTTTGGCTTTCTGTGTAATTAAAATCGGATCGCTGAGTGGGACATCGCCTGGACATTCCTGACACACGGTTTCATGTGGACAAAGGCTTTGTGGGTAATCCTTGTGTGAAGACGGCAAGCGCATTTCTTCGGGAAGAACAGCAGGAATCTTCTTATGCTGAAGAATGTAATTCACCATATACTCCAATCCCAGACCTCTCGGTGGATACACATGATTGTTTTCCGAGACGCTGTCCTCTTCTGAAAGTGGGATGCTGTGTGGCGAACTAAACAGCTCAGGAAGCGTTTGAAACAGATGCCATTTGGCAATGTATTTGTGCATGCATGAATGCTGAAATCTGGTACAGGGACAAGTCCATGTGTTCAATGGTGCATTGTAAACAACCATGACGCGCCCTAAAGTACTATAAGACGACACACTTGGCTCGAATACAGAAATGAACTTTTGTACCGATGAGATGTCAGTCGAGGTTTGAACAGAAAGTGGTGCGTGTTTACTATCGGCAAGCTGTTGCAAAGCAAGGCATTGCCTTTTCTTTTTGTTGCTGAACCATTTTCCTCTCACCATTTCTGTTAAAACGTCTTCCTTGAGCGAGACTTGATCCGCCAAAGACTTGCACATGCTCGCGGCACTGATATGCATGCACTGGTACAATGGGATGCCGCTCTTCTGTGCAATATTTATGTTGACCTGGCACTCATTTGATTCGCAAACGGTTCGGTTTTCTCCCCATGTCTGGTATTTTACATGAACCGGGAAGCTGTTACCTTTCACGACTTTGATAACAGCATATATCCCGTTTGTTTCATCAACACACTGGGTTGTCAGCTGGAACGTTTCATCGGTGCCAAAGACTGACTCGTCTGGGTGTTTGCGCTCAATGTGCTTTTGTAGGTTGGTTTTATTAATGATGATATGACACTTTGGGCATGTGATTTTAACAATCGGCCGTGTCCGACTCCTGTTAGAACTGATGTTTGATGGTGGGTCTGTGATAGGCAGAGCATTCAGAGTTGGTTCACAGAGTGTCGCATCTTTCAACGTACTGGTGGTGGTCGATGGCGATGTGTTTATTATTGTTGGAGCGGTCGCTGTCACAGTGCTGGACGGTGTGCATTTGACTGTAGGGACAGTCTTAGGTGTACTGATGGCTGGAGCGGTGTTTGCCAAAGTCGGAGAGGTCACCGTCGTATTGGGGCTTGGCAACATTTTGGTGTCTGATTCAGAATGTGGCCTCTGTTTACACACTTCTAAATGGTTTTTAAAACATTCTCTCCTCAAAATTGTCGCCTCACAGTACATACAGTGGAAATGGAGAGCCTTTCTACAGCGGAGTCCACATCTATGTGTGGTATATTCTAAAAAACAAAACAAAAATAATTATATATAAATGTATTTGTGTACATTTTTTATTTTTTCCAGATCTTCACTAGTTTCTCACAGACATCTTTAGTCAAATCACATTCCTAGCCAAGACACATCTCTTTCAACTAATCTGATTTCTGCAAATAATTTGTGTTCTGTCTTTCTGCAGTCTGATGTTTCCCATCAGACTCAAATCAATGTGACCTGCTTTGATTACTACAGTGAACTTTGGGTAAGTTCTCTGTCCACACACCATGTTGCTTGGCAAATGTTAAGCGAACTGATCATGTCAAACAAGACTCAAAAGTAGGGGTGTAACAAATCACGGTTGATTGGTGATTTGGACTGATCACAGGGCTCGAAATTAACCTTTTTGCTTGGTAGCACCGGTGCTCCTAACTTAAAAAATTTAGGCGCATCAGCCAAAATTTAGTCGCACCCACCAATTATGAGCACCGTTACTACAAGTTTTATACAAACAGATTTATTGTATTTGAAATCAACACTAATTAAACTAACAAGAAAAAAATAATAATATATATATATATATATATATATATATATATATATATATATATATATATATATATATGTAAGCGTGAGGAAAATATGTCTCAACGAAATCCCGTTATCACAAGAAAAAAGATTTTTATAACAGAACTGAGTGAGCAAAGCGTACACGGAGCGCTCACCGGCCCTGCACACACTGCTTGACATGAATCTGTTAAGGGTATAACTGTGCTGTTCTCACTAGTGCTGTCTGATATTGCACTGATGCTTTTGACACATACTGTACCTTATTATATGCATACGTCATGTTAATAGCAATACTGTCTTTTCATGAGTAGCGATAATAGTTTACTCAGTGTAAGCCCGTATGCGATGGTGTACGTGGTGTTCAATTTGACATATAGCTGCCCCTTGCACGGCTGACAGCATCTGGCGATTATATGAAGGATTAAACAGAAGCTCTGGTGCTAGATGTGGCAAACAGTTACCTGAAAATTTCATCTCACAGACTTTTCATAGCGGACTTGAAGCCAACAGAAGTCTTCTACTCTTGGAAAAGTGTAGATGGTGGATTAACATTCAGCACATGATCACTAGTAAGATGTGTCATTATTTATAACTTTGGATGCCATGGTTTCTAAAACTAAATCTGTCTGCGTTATCTTCATTCTCATCTTCAGCGCTTTAGTTTTCCGCGCGCGGTAGTAGCTCTCCCTGTCATCTGATGCCAGAAGGCGCTGACTGAGTGATTGACAACTGATATTAACCAATCATTCGCGTTCAGTGCTAGAGCAGTGGTGGGCCAATAAGAAGAGCGCGAAGGCGGGGCAAGCATTACGGACTTGGATTTGTTTACTGCAGCAAGTTGACATGACAACTGTTTTAAACCATTCCTGAGCGCTGCGTTTCGTGTTCCAAGTGCAAACAAAGAGCTTAGAGATGCATTCTGCGTGAATGTATCCTGAATCTGCGCATGTGCTGAACATTTTGCAGTAAAAACTGGTCGCACACAACAATTTTAAGCACTCGCAGAAATGCTCCCAAATATATTTTAAGGTCGCATTGATAAAATTTTGGGCGCATATGCGACCAAAATGGTCGCAATTTCGAGCCCTGGATCACAACCCGCAGGTTAATATTTTTTTTTTTACTGGTAGATTAATCCTAAATTTGTAACGATCACAGAGAGATCACCTCTGACGTCATTCAAATATCATGTATAAAAGCATTTAGGCTTTTCTGTAAAATATAATGATGACAGAAGAAGTTGTGGTAGGTTATTCGGGATGTGGTGGGTTTCTTAGGTTACTAAAGGTGTTTTCTTGTCACTACTTGTTTAGCCCGCATCAATGCAATCAGTATAAGCTGCATGCATACCCCAAAATCCCCAAATCAATATCGTAATAAATATTATATTACAATAACTAAATATGTTCATCTGGAGCTGTATCATTGAACATAAACAGTTAAACAGTCAGTAATATGTTTTATTAATATTATTAGGTCACACTTGATGGCTTTTGAACTATGTTACATTGCATCTACATGCCAACTAATTCTCATTAGATTATAAGTAGACTGTTAGGTTGAGGTTAAGGTTAGTGTAAGTTAACATGCACTTGCAAAGTTTCTTATAGTCAGTTAAATGTCTGTTGAAGCAGCAGTCTCAACAGATATTAAGCAGAAAGTCTACTAATACCCAAATGGACCATCAAAATAATTAATGATTCAACAATTCACACTTAAAACTTCATGTTTTGTTATACTGTAGGTCAGGGGTGTCCAAACTCAGTCCTGGTGGGCCAGTATCTACTATATACTAGAACAGGGGTGGCCAACCCTGTTCCTGGAGAGCCACCTTCCTGAAGATTTCAGTTGCTGAAAAAACAATTCAAACACACCTGAACCAATTAATTAGGAACTGAACACCACGTGATAATTACAAGCAGGTGTGTTTGATATGGGTTGCAACTGAAATCTGCAGGAAGGTGGCTCTCCAGGAACAGGGTTGGCCACCCCTAGCTTAGAAGGATTAATAAACATGCAAATTCTTATCATTTGTCATTCATGTTGCGCGGGTTTGAATTGAGATCCCGATCTTTTAATGTTTAATTGTGCAGCTTTACACTGAATGCATTAATGCAAGCTAAACAAACAGTGACAGAAAACACCTTTAATTAATAGTCTAAGAAAGCATTTAGGTCCTACCACAACTTCTTCCGTCATCATTATATTTTACAGGGAAGCCAAAATGCTTTCATACACATGATTTGAATGACGCAGGAGGTAATCTCTGCAATTGTTAGAAATATTAGATTAACCTACAAGTTCAAAAAAGTTATTAATCCGCAGGTCACGTGCGTTTAAAACCGTGAACTGTGATTCTTACAGATCACTGATTAAGCGGGGTCCGTTACAGATAATGTGCCTAATGTGCATGATTAAACATTAAAAGATCGGGATCTTAACAACCACACAACATGAACTATAAATGATTGTGATTTGCATATTTATATTATTATTTGCATATTATATTAAAACGTTTATTAGTCCTTCGAATCGCTGCATTCAAATCTAAAAACGCAAAAATCAAGAAAGAGATTTAGTCTTTAGTCTTTTGAGTTAGTTATGAAGTTACAAACAGTCAAATAACAAAGAAGTATTGAGATTACCATCACCATCATGTAGTGCTGTGCAATTAATCAAAAATTTGGTTTCGATTTTGGTTTCTAACGATTATGAAAAACCATTAATCGAGATAAACGATTATTGCATCCTATACCGCCCCCCTTTCCAGTTGTACACATATTTTGCTCTGCAAAGCTCAGTTCCACGTGAAAATGACTAAAAGCATGTGCTGTAATGTAACGTTTACAGCATGGGATGTGCATCATTCATTGATGTACGTTCGAATCATTATTTTCTTTTTTTTTTAAGTGCGAAAGATTGCATGCTGCTGTGTGTGTGTGCGCGCCGTGCTTAGCCTTAGACAGGTTTGGAGACGACACACATCTAACGGCATCTTAATGTGAGCGCTTTAAAGCTCAAATGCATGCATATTTGTGTCAGAGCGCGGTGCTTAGTGATTATTTATATTTACCCTCATTTGTGTAATAAACAAACAAGTTGAGAATCAAAAGACATGTGACAGAGAAACCATATCAGAGCCGCACTATTCTTAAAGTGACAGCGCAAAATATTCCTGCTGCTGCCTGTTTTTATTATTAATCAAACAACAAAGGGAGAAAATCCCTCACTGCTCTTGACAGAAGGACTGCTGTAGCTTAAGTTTTTTTCCTTTAGTGAAGATGCTTAAAACACAGTTTTAACATAACAGATTTAATAACTCATTTCTAATAGCTATTTTCCTTTCTCTTTGCTATGATGACAGCACATTATATTTTACTATATATTTTTCAAGATACTAGTATTCAGCTTAAAGTGATATTCAAAGGCTTAATTAGGGTAATTATTCAAGTCATTGTATAACAGTAGTTTCTTCTGCAGACAATCAAAAATATATATTGTTTAAAGGGGCTAATAATGTTGAGCTATTAAAATAGGTTTCAAAATATTCAAACCTGCTTTTATTCTAGCCAAAATAAAACAAATAAGATTTTCTCCAGAAAAAAAATATTATAGGAAATACTGTGAAAAACTCCTCTGTTAAACATCATTTGGGAAATATTTATATATAAAAAAAACTCACAGGAGGGAGAATAATTTTGACTTCACGATTATTCAAAACAATTATCAGTTGATTACAATCATGACCAAAATAATCGTGATTATGATTTTCCCATAATCGAGCAGACCTACCATTATGTGCATTCAACGATGTTCAAAAAATGAAAGTTGTACAGCAACTACATTATTTAAACAATAGGTGGCAACCATCAAAATATGCCACTGAGTAATTTTTCAAAAGTGATCCATCTAGCAATGAAACATGAAGATTTATGATTGTATAACTGAATCATTTATTGAAAATGAGACTATAAATAAATATGGGTTGTACAAATGAAAATGTTGGATTTTTACATTTAGTGTCATCAGCAACAGTAGTAGTAATTAGGGATGCCACGGTTCTCAATATAATATTAACTGTACGGCACGACCTCCACGGTTCAATACGCGTTTGTGAATTGCGGTTTTCTCAGTTTTGCGATTAAATTAGTTATGTGCGTTTTATATCTCCTTGAATTGACTGTGTGTACCTCTAAATCTATGAGCTGAGATGAGGAAACTCCTCCCTGCAAGTAAATATCCAATCACTATACTCTAAAGTTAGGGGGCGCTTGACCATCATTCCACACTTTAACATGGCGAGGGGCGGTGAAGTGAGGCTGAGGCAACAGTACGAGGAAGCGCCGGTGAAGTGAGGCAACAGTACGAGAAAGCGCCGGTGTCTTTCAAATCTCGGGTGTGAGGACATTTCGGTTTTGCCTGTAAGTATAATGCCAATAAAAGAAAAAAACGGTGAACAAAAAATAACTGTGTGCAAGCATTGTTTTACACGTATAACCATGACTGCACATCAGCAGCGCCATCACCCAGCAATATCACCGTCTGAAGGCAGAATAGCAGAGAAGGTAATAAAGTCCTCCAAGTAGCAACAATCCCTCGCTGAATCTTTAAAGCAAACATACCCAACTGGTTCTGAGAGACACATCAAATAACAAAGGCAGTGCGGGTGTTTATTGCTAAAGATTTGCAGCCGTTTTTCAGTGATTGGAGATGCGGGCTTTTGTCATCTCATAAAAGCACTCGATCTACGATTACTTAAGTACAAATTTGTTTATTTGAAATGGTCAATTCATCTTTATTACCTTCACATTTATGTTTATTTTCAAAGTTTAGGATTTTACGTGTTCCCCAGTTTGTACATGGGCTACCAGCAGCTGTGAGATTTCAATGTTAATTTTTTTAATACAATACACTAGGAACTAGTGTACTTTTCTTGGCTTTTAAGTAAAACAAAATAAGTATTGCAATAAATCGTTTTTATTTTTTTCTCCTTAACCTTTTACTCTTCCTATTGCCCATAGAATAAAAAATAAAAAACATGTGTCAAGCCATGAGAACCGAACACCGTGTTAAAAAACTGAGGTATGTATTGAACCATGGGCTAACTGTATTGTTGCATCCCTAGTAGCAACAGTGAATTTTTCACAGTACTGAATATTTTACACTTTATTTTTATTCAGTTGATTTTTCTTTATTTTATTTTTAATAGAATAACAGCTTCTAAGTTGTTTGTTAAAATCAAAAGTGTCTTGCAGTACTGTTTTTGTAAGAAATGAAAAGCAAATGACATTAGTCTCCTCCTCTTTTAGGCTGATTTGAAAAATGGTTCGATCCTTGACAATAAAAACATAATGTGATCCGAACCATGAGATTTGTGATCCGTTACACCACTATTAAAAGAGACCTTCAATTTTAAAATATTGTTAGCTGTTCTCTAATTTAATCTTCCTATTTACACAGTATACCTCCAAGAACGAATGCTCTTCTACAGTGGGCTTTCAGATGTACTTCGAGTTTGCTCCGTCTGGAGGGCTTGTACACACTGGTCGCACAAAAGGGACAATGAAATTTGTTGCAACATTTTGTGCATTTCTCCAACTTCGGGTACGGTTGATTTTTCTGAATCGTGATGTGTCTCTGGAAATAGGAAACAAAACATAAAAAACATAGTAAAATCTCATGTTTTTAAGTCAAGACCTGAACAGAACAGACTTTTTTTTTAGATACAATGGACACCCTATGATCATCCCCCAAGCATTTATATATATATATATATATATTTGTAATATTTTGTTTTCATTTAACATTTTTTAAGGTTAAACAATAAAAAAAACAGTACAATACCAATAAAAAGAAAAAAAATTACGAAATAATTGACATTAGCCGACATATAACACAACATACGTAGCAGCATAAACATTAAAAACAAAAAACGATGACAATATTCAAGTTTTTACAAAGTCATTGTCATGAATATATGGGTTCTGTGAAGTTTCAAGATATAATTGTTCCATTTGAATGACATAAAGCAGTTTGTTCAACCATCTCTTAAAACAGGTAGCCTTTGGAGAGGAGATTTCCAATTAAGTATTGGACAATTAAGTCCAATGTTTGGAAGATATGTATTTTTTTATGAAAGAGCCCCTATTATGACTTTTTGAAAATGAACTTCCATGTAGTGTGTAACACAGCTCTAAGTGTAATATCCAGCTCATAACAGAAAGTTATTATAAAAGAGTCGAGTGCTTTCTCGAGTGCTTTTTTCTTGAAGCTTTCTAGTGCTTCAAATAAATCATCTTGATAACGAGTCTTTAGCCGTTTCGGCGTGACGTCTATACGAAACAAGCCGTTGTGGCGGGAACAACTGATTTAGCCAATCACAACAGTCAGACGCATTTACGTCCGCGCGGTTTGTGAGAATAAAAGCCTTTGAATATTTTTCCAGACACATTTAGCTGCTAGAAGTTAGTCAGATCACGTTTATATGTTCTTCTTAATGGCAACTGTATAAATAATTATCGATGAGATGCTTATAATAAGCCGTTGTTTGTTTACCTTCAAGCTTTGCGTTAGCCTTTGAAACAGCCTGTGAGCGCCTGCACACACACATATTATGAACATCTCGACATGCGAAAGTGATCCTGCGAAAGTTGTTCACAATATTGATCATCCACAGAGTTTGTAATTTAGTCAAATGTTTACAAATACAAGCGCAGCCGTTTAAAGCTCATTTGTGGTGAATGATGTCAGAATTTACCGGTATTTTGGAATGGATGTGTGAATGCTCTTTTCCGGAAAATTTCCGTAACGTCCTCGCCTGTGTGAACAGCGCTTTTTTAAATACACCGGTAAAGTCGTTACGGAAATTTTCCAGATATTAACCGGTATCACTGTGTGAAAGGGGCTAATGAAAGTGTTTTTGACCTTGCATGCATATAAGACTGTTGTTGGAGACCCTTAAAACAAAAATATGACTTTTTAATTTTTAATGTATAATAGGGGCTCTTTAAGTTCATTCTTATCTATCTATTTATAGTGCTCAGAATAATTGAGTACACCACATTTTGAAAACAAACATTTTTTTTATAATTTCTCAGTGAATATAGGCAATGTATTATGGTGCATTTACACAAAACAGATTTATTAAACAGATATATTTTTAAATAATATTTTAAATCACCAAATATATTTAGAAATTGACAGATAATACAATTAAATTTGAGCAAATTATTGCAAAAATAAATTACAACCTACAAAATTGTAACTAAATTTCTATATATTTTATTATTTCTATATTACATCTGAAATGATGGTGTCAAGAAGCTTTAGTAAAACTTTTACTAAAAAGCTCAAACTTCGATGGCGTAGTGCTGTCACACATCACAGCAAGAAGGACGCTGGTTCGAGTCTCGGTTGAGTCAGTTGGCATGCCTGTATGGAGTTTGCATGTTCTCATGTTCGCGTGGGTCTCCTCCGGTTTCCCCAAGTCCAAAGACATGCGCTATAGGTGAATTGTGTGAGCTAAATTGCCCGTAGTGCATGTGTGTGAATGAGTGTGTAGGATGTTTCCCAGTAATGGCTTGCAACTGGAAGGTCATCCACTGCGTAAAAACAAATGCTAGATAAGTTGGCGGTTCATTCCGCTCTAGCGACCCCGTTTTAATATGGAAGGCCGTTGGGGCCAAAACGTCTGCAACAAACGTGTTAACACGTAATTGCGTGTTAACACGTAATTTACGCGTTAACACGTCATTTACGCGTTAACACGTTGGTACGTGTTAACACGTCATTTACGTGTTAACACGCAATTTACGTGTTAACACGTTTTTTTTAACTAGTCTCATTTTTAAAGTGCTATCATTTACTCATTTCTCCAATTAACCTACTTATTATAATATGTGTAAAGTAATTTCACTTAAATCACAATAAATGCTTTGCAGTCAATGATCTGTAGCAGATATTTAGCATTATAAAAGGCCAGACATCTTCTGTAATGTTATGTTTGATGGCATAATAATGTAAAATAATAATGTTTGTTATTCAGCTGCTGTGATTTCTTTGAAATATGTGTGCAGAGAAATCAGAATGAGATTAATTTGACAAGTGTGTGCAAACACACTATTTTTTCAGGAACACAAACATACAGTATATACAAATCAACACAAGAACACAGAATGACATAAGTGGATAAAGTAAATAATAAAACATTGGTTACAAAATCATATACAGTAAGGGTTGTGTATATGTATGAATAAAAACAAGTAGCAACTAATCTAATAAAAAAGATCTATAGAGATAAAGATGTGTAGAGATCTGGAGGTTGGGCAGGTGCAAAGCAATAATCCTCTCCGCTGTCCTGACAGTCCACTGCAGTCTTCTTGTGTCTGATTTGGTGATTTCTAGATGGCACTTCAGAGTTTTTTTTTTTTTTTTGAACTTTTTATACATTTATTGTTTGCAAAACTTTACACCATATACTTTTGGTCTCTGTACTGGAAGCTCCAAATCACCAAGACAAAACACTATTGTGTACAAACAATTGACAATAATTAATTGACAAGTTTTGATAAAACTGTAAGCTCTTTTCTGCCTGGTAAGAACAGCCCAAGTTATGATATACTAAATCAAAATTAGTATATCATACAAGACAAAAAGTCAACAAGACAAAAAGTCGAAATAATGATTTATTAACTCAAAATATGACTAAAATCTGTAGAAATTACATAACGACAATAGATGGCGACAAATCACCATCTAAATGTGTAACTTAATTCTCTAAAGATGATTAATCTAATCAAACTTTTTTCTTTTTAAAAGAGTTATTGAATCTTTAACTGAATGTCATTTTTTTCATTCATTAGCTTGTTTATAAAAACTGCATGCAAGAACTTAAACTCAAATGGTCCATGGTAATTTTGTCAAGTAACTTTGCAATGTAGTGGGTAACACATGCAGTTTAGGTCAATTCAATATGAAGTGAATTTAAAATAATATTTCCCACATTATCTTTAACTAACCAAGGACATTTTCACAGTATTATGCCACAGTATCCAATAAAACAAAAATTCTTCTGGAGTCATAAGTCTTATTTCTTATAGTTTATATAAGTGATATGGGTCGATCAATTGTTACTTATGCAAACTTCAATACTTTCTTTAAAATATTAAAGGTGCTGTAAGCAATTTTTCATCTTAACAGGCTGGCACAATTCGGCGACTCTCAAAAAAAAAAAAAAATTGTGGTTAGGCATGCACAGAGCATTTTTCTCACAATGAGTTTCTTCTATCATTCATCCAACCAAGTTCGTTCTTCCGAAGTGATCTGGGAACAAGGTCAGTGCTGCAAAGAGCTTGTAAAGCCTGCCCTGGCTCATTTAAAGTGACCAGCGCAATGAATGATAAATGTCAGTAATAATCAAAACAGTTTAAAACGGGCTTCTCTAGAAATGTAAATATTGCACATAATATGAAAGATTGTGTTCAAGCATATAGCTGACTTGTGCACTTCATGCTATTCTTTCTTGCTCATTTTGTAGATAACAGACCAACAAAAATTTCATTAAAATAAAGATACAAATTATATCAAATGAGTTTTAAAAAGATATGTTTTCCAAGAAAGATACAAGTGTATGTTTTTGTTCCTGCCCATGAATAGATGATTTCTTTTGTTCTGTGGGAAATAAGGGTTTCTTTAATGCTCCACTGTAATTGGGTCACAAACCCCTGTCATTTGTTTGCTACATTTTTAATTTGTCATTACGTTAAAGATTGTCATAAGCATCTGATTTTTCCTCATTCTAATGTGCTTTCATTTTCTCCTAACTTGCTGCAGGAGTTTTAAAATCCCAACCGATAATGAAATCTGGTTACAGTGCACACAAACCTTAAACGTGCACACACTACAAGACAAAGAAAACTGTGGCATAGCACACAAGATACTATTAAGATTGTGCCTGATGGAGCACATAACCTGATTGCAGAATAACTCTGCTTTAATGATAAGCTAGCTAACAAATATTTGACCAACTGCCAGAGCGAACAGCCTGCAGAATGAAAAAAAAAAATGCTGCTTGAAAAGAGCACGTCCAAACAAATGTCTAATATTATTATAAATAACTATAATAAACACTACTACTACTACTACTATTATTATTATTATTATGGATCAGAGAGAAGACAAAGGCAGATTAACAGAGAATGGATATTTAATGATACTTTAAACAATTTTGAGGTTGTTCAGAAAAGAAATATCATCAATACCAACAAAAAGAAAACAAACAAACAGAACTTAACTTCGGGTTGTAACTGAAACAAGATGATGCCAGTGGAGGTAAACACCGTACAGGATTCACAGGACAAGATAACAGACAGGATAACAAACTGGTGAGCAGGCAGGCAGGCTACATTATCAGGTAAATGCTGTCACACTGTAGAGAAATGAGTCTGGGTAATAACAAATAAATCAGACCATAAATGAGTGATTGTTCCAGGCTTACAGGGTTATGTAGTGTGAGCAATGATGAGCAACAGGAGAAGGTGATTGGTGATTGGTCTGGTGATTGGGGCTGTGCAGGTGCAGTGAATGAATCTGATTGTCCAGAAGGATTCCTGACAATTATTATTATAAGCTAATATCAT